ATTTGATTGTGTTTTACTGGAGGCATCCATGTTGGTCAAAGAACACTACTGCAATCTTTTTTTTTATTTTATTAGTTTGTTTTTTTTACAGATTTAATACTTATCAGACTGAGTTTTACAAATTACTTTTGAGATTCTTTACAAGTTGTGTCACAGATCACATTCTCTTCCAATAGAAATGCTCGCTTCTGAGGTGCGCACCAATTGAAATAATGTTGCTAATGTGTAGCAAACCAATAGAAATATATATATATATATATATATATATATATATATATATATATATATAAAAACTAGTGATGTTATGAGATAAGCCGAGGCTTCGAGGCGTGTGTCGAGTAATGGAGGGGGCGTTTCCCCGAAGCGCCTGTCGAGGCGTGATTCATTTAGAGGAGGGGCCAAAATTGATGACGTCCGAGGCCTCGTTACCGTGATACCACGTGACCGCTTCGCAAAGTGGTTCAGATCGCGCAAGAATTTTGAAAGGCATCTAAACAGCCTCAGTGTTCAGTTAAGATGTGGGAGTTTGGAGGAGAGTTGCTCTCAGCTGGATAAAGTTTGGATAGATTCTAATAATAGATTGGTTGTTTTTCCAACCAATCTAGTTGCTAATTTGGTTGGAATAAACAATGTAATTATCAAAATTTGAGCAAACCACTGGACAAAGCCCGCGTTAACACGTCAGTGTTAAGAAGTATTTTCTCCTGGGTGAGATCGGTTACATAGGTGGCGTCAGCTGTAACAATCAGGCTCCCACTCTATAGGTTGATGGTTCGAGTCCTGTCTTTGACTTTTGAAAATTTCGATTACACTTAATTATTTTGGCTGATGAGACTAATTTGCATTTTTTTGCCCGAGTAAAAATATAGATTGGGTAAATTAGGTCGGTTTAGCCAAAAGATTGGTTGAACACAACTTCCAACCTGATTAAAACCAAAAAACGTGGAAAAACTATCATGTTTGAATAAAAATGACTAACACCTTTCATTTTGCTCATCATTACCCAATTTGCACAAACACTGTCACTGTCTGCTTGAGTTTATTTCACTAAAATGGCAGAAAAACGGTGCACCTAAAATGATTGTTCTAAGAAATTTTACACTTAAAAAAACTTACAATAGATTTTATTATACACACCAACCATTAATAATTTCAAGGGAACTTAAAAGGGGAAAAAAAGAAAAACAGTTGCAAAAAAAAAAAAATCACTGATTTTATTACAAACTGTAGTTCTGTTTTCCACCAGTAGGTGGTGACATGTTCACATGAAGCCTCATGAACTGTGGGGATCGTTGAAACAATTTGGCCAAACGGTTCAATGCCTCATGAGGCTTCATCTCACCATCACTAATAAAAACCATGAATCCACAAAAATCCAAAACTACTTAAAACCAGGACTACTCACGTCACGACAAGGGGGCAAAGAGATGACGACAAACCAGCCAACTGAGACTGAACAGGAGGAGGTAAAAGGGAGAGAAAAACAAGGCCCAGGCTAATTAGCAGATTGGGAGCAGGTGTGATAGAGGCAAGAAGGAGGCTGACACAGGAGGGCAAATATCTAAGGACTCAAATACAATAAAAAATAACTAGAAATGGAAATAAGACCAATGAAAACTCAGAGATAAATCTTGAAAAGAACCAAAACCATGACAAACCTGTGGAAAAAATAAAATATAATAAAATAAACATTTACATAAAGATTTTTTTAAATTTCCATTTACCATACATCTTGTTTGCTTGCAGCAATAATGGAAGAAAACTCATTCTAACGGTGGAGGAGGTGAGACTGTTTGCCTGAGATTCTGGGGTTGGTTAGCAGGAACATGCGGACCCAGCTGATGATTGACAGGTTTTGGAAAAGAGGAGCTCATGAGTCAGCTGGTCTCATCTTCTAAGATGATATAACTCCACGCCTCAGTTTTTAGGGAGAGACAGAGGAACGTCATTCTGGCTGTTATTGAGTTAGTTATTTCAGCCTCAGCAATGGCTGATGGGACCCTGAGGTTCTCTAACAGACACCATCATCTCCAGTGCTTCATCTTGAGATCCATGAACTCTTCATACAGGATTGGACCCTATGGAGTCCAACGGGCAGTGGGAACAGGTGCTTTCTTAGTTATAAATTATGAAACGTTTTAGAACACGCCATCAGTGAAAAGGTTAAAGGTCATCTGATGTGCTGTAAATGCAGCATAATGAATCGAATATGATGACAGAGCTCAGACGTTCTGCAGTCATCAACTCGACTGCCGCTCTGATTGCCTCCAAACCTAAATGGTTTGAGTCATGACCCGCATTGGTGTGACTGATTGAGCTGTGGCCTGTTGGCAGCTCTGGGACGTCCACCCTCAGATGTTACAGTTTGGCTAATAAGAGACATCGCCCAATGGGAGCACAGCAACCAGATGAGGGAAAGCTCTGATTGGTCCAGATTGATGTTTTACCTCTATGTGACCAAAATATGTTATTACATAGTCTGTGCCATGAGGTCAATGAGTTCCTGACTTTACCATGAGGATGATGGTGATGAATTGAGAAAGAGGGTGGAGGTGGGCCGGGCTAAATTCTTCCAGCTGGAGTAGATTTCCTCTGCAGGCAAGGAATGAACAATAAGAGCTGTGTTTTACAGCTGAGAGTGGACCACATCATGCAGTGTGTGAGGGTGCTGCTCCAGTTGTGTTTTGCTCTTGTCCTGTCTGCTTTGAAGGATTGAAAACTGCTGACTATCACCATGCAGAGGTCCCACCCTGTGTGTGTTGGGGTGTTTTGGTCTGTGTGTGTGAACCCACTGGGACAGGGTTGGTTCCCCATCAGGCATGTCGAGACAAAGTGAAGACATTCAGAACTGACCTTCTCCTGTTTCCTAGTTCATTCCCAGGTCTGTTTGGCTCGCTTTAGGATCTGGCTCACTTAAATACCCCCTCCCCAAAAGAAAGAGACTATTTTCTTCCAAGCGGTTGGATTAAAACTCAATCTTGCTCTGAAGTTTTAAATTCCTGTAGTCTAAGTTTTTCTTTGTGCAGCGGTTGAGCACATTTATTCAACAAGTTGGTGTTTAAGGAAGTTTGGGCTGCAGCCAAACAGGATTTGATCGAGAGCAGTGGGGGATTCTTATACATGAATGGTATTTAAATCTTATATATTTATGAGCTAAAAAAAAAAGAAAAGAAATCTCCCTTAATGAACTCCTAAAGTTTGTTAGGGGGATTCTGAGCCACATTGTGCAAAACCATCACAATTTTTAAGACTGAGGTTCAAGTATCATCAGACCAAAGCACTTTTAAAAGGTAACAGGACTTTAAAGAAGGTGGGGTTGCTTCAGACTCATTTATTATGCAATCTCCAAACTGTGTGAAGTCCATCAACCTGCAAAGAGAACCTTATTCATGAGAGGAAAACATTTCAGACAGAGATCTGTCTTCCAGGACATTCAGGCAGATTCAGTCCGAGGTCAGCTTGAGAAGCTCAGAGAAATGACAGAAGATTAAAAAGCTCTGTCTCAGACTCTACAGGATCCAGTTTGGAAGTTAAAGGTTGCAAAGCACAGTGGTGGGGGAATGATGATGCGGGCTTGTTCTGCAGCCATGTGGCCTTTTTAGCTTCCATTCCTGTAGTTTTCAGGATAAAGTTACTGTCGCAAAGGATAGCCTCTGTTGTGAATGCTTCAGTTGGAGATCTTTTTTTTTAAATAAAATAAATATGATCGGACTCAAGAACCGAGAACTAGAGAGAAGAGTTCAAAGCTGAGCGGTTCCACTCTCTTTGTTCTGTTTTAGAAATATACTTTTCCTCTGTGTGCTCCTCTTCCTCTGTCCACTTTGAGGTGGAAGAACTGGACAACATCTGGATGCTTCAACTCTTCCTTCCATAAACACACTAAAGGCTTTTATTCTGAAAGATTTCTCATTCAGATGTAGAGAAAGATTCACGACCCTTCATGTCCCGTATTCAGCCTGCTGATGTGATGATAAACATTATTTACCATGACTGCTGCAGTCCTTACGGCTTGTTTAGTCAGGATGTGGACCATCAGCTGCAGTTTCACATCTTTGCATCACAGATTTTAAAGGCAAATTAATCTGACTAAATGACTTCTTGACCTTTCAGGTTTTGATTGTTGTATTAGAAAATGGTTTAAAAAACGAAAAACTTGTTAAATCTGGTAAAAATTTTCCACAAAAAAAATACTGGATTTATGCATGAAATATTCAGTCTTGGGTCTGACTGGGTTTGTTTGGTAACGTCCCGATAATATTGTATTTCTCATATTTGACTTTTTTTAGACTGTTTCTGATTGTTAAGTAGCAAAAAAAAAAGTCCAAAACAACTTTTGACTTTTGATTATTTATGAAAATTATTATTATTTTTAGTAATTTAAGTTAAAACTTTCTAAACATTTCTGCCATCCTTGGTCAGAGCATGTTGGACCCTTTGGATTCTCTCTATAAGGACATTTTATTCATAATAATAATTGAACTTAATTGATCTCACACTGGAGAAATTTACCTGTGCATTTAACCCATCCCCTTAAGAAGCAGTGGGCTGCCATTGTGTGGCGCCCGGGGAGCAGTGTGGAGTTAAGGGTCTTGCTCAGAGAGCCAGTGTCAGTCTGTGGGAGTGGGGCTCAAACTCAGAACCTCAGGATTCCAAGTCTTATGTCCTAACCACTTGTCCACCATCCCCCACAATTTGTAGATCGGCTCTCAGATGATTGTTGGACTCCTAGACATTCTGACTGCTGGCCAGGAGTTTTCTTTTTTTTTTTTTTTTTTTCTGATTGTTGGAAAGCGAAGATCAAACAAAAACATTTCTGTTGTACTTCCAGCTTCCTCCTAATATAATTAGGCCTCTCTATTTGTTTCAATAACTGTTACCCTTCCAAGTAAAGTGTGTTTTGTGATATAAAGAACAATTTTCAGTAATATTAAACTCTGATAAAACTGAGACAGTTTTATCTTTATAACTGAGACCTGAATCTGTTCCTGTCTCTCCTTCAGTCCTGGAGATCCTGCAGCTGGTGAAGAAGCGCGATCTTCTCCTGGCCGACACCCACATCCTGGAGCTGGAGCAGGAGTGCAACGAGTCAGCAGCCACCGAGCCAGAGGATGCCACCAGCCCCGGCGTCAAAGATGGCAGTCGGAGGAAGGCCAAGGACGTAGAGCTTCTGTATGAGGAGCTGCAGAAGGAGCTGTGGGCCGTGGTCAGAGAGTCCCTGCGGTCTCAGACGGCGGGGCCCAATCTGGGCCTGGTGGTTCAGGTGAGGACCTTGCTGACAGGCAGATGTTAACATGAAGAAAAGCAGAACATTCCTGTAGTACTAAAGAGGAGAGAAACATCTTTGTGTTTTTGGTTCTTAGGTCCTGCAGCAGGAGGAGAAAGTTGATAAAAACTGGGATGGCCGTCAAGGGGTGGCCCCTGGGGGCCCGAGACCGCGCCAACTGAAGCAGCGGTGGAGAGAGGCAGTGGAGGAAGCAGCAGACAGCTCACTGCCTCAGAAAGCTGAGTTCAAGGCTGGAGAGTTGGAAAAGTACCTGGACCGGCTCCGGGCTCAGGTTGTGGAGGACCTGGGGGCCGCCAAGAGGAACGTTGTGGCCATTTATCCCGACGAGTTCCAGGCCTTCCAGGTGAGAAGGATTCCAGACACAGACTTGGACCCTGCTCCCATCTAGAACCACATTTATTTACCCGCAACAACAATGCTGACTATAAAAGGTTTTGTTGAAGATTCTTCATTCTGACCTTTGACCTGTTCCAGGTGTATGCGGAAAGCTACCACCAGGCGGTCGCCAGTCGCCTGAAGGCCATCACTGACAACCAGCTGGAGATCACAGACATCTACTCTCTGCTGGACTGGTTGCACAACATCTACAGCAGGTACGGACACTATCCTCAAGACCAGAAGCTCTGAACGAGTCCAGGTCAGCTGCAGGGAAAAACCAGACTGAAACTAGGATAGCTGCATGGAGCTTTTCCTTTTTACCTCTAAGTCAAAGAAGCAGATGACGAGATGTTTGAGGGATGCTGAGGGAGGCCGACTCTCAGCCTGATCGTGGGTCGTGAGTCATGTAGTGTACAGGGGGTTACGAGGGGCGATCCGCCGCCCACGACCACCTCCCAATCAGAAAGCGTGCATTTGCAAAGAACGATTTTTCTTTTTATTGTTCCTCTCAGATGTAAACACAGCAGCATGGAAGGGATGCAATGAGTGAAATGCAGTTCTGTCTGTAAAATTGACAGACCGTAGTACCTACGTTTGCCTACGTTGCCATATGTTGTCGCCTTTTTTTTTTATAGGACTTTCAGCACAAAATTGCACAAATTAGCAAGGCAGCGCGGCTCACTATAGTGAGCTTAATATTCCTCTTCTATTTGTTTGGCTTCAGGATAGACGAGTCAGAGCAACTCTATCTCACTGCGGAGCTGAGTCCGACGTGGTTTTTAGTCGCACAGTGTGAGCAGGTAGATCTCATCAGAGCGTCGGGCCAAACATGCATCGTGAGCTGTGAACTCATACTGTAGCAGAAGCTGCGTGCAACGGCTGAAAAAAATCTCACAGTGTACGCCCGGCTTAATGCCTGTTGTCTGTTTTCTGTTTTGATCAGTCTCTCTGCTGTGTTCGAAATCAGCATTGAAGTGGTTGTTGTTTAGAATGATTTTTGCTGGTCCTCACTGCCTACTGTCTTACACTGCAAAAACGATCTAGAAATAGGTCAGCATTTCATGTGTATTTACCCTTAATTTGAGCAGTTAAATAAAAAGAGTTTCCAATGGAATGAGTATCTTTGCTCTTTAAACAATATAATTAGATAATATGCTCCTGAAATAAGACAAAGAAACATTTGTTTTCTTATTTTTAATTTAAATGGTCCTTTTCCATTGAAAAGGTTTCTCACTTACCTCCTCAAATTAAGACCAAATCCAAGTATTTTAAGAATAAATTACTTATCTATATTTAAATTTTTTCCAGTGCCCAGACACGGGTCTAAAACATTAAAGTCACTGAGCCTAGGGAACCAGGATTGATAATTACTGGCTTATTGGGAGTAAATGATTATAATTCAGTAAAATTATCTTTTTTCTCTTTATTCAATGATGTTTTTCCAATATGTAAAAAGCTGATATAGATTTCTGGTCATCTAGCAAACAATACAGCAGAGCTTAGGTACAATTTGGAGGTGTGTGTCCAAATCTGACCAGAATGATTAGAATGATTTAACTGGCAAAGAAAAGAAAGTCAAAGGGATACAGTGGTGCTGGATTATAGCTGCCAACATATTTTTGTTTATGAACTAGATTTGTTTTAATTAAATGCCTTAAGGCAAAATATACTGTAAAGTAATACCAGACCCCAAATGGAATTAAAACTACTACCTAATTCAGCTGTGCTTTGCCAAACTTGTGTCTTAAATAAGTTTCAAATGTTTTTCAGAGACGTTCTTGGGACGGTGTGCATCACAAGTCCTTTCAACCGCTCTGAGCTCAGCCCTCTGCTGCCTTCAGAGACCGTGGACAGACTGGAGCTGGACTGCCTCAACTCTGTCCGGGTCAGACATCCCAACACACCAGCAGGGGGAGCCCCTTTGCTATTCATTATAATTCAATTTTTAGAGTAACTGAACATGATGAGATGAACCCCAATTATCTACAGATGTTCATGATTTGATTGGAAAAAAAGGATTGTTGTTTAATTCGACCACAACGTCTCCCTCTGCAGGCGAAGGTGACCACTGAGCTGGCTCAGGTGCTGGAGGAGGAGGAGAAAAGGTGGATGGAGACGCTGCATGTCGAAGAATACCAGATCACATTGGCAAAAACCGTCATCCAGGTAACCTTATCCTGCTGTTTCCATGGTAACAGCACATGAGACACTGCACTTCCTGCCTCTCTGAATTAACAAACAGACTGAAATCAGAGCAAAATGTGACACAAAGGTGGATTGGGAAGAATTTTCTACACTGATTGTTTTCTGGATCCGTCCAGCCAAAGTCAACATCAACCACTTCCTGATCTCAGACACACATCTGATCACTTCTCTGCTGGCCTCTAGGGGCCAAATAAAGCCATTACAACTAATAGTGAGTGAAACTGGTTGGTGGTTGGAGGGGAGATTTCCAATTGGTATAAATCCTCCAGTACAACAAGAGAAATAAAAACCTGGAAAATTGGTGATTTATCAGCTTTTTATTTGAGCTGATCGGCTGTAACATGACCATAGCTATTGAAGTGTTTGGTTGCAACTAGGGCAGCGACTCTTTATGGCGTCTAACCTTTGGCTTAACTTTATTGCCCCTGGTTCATAAAAGCACCATACAGATAAAGTTGTCACCATGGTAACTCTGTCTGCTGCTGTCATTACAGAGGTTGCAGGTTGACCTGGATCGATCGGCCTCCATTAACAGAAGTCTGGGCTCCAGGGTGGCTCAGTGCAGCCTGAACGGACTGGCTGACTTCCTGTACAGGTACGCAGTTTCCTGAAACACTCCTTCAATGCTAAGTTAAAAAGATAAAAAAAAAAAACAAAAAAAAAAAAAAAAAACACAGTGATCAAAACCATGCAATTTCATACAGCGGAGTGGGAATGGTGTTTACCCCAAATGGTTTTCTTATGTTTTGGATTCTTGTCAAACTTAAATGTTTATAGTGGATAAATATAGTCAAAGGAAATAGAAAAGACTATTTTCAAATGCTTTCTTCACTTATTAATTACTTCCACTCCTTCGTCTTTTCCTACTGGAAAAAGTAAATAAACTCTAAATCCTTAGAAGGAACAACTGAGATCAAGGTGTTGTGATAGTGTTACGGTGGAGCAGAGGTAGATCGCCATGCAAATTCGTACTGCATTTAAATCCTGACCTTTGCTGCTTGTCTTCCTTCTTCTCTCCAAACCATTTTCTTTTTACTATCAAGTAAAGTCCTCTAAGTACCTAAAAAAGTTTTATGGGTCTTTATTAATGCCACTGAGGAATTCTGACCTGCTTTGCTGATCATAGCTCATATTTTATGAGTTGGATTTTAGTCCAGACTTTGACTAGGCCACTCTAAAACCTCTCTTTAAAAAGGTTCTCCTGATAGCTGAAATCCGCCTTTAGGATGATCTGTAAAGGAGCATTATTCACATTTCCATCAGTTATGGCACATCTTCCTGCCAAAGTAGCAAAGCAGCCCCAGAGGATCACTCTGCCACCACCATGTTGGACTGTCAGAACAAAGGGCTGCTGTTTTAGGTCAACAGTAACATAAGGTCCATTTTTATCATGTTTATCCACAGAATATTATCCCCAAATTGTAATTATTTAAGGTTAGGTAGATGTTTTTGGATAACATGAGGCAGCTGTTTGGGTCAGCATTGGTTCTAGTTTTGGATCTTTACAATAAAAACCATCTTCATCCCACTCTCTCCTTCTTATTGTTGAATCATAACCTCTGAATAACTGAGTCCTGCAGAGATTTAGATGTTGTTCTAAGTTCTTCAGAGAACTCCTGGAGTAACGTTGGTAGTTTGGACTCTATTGGGACGGTTCCACAGTGTCCCATGTCTTCTCCATGTGTCCATAGAGTCCCATGCCTTAGAAATGGTTCAGTGACCCTTTAGATGTCATGGAAAACATCTTTTATTTTAGTTTTCCTAATTTTCATGAAATTTTTTGGATTTCGTTTTAAATTATTAAATATTTCTGTGGGTCAGGTAATGTAAAGCTGAAGCTTTCTTTTTCCCTTCATCACAGTTAATTAATGAAGAATGACAGTGATTCTTTTTCTGGTGGGTCCATAGCAGTTAAAAAAATCAATTTATGAACAAAAATATCATTCAAAAACTGTCTTTTTCATTTTCTTAGTTCATCTTTATCCAATTCAACTTTTTTCTCATGTTAAACATGGAAGTTGAAACAGAATAAATATCTAAGGGGGGTGAATACTTTCTACTGCAATGTTAACTGTTGACCAAGGGGTGATAAACATTTATGTTAGACCTTTAGGTGTTTCCATGCATTTCAACAGGTGACCTTATAAATAGAAACCCAACAGACTGGTGACCTCCTGCAAATACATATAACAACTGTTTTGTTGAGCTGCTTTTTGAGGCTTTGATGTTCTGCTGTGTTTCAGCTTCCAGCGTAAAGTGGAAATGTTCCATGAGGGGATGCAGAGCGGCATGTTTGGAGACAATGACGACGGATACGTTTCCAGAACCATCTCCTTGGTCAACTGCTGCCCTCCTTTCAGGTACAATTGAAGGATTGATGCCTGTTGATTCAATCTGTGCTTCACAGAAAGTTTAACAATTTTTCCGAATGATCACCAGTAGGGCTGGGTAAAAAAATCGATTCCTTTACATTTTTGCAAAAATCTATATCTAGGGGAATGAGATTGATTTGTTTTATAGTGACCCGTGTGACATTCACATTCAAATAAGCAGGAAAGATGCACTCAAGATTACTTCAGACAGCTGCAAATATACCCAATAGGTTGACTGAAGACATTAAAAAATGGGGGCTGACCAGCAAACACCCTGTAGCTGTTACAGACAACGCTGCACATATGGTTTGTGATTGGAGATAATGCAGCTCATGAATGTCTGCTGTGTCACCTCTGCTTGCTCGAATGAGGCTTTTTCACTTTTCACAAACAAGTTTGCCCTTTGAGACAGTTTTGTTCACATCTCATGTTTAAACTGTCTGATTTACAACTTTGAGTTTAATGTGACAGGAAAAAACTAAATACTTGAGTATTCTGAAACACAGTTGAACCACTTTCATTATAGTAAAAACAGATCGAATCGAAATTAATCGAATAATCAAATAGATTCAGGACTTAACGACGAAAATACCCAGCCCTTATCACCAGGGATCCTTAAGGACTTGTTAAATGGTTTTGTTTGAATCAGATCAGATATTGCATTTTGTGGTTTTATCAGGTCTGGTTTGTTTAAAGATTATCTGGGCTCCCATACGGTCTCTTGTCCATCCTCTTAGAGATGTTGATGAAAGCTTTAATTAGATGTGAACTGTCTTTCTAAATTTTATTAAATTTTTATATGAAACCATATATACATTTCAAAAATCTTTAGAAGTGATTCTGAGCTTAAAGGGGCTCAGTCATGTTGTATGCCTTTAAACAAAAGACCAAAAACCATTTGATCCCGATAAAGTGAGTAAATAACTAAGATTTATTAATATATCACCTTTGTCAGTGAAGCGTCACAAAGCATTACCATTTGAGGCATAGAAAACAAAGCAGCACCATATAAATAAAATACATGTAGACAAAATAAATACATAACTATAGCAGCCCTTGATAAAATGGGTCTAAAATGCTTGGTTAAAAAAGAATGTTTCTCGTTATTCAGCTTCAGTCCTGATAATGTTTGGATTGTCCTTTTTAGATGAAATGGATCCCATAAGCAGACATAAACACAGGTAGCGCCATCTGCTGGCAGTACTGTGGAGCTACTAGAAAGACAGATGGTAGAATTTGATGCAGCTACTTAATAGAACCTAACTGTCCTGCAATGTCAGCTGATATTAATATTATCAAATAAACTATCAGGACATAAAGGAAAAGATAATCGCTTATCAAACAAACAGAAACACATCCTTAAGGTAAAAAACCTTGAGGTTTTTTTTTACTCTGACTCCAACCTTTCACTGAAATACAGGGTCTGACCAGGAGGTGACGCTTCTCTTCAGAGCTTAATGTTCACAAATCATGACAGAAAGAATATTTTAGTTCAAAGATTGATGTTTAAAAAGGAATTAAATGACCAGCGAAGGACCCATTAAGGAAAGTGGGGAAATTTTGAATGACTTCACACGTCTTTAAATGACCAAATAGTTATTTTCAAATATAAATATCAAACCTATGAACTCTACTTCAGATCTTGTGAAATTTTTTTCACCGAGTTACACTTTCCTATTCAGCTTTCTTCTTTAAACCTCATTAAAACACATTTATTCACATCCAGTGTGTGATACCGTGTTTTTTTTATTTTTATTAATTAATTAATTTTTTATTTAGAAAGACAGATTTTCATCACTACATCAGTAATCACAGCTTCATCCATTTCAGATTATAACAGAGGATATGAGAAGCAGAAAGTCCAGGTGATTTTTTCCATGTTGCCTTTTCTGGTATTTTTTACCGAATATCTCTGACTTAATTGTAAAAGATAACAAAATTGAACAGAATTAAACAGTAATGGGGATTGCACCACCTCGGGTATTAAAAACCACAAAGACATAAGAGGGCAAGACATATTTCAGAAGAACAATCAAATGAAGTCGGATCTAATTGGTTTCACGTACTCAGTCCATTTGGACCAAATCTTTTAAAATTGTTCTTTTTCTAATTGGAGGTAAAAACAGATCCTTTCCATCACATAAATCTGCTAAACAATTTTAATCCATACATCAATAGTGGGTGGGTCTGGGTCTGCAGGTGCTTTAAGGTGGTTTAAGACTGAGTGTAGGAGCTGATGCAGGAAAATGCAGTGCATCAGGAAGGCATCCCTACAGGGTTTATATCCTAAGCAAGGTTTGCTGCACCTCAGTTCCACTCAACTACATGTGGAAGTAGTGACGTCTTACTTTAGTGGACAGATAAACAATAGATATCTAAGAACGTTCAGTTACTGGGTTTCATCATATAAAACATCCTAAATAAAATAAACAGATGAAGTTGCACTTAAAATAATTTGTTAATACATAAATTAGAGGAAGAAAGGATAAAAAGTCTTAATTCTTTCTTTGAAAGCTTCGCTAAGTATTAAGAGGAGGAAAACATTTCCTCAGGGAGTCTATCTTAAAACACAACTCATATGTCCGCCGTTGTTTAATCATGTAGGCCATGTGCCATCCTGCAAAATATTTCCCAAACAACCAGATATTTTCTTAAACATTCCTGCGGAATCTTCTTTATTGATATCAGGCAGCTTCTATTTCAGGTCGGCATCGAAACTCGTAATCGAAAATGTAAAGTTTGAATGATTCTGGGAGAATTAAAAAGGTGAGAACCGGTTCTGATTGATTGTCGCTGCCCAATCCAAGATAATTTTCCTCTGGATATTTGACTTACTATATTTTTACAACTTTGCTGGCAGGAGCTAAGTAGTTTAGTTTCATTACTTCCTTGTTTACACCCCCTACGCAGAGGCACAGTATCCTACCTCAGTTGTTATAGTATATATATATATACACCAGGGACTTTATTTTCTAACAAACTAAGCAGAACCAAAGTGTAAAACAAAAAAATAACAAACAATAAACCTGCAGGTAGCAGTAATCCATCAGAAAAAACGTAAGCATTCAGAGTGAGTTACTTTGGTATACATTTAGTGTGCGATAAAGTGACCATGCACCTTTAAGCTTTAGGGTAACAATAGAAGTCCAACATTCAGACTGAGTGTGAACTTCTCTTTATGATTAAACTTTTAGGTTTAATCATGAACGCAGGGCTTCAGTTCCTCCTAGGTTCTCATGCTTAAAGTTCCAGTGTTACTGGGTGGTAAACTGGGAGTTAATGGGCCGCCTAAAGCCTGTTTGCTGAGCTTCCCTCTGTGTTTATTAATGTTGTAAAAGCTCCCTGTTCACCAGCCTTGTTTATTGCTGTATTATGCACAGTTGTGTTTTTGTTTCTCCAATCAGGAGATCTACTGGGACTAAAAGATTGTGTAACTTCCTGTGTGTTTCTGTGTGAGCAGAGGCTTCGTGCAGCGATGTGCACAGTGTGACCCGTCTGTCAGCGAGGAGTCTCTGCGGCGAGCCAACAAGTCTCTGGATAACATCGTTCAGCAGGGGGTCAGAGTTCTGTCAGAGCGGCTCTACCTGCACATCAGGGTACAACTGAACCCCCCCACACACATGCAGTTTAAGAAACTTTAAAGTTTGCAGAACCAGGAACATTTCTCAATCGCTGACATTTGAGTCAGTGACTCACGGTAGAAATCAAAAGCTGCTTTATCAGTAAAGTGTTTCTGTTTAACCGTATCTGCGATCTGATTGGCGACCATCCAGTGCCACTCATCCAGAGAAGCTATTTGGTCCGTGCCAATGATGTTATGACGATTGGTAAGGATGATGAAGGTTTTTGTATTTTTCCATGCTGCAGCTGTTCTTTGAGCGCCTGGTGAAGAGGAAATGGCTGACCAACACGGAGCCTTATGAGCAGATCGAGGCGCTCATCAAGGAAGACTTCAAGAAGTACCGCAGGATGGACGATCCTCCCTATCAGGTAGACCAGAGTTTCCCAAACTTTTTTGACTTGTGTTTCCCTTTGGGCAATTTTTCCTCAAGTATACTTCTCACAGTCAAAAGTACTGATGATTTTCCAAAAGTGGAACTTACAGTAACTGAAATAAAGTCTGTTTTAATTCATTTTTTAATTTTAGCATTTCATTTTTATAATTATATGCTTTCCATCACAAATAGAAAAAAAAACAACATAACTGTGTTGCCTGGAAGTTATAAAATCATATTATTTATAAAACTGGAGTTCCTCTCAGAAACTCCCCTATAATCACATTTAAACTTGATGAATTGGGAACTAAAATACAGAATAAAAATTATATCCAGACTGACTTTATCAGTTTGACTTTGTTTTTATCAAGACAACTTGATGAGCTCTGATAGCTCAGTGTGAAAACCAGCTGATCCCAGGCTGTTCTCTACATCCGGTCTGGTGAACTCAAAGAAAAACATACTTTTTGGTTGATAAAAGCTTGTTTCGTTTTTTCGATTTAGTCCTCAGAAAGCAAAACAGATCCCAGCCCTATTTTATTTTACCTCCTAAGAAAAAAAATATTTCCATGTACCCCTTGCAATGCACTCGCGGACGGTTGGGAAACACTGAGGTAGAGGATGCCTTAGTTACAGCGCCACCTGCAGGTTTGATCTGGACGGTACCACTCTTCTCTTTGTGTGTTTGTCCCGCAGCTGCTGGTGGCTGAAGTCCACCGCCGGGTGGTGATGGAGTATCTCCGCTCCATCATGAGGGGCAGGATCATCTGCACCTCCATGAAGATGAGGAAGAGGATGGCTGGCCGACTCCGCGACGAAGGAAAACAGATAAAGGTCCTCTTCAAAGACCTGGTGAGTTCTGAGGAAAGAACTGGGAGCTGCCACTAAAAATGTTTGCATAAATGTCTGAATTAGGAAATCTAAACAGTTTTCTGTTTGTTATTTGTTCTCATCTCATCTATCCATGCACGTGTCTCAGATCTTCATCTGTGAGAATAAAAATTAAGAAGCTATGATTACAAGTTAGAAAGTCAAACTTTGCACAGATACGAGTACAAATCACAAATTCTTCATTGTTATTTTGGAATTTGCATATTCAATTAAAATCTTACTTGTAAATTTGTCTAACTCATAAATGTGTTCATTTTAATTTTAAAATTGTAATTTCTGCCTTTAAATGTGTGATTTGAGGTGTGTTCTTGCAAATTTGTGATTCACGCTTGTAAATTTCTAATTTGTAATTTATACATGTTGAATTTTTACTCGTAAAAATCCGGTTATTACACATAAATCTGTCATTTTTACTTGTACATTTCTCATTCTTACTCTTAGGTGTTTAATTCACACTCATGAATTTGTGATTCCTACTCATAGATTCCTGATTCTGTAAATTTTACCGGCATATTTGCAGAATTATAACTTTCTAACCTGTATTCATAACTTCTAAACTTGCATTCTTGCAGATAAAGATCTGATGTCACATGTATGTATGAATTGACAACAAGGAGCAAACACAAATCCAAAATGTATTTATATTATTGAATATTATTTAAAACTTTCAGCGTCTACACATATTTTCCAGTGATAGCATCTTTATCCTTTTGCTTAAGAGTTTCTTGAACACAAACCTTAACTGTGGCTCGTGGATCAGATCTGATGGAATAAATAGTTCAAGATAAATCTCTGAGAACTTTGCCTTGTGAGCTCAGCAGTTAAGGTGAGCTTTTTCTGTTCATCTTCTTCCTTTGTGACCTCATGCCTTCTGCATATTTTCAGGAGTCTCCAGCCAGCTGGTTGGACAGCGCTCTGTCTCACATCTCAGAAATCATCCAGCTGGAGGACGTCCCGTCCATGCAGATGGAGGTGGGCATTCTGGTCCGAGAGTTTCCAGATGTCAGGTACGTGGCATGTTCACTCCAGCAGAAGAAGAAGAATAAAAGAAGCTTTAACTCCATAACTGCAGCATTATCAGAAGATAACAGTTTTACCAGAAAATAAGATAAAAACAATTCAAGGAAACCTTCAGTCAAGATGAAGACTGATGTTTATATTCATGCAATCCATCATGGTTGTCTTCAACACATTCCAAAAACTTGTACTAGATTCTTACACCATCCATCAAACCAATTCCAGTTGTTCTAATTCTTCCTGCTCACTTGACTTTACGGTCCATTACTGCTGGTTGTCACTACCTGATCTGTCCCAGAAGCACACTCCGTACCATCAGCTATCAGATAAACATCCGGGGTTCCTTAAATGATGGCTTATGATGGTATTATGGTACTAAAAGCAGCTATTTATATCTGTAACTCACTAAAGAATGCTTATACACATCTTAAAAAATTTTTTTTATGCATTTTCTGAGACAATTTTATCTGCATGTTTATCTGCATTTCAGTTTTTTAATTTAATTTTAATAGTATGGAGGACGATCTTCTATTTCCGGTTGGATCATCTAAATAAGTGGTCCGCTTAATTGTCAATCATTCTAGTGATAAGTTTATGTAACGTCGTCCTACGTGCTCGCCCGTTGGCTCTTTTTCTGCGCATGCTGACTTTCAGACCTATATATGCGGTGAGCTACGGTTTCAGCTACGGCTTTTCTTTGAAAGTGGCCGAGAGTCGTAAAAGAAAAAGTGTCTAAGTGTATGAGAAGAAAATAAAGGCCACACAAGAGGCAGATATATCCCAGAATGCTTTGAGAGGAGAGCTCTCCTCCCAAAGCATTATGGGATTTGCTGCCACAGCGGCCCTCTGTCGCCATAGGCTGTCGCTACCAGTCAGCGCCGAATAATAACAAAGATGGCGCAGGCACAGCGCATACGACCAATGGAGAAGTGATCATCTGTCCGAACAGTGATTTAAACTGAGTTCACTATAAAGTCCACTATATATTCCCTGCTCTATGTAGTGATTGAGGGATTTAGGGTAGACGTTCAGGCACAGTAAACTTGCATGAGCTATGAGAACAGCAACTTTTAAAACAGTGTGCACGAGGAAAAACAGGCCTGTGCATGCTCTCGCACACACATTTTTTTTTTAAGTGGAGCATAAGAAAATTATTTTAAAAATTCACGAAAATCCTCCACAATACTTTTAATGTGAACATGTAAGGAAAACATAAAACTTTAAAGTCAAAGCCGAAAAAGTTAGCTTCCAGAAGTAGCGTAGGATTCCATTTCCAGAACAGATCACAGATAAGTGATAAAACAGAAGGAATTTCAATGTATTTATTTTTTCAGGAAATACATTATTAACCTTTTAACGCGTTATAGTTTAGTTTGCTTAATATTTTTGGGGAGCGAAAAATTTGATTTTTAGTTAGTATTTTTTTTACAAAATACAATCAAAGGCAAACTGGATGTATATTTACTGAAATGGGTCATGATTGGTTGACAGATCGAGTAGTAACACAGGTTCCTTTACTGGGCCGGGTCAGAACTGCAGAACTCCTCAGACAGGAATGTGGTTTATTACTGAAACGATGCAGTTTGAGGTAGAGAACATTTTTCAACAAAAACACCCATCCATTCATCTCTCCATCCGTCCGTCCGTCCAGAATATTCAGCTTTTGTTCAAATTGTTTACACCTTCAATGGTTATTACTTTTTTTTTTTAACGATATCAGGTTTACTGATACTTTTAGGTAAGTAAATGTTTGAGCAGGAATGAAGTCCTGTTGTCAAATCTGCAGAACCTGAACTGTTCGTGTTTCTGATGTTTGATTCCTCCTAACGCATTTCTGTTCATCCTTAATGAAACCCTCTTCTCTTTCCGCCTTCAGGAAGAAGCATGTGTCGGCCATCCTGAACATCCGCGGGATGACGCGGCAGGCAGAACGTCAGGAGATCCTCAACATCGTCAAAGACATCGAGAGCAGCGACGGCGGCCCGAGCTCGTTGCCCCGGGACCGAGCCCTGTTCGCTGAGGTTCCGGTCACCTCCGAGGTCCACTGTCTGAACGTGGGTCTGAGCCGGATCGCCCTCACCGCCTCGTCTTGCGTCAGCGTTCTGAGGCCGCGACGACGCAAAACCAGAACGTCCGTTCAGGAGAACCCGGAGGACGTTCTGTAACTGTCTGTCGGCTCAGATGGTCTGAACAGGACGTTTGTCTGGAATCAAAGCTGCTTACCCTGATTGGACCGTGGTCCTGTTCTGGTTCTGGCTGACTTGGAGACAGGTTGTGTTATTTTAAGAATCCAGATTTTCCTTCCCAGGCCTCCCATCAAGAGGGATTCACCTTCGATTGTTCTGAATGTTCGTTCCTCCTTTTTTCCCAAACTCTTCGAGGTTCTACTGACCTGACAAGAAAAGCTGACTTAATGGCTCTTGTGACCCAAGGTTCTTTTAGACAATTAAATGGTGGAACAAGGGTCCAGTACTTACCCACTGATTGGGAGACGAGCCTTTGAAGTCCTACTGAGGATCATGATGGTGAAGAATGGATCAAGAGCATGTGGGCAAATCATGTGACAATTCCAGGACTTCAGAGTCCAAAGCTTGCTTGGTTCAGTTCTGGAGATAAATTTGATGATCAACTTTCTATATGGTATTTAAACTGGAAACCAGTCACGAGTTCTGGTTCAGACTGTAAACCAGGATAAGGATCCTCCTGATCTGGGCTGAAATCCGCTCCGTTCTACTGCAGAAACTCTGGACGCTGAAATGAAAAAAAAGAGCACTTTATCTGGAAAGGAGAAAGGAGAACAGTTCTCTGTGGAATCCTCGTTGGACCAGAACTAATTTGAATGGTGTGGTCCACATCAGGATGTCTGGTTAATGTGGAACGAGAACCTTTAATCTGGGATTCTGGTGGATCCAGTGAAACTTTGTTTTCTATCAAAGTTGAAAAGAGAAACACTCAGAGTCCTTAGTTAGTCAGGAAGAATCTCTGCTGCTGGTCGTCTGGCGCCTGGGGAAATATTCCCATAGTTCCCACCAGTGCAGCTTCTAAACCTGAATACTAAGACCTAATGGGGGGGGGGGGGGGGGGGGGGCTCAAGAGCCCCAATGTATCCGTCTGTCTTGCATCTTTAATGGAGATGACCTGACTAAAAAAAGTAGTTGAGAAACTGACTATATTCCATCTGTAAAAAGGTATGGAAGGTTTCATTCACACCTGGACAAATTGAGATCCGGTTCCCTAAGAGGCTTTAGAAAAAGTACCGTCTTTAAATGGAAATCAGAAAAGTAAAAGACAGAAAGGGGAAGGAAAGAGCATTTCACTAGTAGTAGAAACAGCTTGAGTTGCTATCAGTTCTGTCAAAACAACGATAACAAGATCGCAGAAAAAAAACAACAACATTTATCAGTCCAAGTTATTACTGCTGGTTGATTGGTGCAGTTCTAAATTGCTGGTAAAACAGTTAAGTCTTGGGTTGGTATTCTGCGCTTTTTATTTGGCTTCCAGTGGCGACAGATTCTTCTTCCCAATCCAGAGATGACATAGATCATCCCTGGATTGTTAAAAAGATACTGTCGCCTCTTTTACCCCAAAAAACTGAATGCAGCATCAGATGACGTAGAGTATAACACAAGATAACGCAGGGTGAGTCAGAAAGGCATTCCCCCAAATATGGACGCTATTTCTCACAATGCAAAGGAACAAAATACGTTAGCAATTTAATGATGGTGATACCACATTTAGAGGAAGCTTAATTTAATTCAGTTTTTACTTCAGTTTGTTTATGTAGCATTGATTCAGAACACATGTCATCTCACTGCACTTTATAGTTCCCCAGATCGTACAGTCAAATTGATTCAAAGTTTTCTATTTAAGGAAAACCAGCTGATTTCATTGAAGGCAATCCCTCACACTAAGCATGCTTGTAGCGACGGTAGAGAGGAAAAACTGCCTTTTAACAGGAAGAAACCTCCAGAAGAACCAGGCTCAGTGTGAGCGGCCATCTGCTGAGGTCGACTAGGGTTAGAGGAGATAGAAGCAGAGAAAAAGGCAAGTGTAGAAGGCGGCCCCGTCCAGGAAACACACAGCCAGGCAGAAGCGCCTCAAACTCAAAATTTTGTTCAATTCAATCATACAGACTGATTGGCTAAATGTTTGATCCCCCGAATGAGCATGTAGAGACAGACCTGTAGTTTCGTTTGCCGCTATCTATCAGAGTAACTGTTTGCGATCAGTTAAGTAGCCGGTGAAAACAAAAAAGTTAATTAGTTTGAAGCATTTTAAAGGTTCTCCACTGTAGTTATTTTGTGACCTATGCTCAGGGGTCATTTTCTGAATAAATAAGCCTGCAGGGAACACTCTGTTTTCAGGTGAAAATCTCCTTAAAAAACCTGTTCCACCAAAAGTTACAACTTGACTGTAAGAAGACTGATATATAATTATGAGCTTCCTGATCTTAAAATCCCATCCTGGACATTTCACTTCATGGACCTTTGCCCTTCATATGCAACATATATGAGGCTAAACACCTGTCCCTCTAAATCTTACCAATCAGAACACAGAAAGAAAAACAAATTTTCCAAAAACAGATCATTGAGCTGCTGTCATTGCTCTTGGATCATATCCATTTCCAGGGTTTTTTTTGTTTTTTTAATCCCCATCTATTTTTATTCAAGTTTAATTACCTTTTTGATCTTTAATATTTAGTAAAACATATTTGTTTTAATTTGGTTTACAAAATAAGATACTAATCCAGAGGTCTGAAATGTAATAAATAATTCCTTTTTGCTGATCATGCTGAATTGATCCCTGAGCAAAAGCGGAGTTTGGTGATGATGCATCCAGTCTTTTCTGGCAGAGTTTTACTGAAGCACAAGAGGGAAGCAATGAACAGTTAAATTTAATCAAAGGTACTTCATATTAAGCTTCTGTATTTAAAGAATTGATCCTAACTTTGACGTTTGTAGGTATGATGATAAGGTTTATTATGTCTATTTGTACTCTTTTATTGGTTTAATTGGTGGTATAGTTTTGATTTTAAACTGGTGGTTAGAAGAAAAAAAAGTTGAATAAACAGAAATCTAACAAACATTTCACATTAGGGATATTTTCAGGGTTTTACTGCAGATCTCAGACCATACATGAAAAGTATTGTGTTTTGAAAACTACACTTCAAGAAAGGCTCATTAGCTTCATTTTAAAGTTTCATTTATACCACTGAGCTGAGACCTAATCCAGATTTCAGTAGGATTTGTTATTTTATTTTGAATGTGGATGTTTGGACTAAATCGTGTGTCCTGAAATAAAATTAACATGAAAATAAATTCAAATCAAATCATCATGTTTGTTTTTTTGTGTGCTTGTTTCTCATTCAGGTCTGAAATCAATATCAGTATCTTTTGTTTGTGGTGTGCAACAGATAATAATTATATTAAAAACAAGAACGCAAAGTTAAAGGTAAATAAAATTCAATTTAGGGTAAAACCCAAAAAATAATTGTTGATTAAATGATTATAATGTAAAATGTTACCAAGGTGTATAAATCTTCTTACCTTTCTCCACCAGTAAACTTAATGGATATGGTTATAAGCAGATCGTCACCCAAGGATTAATGTTTTTTTCAAGTGTTAACCAAAAATGGTGGATCTGACTCTGAGAAATAAATCAGTCACTGCTATTAATAATCACAAACAACCGCAGTTATAATAATGGTACTTTTATTCAACCTAATAATCCCTGTTATTATGTTTAGTGTGTAAATATACAAACACTTCAAGCTACTAGGATAAACGCAGAATTCTTGAAAGACGCAGTAAACATAAAGGGTTGAAATGAGTTAATTAGGTAGAGTCTTTGATGATGTTGAGTTCATTAGCTCAGCTGTAGTAATGCACTGAAAGCATGTGCATCAGATTAGCAGCACAAATTATATAAAGCAGTAAGATGTGTAACAGTGGTCTTTTGTAACATTTGACTCAATCAGGTTTTGGTTAGTCCAATAATGAACAGTTAGCAATAAGCAGAATTCATTTGATGTGACTGAAATGAAATGTGCATGAAAACTAGTAGTGATGTGGGGATGCGATGCTTCTGTTAGGTCAGCAGACTGTCCCTGGTCAAAAGTCAAATCCACAGAATGACCCTGGTTACGAGTCTACATAGCAGCCCAGCCTCTGCCTGTTAGTGGATCAACAGCTTCTAAACTACAGCAGGTGAGGTTAGGAAGCGTCAGTGCTGCAAGGATCCTAATGAGAGTCCGAAAAGTACGACCACAATTCCACCCGTTCTCCACTCACTTCACTGACTCCCTGATCACAGACTGCAAAAATAGGTGAAAGTGTCTTAAATTAAGGGTATTTACTCTTAATTTAAGAAGGTAAATATGATGATTTGCCAATGGAATTAGTGTTTTAGATAGTATGCACTTGAAATAAGACTGCAATTGTTTTTTCTTATTCTAGGTGTAAATTGTCTTGTTGGCAAAGTGTCACAGTTACTTCCTCAATACAAGAACAAATGCACTTATTTATATTTCGATTTTTTGCAGTACACCCTTTCTCCTCTCATTTCACTGACTCCTCTCACTACAACATGATCCAGCTGCTCAAAACACTCAAACCACCTCCTCCTCCCCAAGACTAAGCTAAGCACTATGGACGACCGTGCCTACTGCTTGGATGCTCCTCGGACCTGGAAAGCCCTCTCCTCCTCTGACATGGGAGTCGGCTCAGAGCTGGTCTGCCTGGCTGTGTGTTTCCTGGACGGTGGCTGCCTTTTATAGCTGCTGCTTTCTGTGTCTCTGATTTGGTCTCCTTGAACTCCAGTTGGTCTCGGCAGATGGCCGCTCACACTGAGCCTGGTTCTGCTGGAGGTTTGATCCTGTTAAAAGGGAGGTTTTCCTCTCCACTGTGGCTTTAAGCATGCTTAGTGTGAGGGATTGCATTCGAGTCAATGAGTCGATGCAATCAACTGGTTTTCCTTAGATAGAAAACTTTGTATCAATTTGACTGTATGATCTGCTGAACTGTAAAGAGCCTTTAGATGACATGTGTTGTTAATCGGGGCTATGGAAATAAACTGAATTGATTATCTGAGGGAACCGCAGACTATCCAGACTTTAAAAAAAGGGTTAAAACATTTCTTTTTAGCAGAACTTATGACTTAACCTTTTATAATTATGCCACCAACTTATTTATTCATATGTATTTTACATTGATGTTTTGCTTTATCTTTCTAGAATGATTTTACCTGTAGCATTTTGCTATTTTTCTGTAATGTAAAGTACATTGCAAATAAAATGCATTATTATTACTATCTTTCTCAGAACCTCAGGCACTGGTGCCCCCAGGTTTGTGTTCGCTCTCCGTTCCTCTTCTTTCTGTAAAACAAATGACTTCACCTCAGTGGACCCATCTGTTAAACCCCTGAGGTTTGCATTTGACACCGGGGAGGGGGGGATACATCGCTGATTCATTGCTCCCTGAGGGACGTAGAAATGATTGGAGACTTTAAGATAAGCTGGATTTATCAGAGCATTAACCCCTTTCAGCCCAAAACGGGGTGCGGTTAAACAATATTTGTCTTAGCTGGATTTTGAATTTGCTGCAACATTTTGTGTGTTCTCTGGGGCCTCCTCTTTAGGTTACAGAAAGGGATTCTCTATCTAATGTCCTTCTTGGTTTGTATATAAATGACTAAACAGGCCAAAAGCTCCATCTCAGACTCTTCAGGCCTGGGTTAGCGGTTTAAAGCCTTTACTGAGCGTTTAATTGTGCTCTGCAAAGCCTGCTCACACTTCCTCACAGTGCCTGCTAGAACGATAAATGTTCACTTTTTGTTTTAAAGATTTGAAAATAAAGCACAAAATCCGGCTGACATTTTAATGCAGTTTATTGAACATTTTCCCATCAAACAGAAGTAAAAATGTTTGGGAAGTTTCCTCCTACAGAGAGTAAAATATCATCAACAGATGTGAATATAAGGTAAACAGAACAAAAACACAGATAATCCGTCTTTGAGGCAACACGGGAATTGTTTTGCAATAGCGTTAGTAAGTTTTTTTGTTCTAAGAAAAACAACTTTCTCCAGAACTTTTTCTGATATCAAAATTTCACAGCTACCACTTCCTCTAAAGCCCTTTGGATGACATGCAGTTCAAGACACCTTTTCAGTGTCTTTAAGATCAATTTACAACTTGAGAAAATGTTAGAAATCCATAGTTTGTCAGGTTATAGTTTTATTTCGGTAAAGGATTAGGGCAGGGCTTCACCCTATTTACCAAAATAAGAGACAAATAAAAACACACAAATATGAAATACCACCAGCATTATTTTCAAGGCTAAATAAATACTCTGATGAAATTTACAGAAAACTTACAAAACGTTCAAAATGTTCTATTATATTTACATTTCACTAATATATCCACCAAAACCAGGACTGGAACCAGGATCAGAAACTGAACAATGAATAAGAAGTGAAACCAAAGCAGACCAAAACCGACAACCATAGATTCAAAGTAACATGATTACAGACTAAAGCATAAAGACAAAAAATAAACTGTTAGGAAGATAACCAACACCATCTCTAGTTTGTTCTGGTTCTGTTATTTGCTGGATTTATAACTGCAGGATCATTTTGTATCTATGTATCTCTATTATGTCAATGAACCCCGAGCTTCAAAAGTTCAGAATTAAAGCTTTATTTAGTCTTATACTGAAAACCATGAAGAAATGAAACAAAACAGGAAGTTGGTTCCATTGACCCAGAAAATTCTAGTGCATCAAAAATCTAAAAAAAAAAAAATTTCACAGCTTTTTACGCAGTTCTTAACAAAACACAGATTGCTGACTAATTTACCTTTTCTGCCTTCCTGTCAAGTGTGGTTAAAATTGCAGCTGGGAGTAAGGCTAAGCGTGGATATAGAAATATTATTGGAAAGAACCTCCCCTATTAGCTGATATAGTTAGTGTCATACACACTGTGTGTCAATCCTATACATCGAGTAATGTCCTCTATGCTGTTATATTGGGGAAAAGGATGGATCTTCAACAAAAAATTTTGATTTTTATAAAATATGGCTTCATTAAAGCTGGGAAATTGGCAGATAATATGATACCTAGAAGTACTTTCTTTAAATGTAAATCTATACTGTGGGAACTGTGTAATATAGTGCTGACAGGTATAACAGCAAAGATGCTGTCAGTTGTCTTTATTAGCTCAAGTTGGCTAGTTGTGATTATTACATCACAGTTTGTTGGTTTCTGGCCTTGATTCTGAAATTCCTAAACTACAGGCTAAGAAAAGAGGGTTTTCTCTGAGTCCTTCCTTCAGAGGCGGACTGAGCCTAGGGTTGCCAAACGTTCCTTCAAAAACAGAATCTACCTGTCCCGTGTTTAGTGGAAAAGGAACGCACTTTGTCCCGTATTACTGTGAGAGTAAAAAATAGTCAGTAAAAAGCTAATGTAAAATGAAGAACAAGGGCACGTTAGATACTAAACTTACAGTAAACTAGTTCCTGGGTCCTGTCCTGCATTGTGACCAATGAGCTGACAACATATATGTAACAATCCAGTATACCCTCATCCCATTGGTTGAGCCAAGTGTTGCTCACAGAGAAGATAGCAGGAGACAACAGAGCAGCATGGGGGACGAAAAGAGTAATTCAAATGCTGACGCTGCTTTTGGGGGCGGACAACTCCTCACTCAGCTCAGAGGAAATACAACTGGGAAAAGTAGGCTACGTAAACTTTTTCCACTTGTTTTACAACTGTAGCCTACAGTCATTGCATTTAAGGCACAAATATGTTTACAAATTTGCACAACTTTGCTCTTGCACCCAAAATGCGCACTATTTATGTGTTGTTTTATATTCATTTTTACAGTTTGAAGTTAAGCAGGACAGGCTTATGTTTAAGATACTTATTTTATCCAGCAAAGTTTATTTTCTACTAAAGTGAATTGCTGGGAAATAATTTGTTTTCCATGTGTTCATGTCACTCACAAATATGCATCTAATTCAATGCAGATTTGAGTCAAATAGTTAGAAAAATTAGGTGTCCCTTTTTTTCAGGGAGTTGGCAACCCCACTGGACACTGGCAGCACTGTGTCTCTGCATTAGACTGTAACGATCTTGGTTCTGTTGGTTTTCTCAAAGTTTTCAGTTTCATGTTTATCCACGTCTTACTTTGTCTCACCCTGGCTCCTTGTGATTGTTTTCCCATGATGTCTCCATAGTTCTGGTTTGTGTTTAATTCAGTAAGGGATTGTCTGGAGGTTTTTGTAAGGACCCACATGGAGAGGCTGAGAGGCGGGGGTGAGTTCTTGGGAGATTTAATGAACAATCACAGGCAGCAAAACAGGTATCCAAAAATCCAACTTAAAAATGTTAAACAAAAACAGGTATCCAAAAATCCTACATAAAAAATAAACACAAACCAGAACCATGGAGACATCAGGGGAAAACAATCACAAGGAGCCAGGGTGAGACAAAGTAAGACGTGGATAAACGTGAAACTAAAAACTTGGAGAAAACCAACAGAACCAAAATCGTTACATAGACTATTGTAAATTAACAGTCGTTGTATTGGAGAAGGTAAGACATAAACACTAGATACAAGAAATCTAAACTTTGTCATGTCCTAGCATCACCGCTAGCTTAAAAACATATCTAAAGCCAAAATATTGAGGAATTGAAATTCTGTAAACCCTTTATGAACCCCACTAATACATGACCAACAATGAATGTTGAAACTTTGTGTCATATAATTTGATTGAACCTCTTTTTCAACAGGTGAAATGATTAAATTTAGGATTTTAAACTTTACTAGTTTTTATGGAATGCCTGCCAACTTTGGCAAGTTTTTTCAAGTTTTATATTTTAACTATATTCAAGTCAGTATTATCATACTTATACTTGTTTTTTGAGCTCTACTGTGTGCTGTGCTGTGGTGATGTCCTATCCAGTAACACATATCAATGGTATTTAGCGTATGAGAGGAGTAGAGAGAGGTCACAGCGGCCAATCAGCTGTCAGATGGTTAGGCGTCCAGTTACACAGTGGTCAAAGATACATACTTTCAAATTAGGAAAACAAATTGACCAAATTTTAAGGCTACAACAAAACAGAATTGAATATCTAAACCATGTAGTAAATTGTGTTAAAAAGGAAACACTTGGCCAACTTCTACTAAACCTTAAATTAGAATGTTTTTTAAACTGTGAAGATTTCATAAGTCCAGTTTTCCTATTTATTTAAATTACTTTTTATTAAAAGCTCGCCCTTTAAAATTCAAGGGCTACAAGGGGGGATTCACCTCATACTGGTTTTTAGATGCCATTGTCAACTTTATTCTTAACAGCCTGCATTTGTAACAAGGTGATTGATAACTATAGTAAGCAGATTTCCAAATGTATTTTCTAAATCACATTTCTTACACTCAGCAATTGTTTTTTGTTTTTGCTTTTTTGACGTTGAGACCTGCATGAAATCAGGACTAATTCACTTTAAAAAATTAGAAAACATTGTTTTTTCTTATTAACTGCTCCAGTTCTGAAAAAAATAGACTTTGCTATAAAGAGAGACCACCCACTGCTTCAAACCTCAGCTGAGTTTTTTCCTGAGCCTCTTCTGATCAGCTGATTTGCAGCTCTAACCTCTACCATCAAGGTTTCTCCTCATCAAAACTAAAATCTCTTTCAGTTTTTGTCCCCAAACTCTCTCAATAAAAGAGAGGTGCAGCAAGCGTCCCTTGGATCCCTCCTGAAGAAGAGGGGCACCACCATCCTGCTCTCCCTCACATCTTTATGCAGACTCGACACTGAGCAACATGCTCCCTCTGCTGCTCAGAGTCGGTCAGTGCAGTGTTGGTGCCTTTGAAGGTGGTCAACCAGAAGCTGTAGACGTTGGCGAAGAAGTGGCAGGTTCCCCGAGCTCCCTGACACTCTACGAAGGGCTGAGCTTTGAACTCTTTCAGACAGCTGCCAGGGGACATCAGCGAGAGGCCGCCTCCCTCATCACCTCCACCTGTAAACTACCAACATATACAGAACAGGATGTTGGTCAGGACCTCCTACGACTGCTGCCACATTCCTCCTACATAGTTTTTCTAATAAAGGGAATAAGTATTTTAAAGGGACACTATGCAACATTTTTCAGTTAATTAATGTGTTCCATAACGTTATGGATGACTAAATGAGTCATATCAGGTTGAACAAAGGTATTCTCGGCCGCCCTGGTGGTCTGTGGGGGAAATACTGCACTTGCAACTGCAGGAGCACCGACCCGCACCAACAGGCTCAGAAGTCTCGTGAGAGTCAGTCTTGCTTTACGGCGAGAACTGCTACACCCCCCAGTTAAAAGCATTCTCGTTGCTAGCACAGTGGCAATCTTTGTGCAGTTATGCTACGTTCACGCAGCAAAAGCAGCAAAATCGCGTCTGCTGCTTCCTTTTTGCTGCTTGTACCAGTTAGTTCTGACGCGAGGCTGAAGCAGCTTTGCTGCTCTGGCTGCGGGGTGCAAAAGTGTGTCTGAGGCGCGTTGGGCGGAGCTTCACTATCCTTTCTCTGCCTTGCAGCTATATTTGCTGTGATCAGTGGGAATAAAGTAGTTTTAATATGTGTTTAAGTGAGAAAATACACCTGAAAACGTAATCAGTGCAGTCAGTTCATTCAGATTATTATCCTGCCTTCAATATTTTTTCTGTCGGAGCCGCTCAGACCCCCACATACCAGGGATGCGCCGACAGTATGGATCCCTTCATCAGCAGCGGTTCACTGCGGCAGCTGGTAGGTGTTTTTCATCTAAATAATCCAAACTGCATATTCTGCCGGCAGATTTCTGCATTTTAAGTTAATTTAGGCGTCAATAAACTGTTTAAGAGGAGTGATCATCAGCGCTGTGTCTCTCTCCCTGCGTTAAACGCACCCGACGCGCTGCTTCAGCTGCTCAGACGTGCTGCGCCTGGTGCTCAAAACGCGCCGCGGGACCTTTTGTTGCGCCTTGACGCGCGTCAACCATTAACTTTGCATGTAAACTCGCTGCTTCTGTCGCGCCAGCTACGTCCAATGTGAACGCAGCGTTAGTCATTCGCTGCTAAGCTCAAAACAACCGCGCCTGGCTTGACGGAGAAACCAGGAGAACAGCTGTGCATATTTACGACAGTGCACTTTTACTTTCGCCCTCTGGAGGGAGCCTCACTGGAAAATCAACACCGGTTGCATAGTGTACCTTTAACGCAACGTACTCCTTAACGAAACTCATTGGTCCTTCCACTCTACTATTAACTAACAACGTTAAATACCCTTTCTTACTTTTATCTTTTTTTCAGTCTGAAGTCACACAAAACATTGCTAAGAGAAGTATTTTCTATTTATATTAACAGCGTTTATCATTTTAACTTTATAGCTGACTAATGCCAATGAATTAACCCTGATTTATTCACGCTTTAACTGGGCTGTTGTCTCGGTGTCTGGTTGAAGAACCTCATGATCTCATCTCTGTTTTGGGCAGATCCTGAGGCATGTCTCACTAGGAGGAAATCACAGAAGACCCAGTTTTGTTAGGCCATTCTCAGGCCAGACAAAACTAGCGTTGCGCCAATGCCATTTTTTGGCCCTGATACCCGATACCTGGCTGTGCAGTATTGGCCGATACCGATATCATCTGTTTGAAATTGATTTGTGTGTATATATGAAGAACTAGATATTACTTGGATGTAAAATAATTGCCATCATCGTCAAGCTGCTGACTACCTTTGTGAAGCAGGAAAAAGATTAATACAAAGTGAATCCAATAGAACTTTTTATTGCCTATCATGAATGGGTGACAATAGTTGAATAAACTTTTTGTGTTAGAAAATCTCATAATGGAATCAGTGCCCTATTTGTTGGTACAAGCCGGTACCACCATTTTACTGCTGGATCAGGGCCCCGCCTGTTACTGGTATCGGTGCAACACTAGACCAAACATCTAGTACCTTCTTGGGGTCCCAACAATGAGCTGGAGATTGTTGCTGAAAAGTGAGGTTAGACAAAAGTAGGATAATAGAGGACTACAGATATTCAGACCTCATCTAGAACCCAACTACAGTCTGCTCTCCATGTGTCCCTGTACTCTGTGCTCAGGTCTCCTCTGTTTAAAGGAATAGTACACCCAAAACATGATTAGCCTTCATTTTCTACTCACCCCCATGCTGAACAACACTCTGGAGTATTTTTTTGATATCTCAAATGCATCTGGAGATCTGGGAGGCTTCTTGCTGTCTGCTGACATTCAAATAATGGAGGTCTATGGTGCCCGAGGCAGAAAGGTCCATAAAAGTCCACAAAAAACGTGTCAATATTCCTCCATACTGCTCGTCCAAGTGTCCTGAGTGGGTAGCGTCCATAATTTACTCGAAACGAAGTAATTTAGAATGTTTTTGGAGCATAAACAGTAGTGTATAGGATTTCCTAAAAGCGCGTTCACGAGTCTACGGAAACCGCGGCAGACCAAACCAGATGAAAGTGCGCATTCAGCTCGGCAAAGAACTCATGCCCTTCCTCAACACTGAAGTCCTCAGACATTTTACTTTCGTTGTTTCTTTCTTTGCACAGGTAAACAGCACATTTCTTCTTCTACGCTTGCATTATCGGCAGAGCAGACGCTGAATGCGCACTTTCATGCTCCAAAAACATTCTAAATGACTTCGTTTCGAGTAAATTATGGACGCTATCCACTCAGGACACATTAGACGAGCAGTATGGAGGAATATTGACACGTTTTTTGTGGGCTTTTATGGACCCTTCTGCCTCAGGCGCCATAGACCTCCATTATTTGAATGTCAGCAGACAGCAAGAAGCCTCCCAGATCTCCAGATGCATTTGAGATATCAAAAAAGTACTCCAGAGTGTTGTTCAGCATGGGGGTGAGTAGAAAATGAAGGCTAATCATGTTTTGGGTGTACTATTACTTTAAGTTTGGGATGGTTCTTTGGCCCCCCACATCCGCCATTGAGCACATTTTCCTGCTGAAGAAACTTTATTAACCTTATGCAGGTGTATGCATCCTGGTGTTAAACTATTTTCCTTAATCCCAGGTCATACTCAGTTGCATCTGTTTTTTTAAACTCTGATCCAAATTTTTTCCCATATCATACTGACTGCTGTGCGCATAGAGAGGCTTTTTCCACATAAATTTGTTTAAATATTTTTTTCTTTCATATAAAAAGGAGAGTGATACAATGCCATTTCCTGCCTCGTCCCTTGTTGTTTTGATTTTTTTTTTAGGCTCGAAGACTATAATTATTTACTTTATCCTTTTTCTGTCCTCCTGAACATAAAAGTATGACCTTAGTGGTCTTTTAAATATTTTCTGAAACTTAAAACATTTAAACCCATCCAGGCTTTGACTTGTTCGGGACATTTCAGGAGCCTATTGATTGCGACTGGATCCTGCTTTTGCTGGATCTTGGACTTTGCTCAACTATTTGAAAATAAACTGGAGTTTTTATTTAATCTCATCAATGCTTTTAAAATTGAATAAAGAATTCCTACCCTTGTGAAGAGAACCAGAGTTTACAATCACTCCTTTTTTATTTGAGTTCTAGTCTGCAACGCTCTGGCTGGGCAGAACTTACCATAATGAAGGAATATCCTGTCCACAGAGATGTCCAATTGGGGGGACAGCTTGGCGGTTCCTTGGAGTTGGAATCGTGCATAGCCACAGGTGCAGAGGGGGCTTCGCACACAACACAGCGACTGATGTGGTTCTCAATGGCAATTCCATTAAATGGCCTATTAGGAGCCCTCTCCATCGTTGACAGCCAATAGGCTTTGTCATTTCGACCTGCGTACTGGCATTGTTTGGTACCACATACGGAGAACGGCATGGTGGAGAAAATACGAACACAGGATCCAGCCTGACCTAAAAACAGGAAGCAGATTCACCTGCTGGGCTTGACTTTATCCCATTTATCCCACTACTCTTTATAACCAAACAGAATCTGGAAACTATAAACTCTGTAGCTCCAAATAAAAACCCTTCAGCTTCAAGAACATCAGAGTTTAGAACCACCTTCCTGCTAATGTAGACATGAAGAATATTACTACTTGGAGTAAGACCTGATTAATGAGGACATTTACAGTAGCAGCCATTCAAAATGGCCCTTCCCAGTCAAAAGCCACCCGAATGGCAGCAAAATCCCCTCTAACTTCCAGCTACTGGCCTTCTCATGGGTGTGCATATATTTTACACCCTTTCACTGAATTACAGGCTCTAACCAGGAGATGACACTTCTATTTAGATCTTAATGTCCAGAAACCCTGACAGAAAGAGTATTTTAGATTTTAAAAAAAGGAATTATAGGGGACCAGCCAATGACCAGCAAAGGGCCCATCAAGGAAACTTGGGACATTTTGAATGGCTACTTCTGAATAGGGAAGACATATCTAAAATATATTTGTTTAATTCCATATCTTAGAAGTATTTCGCAGTGACTGAATAAATGCCTATACCTAGATCCTGGGAGTAAGCCCTCTCCTGGCCCTCCATGTACAGCAGACTGTATCCAATCCAAAGCTGCTGCATGTTTGGTGGGCAACTTGGAGGCTCCTTTTTTTGGCTGTGCTTTACCAGCAGGAACCCCATTGTTACGACTGTGGTCTGTCCAGGTTTACCTCGGTCCCCCGGCGGACCCGGAAAACCTGTAGGCACAAAGAGCAGGGCAGGAAGTTACATCAGTGATGTGTTACGCCTAAAGGACGCCTTAGAAAACAAAATAGTCGTGAGAGAAAGAGAGAATGTAGTGAATCCTTGAAAAGCTGCTGCTGTACCTATGCTAATGTTCCTAATAAAGCCTAAGAAATAAAACCTTCGCTTAGAGCTTCCTTTGGGACTTTGAAAAGATATGTCAGTCAAACTGATCAAGGCTAAATCTAACAAACATGGACAAAATAAATCATAAAGCCAACTATTTTTTATATTTCCTTTAAAATGTTTCTTTAGCATCTTTAGTGTGCATTTCAGTTTTTATTGCAAAGAGTCCGTTTTCAGAGATTAAAGGATGTGGAGTTGTGTCTGGAAAATGCAGATGAGTTTGCTGCTGATTTGTAGCTCTCACTGTACAGTTGTGTGATCATTTAGCAAAGACAATATTTAATATTTAGTATGTATGTAAACAGGCATAGAACATTTAAAAAGCACATGGAGAATAGTTAATGTGTATGTGTTTTTAAATAAAGCTGTTTCAGTATTTATTACACAATTGAAATTTGGCAGAATTTTCAATTCATAAAAAATTTTCCTAAAAAATGTGTTTTAGTACAGATAACTGAAAAGCAATTTATTATTATTTAATGTTGCAGAAGACCACAGCAATCAAAGAGACATGCAAACCTCATGCAGAAGTTAGAGAAACTTTGATGTAGTTTATAATGTTTCTAGAATTTAATAGGGGAATTTTCTTCATATAGTCTTCAATCAAAATGCGAAACATGTTTTACATGTGTTGGTTTTATGTAAAACATGAGTTTCACATATCTTACATCTCATATTAATGATTATTAAAAGAAGGTAAACTTGCAGAAGGATATAAGTTTAGGAACATTTCCTGGTCTTACCTTTTTCTCCCAACACTCCGTTCTCTCCTGGTAGACCTGGTCTTCCAGTGGCCCCTGGGTCGCCTTTTGGACCCCCAGAACCCAGTGATCCATCTTCCCCCCGATTCCCCTTCACCCCTACAACACATTACCATCCAACAAGAACATAAGACGCAAGGTAACCCAAGCTGGACCAACAAGTATTTCCGATTAAATACAATTTCTCACCATTCAGCCCTTTTGGACCAGGGTCTCCCATCAGGCCCTGTTCTCCTTTAGCACCAGGGGGACCTGGTAGTCCTTCAGGCCCTTCAAGTATTGGTGGATATTCATATGGCAAGACTCGTCCCGGCTCCCCCTTTAAACCCTCTCGTCCTTTCTCCCCCTTCCTTCCTTTGGCCCCTCGGGATCCATAGGGACCCTGCACACCTTTATGTCCAGGTTGTCCCATTGTCCCTGGATCTCCTCTCATTCCTGAACAGACAATCAAACTTTTTCATTCATTTACCCATTAGGAAGAGAGGGCTATATCTTACAGTTTTGGCTGATGTAACATATTCATAATTTTCTTAATACAAGCTGCATGACAAGGCTTAACCACATCACCAGAACTCCCCACGAACACTGCAGTTCTTAACGGTTGTGTCCTGAGACGCTTACCGTATATGCTTTACACCAATGACTGCGTCAGTTCATCTCCCATCAAAATTTTTAATAAATCTATAAGAGCTATCCTTGCTCTTTACACAGATGACCTTTGTTCTGAGTGATGAAACAACCATCAGTCACCTCACTCACTGGTGTGAACACAATCACCTGTACCTCAATGACTTAGACAACTTTTATTGTCATTTTGTATACACAGTGGCGGGGATGAACCAGTATGAATGATTGGTGGACATCTGTTTATAATAGGTTAACTCAAAAACCCCCGATCTGACTCCGAACCGGTATCGGTAGCGGTATCGGTATCGGATGCCTTCTCCCTTTCCGTTCCTTTTTGAAACCCAGGCTGTGGTGCGCTGGATATTTTTAGCCGTGGACGTTTTCACCACACTGCTGCTTATTTACACATTCTCTTGTCAATTTCTTTCTTTCATTATCACTATGTCAAATGATGTGCTCGTGGGATTTAAGCCCCGGTATAAGCGAACTGGTGACAGACGGGGAGAGCTGATGTGATTCAAGAGCTGAACATCAAACCATTTATCATAATTTCATGGGAGGGGGTGTGGGGGTCAATATATTTATGCTTAGTTTTACTGTTTCCTGCTGAAAAAATGAGGGAGAACATAAGGTTTATTTATTTTCCTGCTGGATTTTCTTTTTATATTTGAAAAATATAGCTGGAATAATCTTTTCTTATACTTTTGCCCCCCCCCCCTCAGTCAGGGGCCCTTAGAATTGTCCTAACTTTTCCCCCCAATACGGCGGCCATGGTTACGCCATCCTGGAGAGAAATATCAGCTGTGCTGCTGCCATCAACACCTTTGTTTATAGATGTTGGAATCAGCCTGTTTTTATGTGTAGTCCTGTTTCTCTGACTGTGACTGGCTGGATGTGCTCTCTTCATCCTCTGACATGGGAGCTGGCTCGGAGCTCCTCTGGCTGGCTGTGTGTTTCCTGGATGAAGCTGATTTAAAGTTGCCTTTTGTATCTCTGCTTCATTTTCTATGTCTGCTTCCTTGAAACCCAGTCGGCCTCAGCAGATGGCCGCTTACACTGAGCCTGGTTCTGCTGGAGTTTTCTTCCTGTTAAAAGGGAGTTTTTCCTCTTTACTGTCGCTACAAGCATGCTTAGTGTGATGCTTGCCTTCGAGTCAATTAGTTGATGCAATCAACTGGTTTCCCTTAGATAGAAAGCTTTGAATCAATTCGACTGTATGATCCGGTGAATTGTAAAGTGCCATGAGATGACAAGTATTGTGAATTGGTGCTATAGAAATAAACTGAATTGAATTGAACCAGCCCAAATTATGTTCACCCACCCAAAGCAATTTTCACCCTCAAAATCAAAATAAAAACTACCCAATTAGGTCTGAATGAGGCAAAAGTAGGTAACCTCTATCACAGGGATGTGACGGTGGAGTCGCTCCTGCTTTTGTCATTAACATTTCATCTCAACATGTTTAAAGGACTCATTCACAAAAACACCTTAGAAATTTTTTTTTTTAATATATTTACAAGCTGCTGAAAAATTAATCCTCCACTCAGAACAAGGTAATAAACTAGAGTTAAGCAGCGATGCTGCAGCATTTAAAAACTGCAGAACAACAGAGTAAATAAGTTGGAGTCTTTTACAAATGAGTTTAATACAAATATTAACTTCTGTGTTTATGAGCCCCAGTACAGCCTGCATGTCAGCATGAAGCATAGTGGGACACAATATAATCCGATACGAGTGCAGAGAAAGCGCACTGCTCTCTGTGAGGGGAGGAGCACTCCGGTAATTTTTTTTTTTTTTTTGCTGTTGCAGCAAAACTATAATTTTTAAATATCCCAATTCTTGGCCAATGTTGATTAATTAATTTCAATTCAGTTTATTTATAATATAAATGAAATTATAAATTGAACTTTATTGATCTCACAATGGAGAAATTAACTCTGCATTTAACCCATCCCCTTTGGGGAGCAGTGGTGCCAGAGGAGCAATCAGGGGTTAAGGGTCTTTGCTCAGAGAGCCAGGTGTGGGAGTGGGCTCAAACTCAGAACCTCAGGATTCCAAGCTCTATTCCCTAACCACTAGGCCACCACTCCACTAAAGTTTTTTTAATTTTTTTATTTAACCGTATTTATCTCACATTGAAGACATTCACCTCTGCATTTAACCCGTCTTCTTGGGGAGCAGTGGGCTGCCATTGTGCAGTGCCGAAGTAAACTTAAAAAAGCAGTGTTGTATAAAGTACTGAAATCTCGGAGTCAAGTAAAAGTATAAGTATCTCTCCAAAATATGACTTTGGTAAAAGTCCAAGTCACTGACTGAAATGTTACTTGAGTAAAAGTCTTAAAGTATCTGAAATGGCTTGTACTTACGTATAAGAATTACTGTAAACTAAAAGTATAAGTAAAAAGTAAGGTAGTTTGAATAACACATTTTTACATTTTGGTAAACTTTGAAGGTTAAATTCACTTAAAATAATATAAACAACCAAGTGTAGGATAAATTTAGACTGGCTTTGCGAAACAGGCGTATCCTATTGGTGTTGGTGGAAAAGCCCAGGCAAGACCTAACTTTGTAGTCAGTAGGTGGGGTCAAAACACATGCGTTTCTCTCGTTCGTTTTTCTTTTTCTTTTTTTTTACTTAGTAACTAAACCAAACATTGCAAATGTATCGGAGTAAAAGTATGCAAATAAGTTCGTAAAGAGTGAAAGTTCTCAAAAAAATGTATACTCTTGGAAAATATAAAGTACTCCAAAATGTACTTAAGTACAGTATTGAAGTATTTTTACTTTGTTACTATATAACACTGTAAAAAAGCATATAAGGGCTGTGGGAGTGGGGCTCAAACTCAGAACCTCAAGATTCCAAGCTCTATTCCCTAACCACTAGGCTGCCACTCCCACATAACGCCAGATCAAGTGGACCAGGCCATTGCCAGGTCACCAGGATATGTCCCTGTGCTCCTGATGTCTAGTCGGACTCTGCATGTCACCGACCTCGATAAAGTCTTTATATCACAGCTGAAATCCAAAATGGATCTTGACATTCATCTCCTCAGTGCCCAAAACAGCAGTAAAGAATCCAAAACTAAGCATCAGTTATAGTTATACAGCTTCAACATTCTCCTTAATTAAATGTCTAAATCTTTTACAGTCCTCTCACTTTTTCATACGATATGTCCGTTTAGCCTTAACTACTGTATGTATCCATCTGTATTACCATAAGAATTTCCATGTTGACGGTTTTGGATATAAGGAGTTTGAATTCAGAAAAAGGACCAAGTCTGACCTTTACAGCCTTGGTTTCCAGGGTTGCCTTTTGGTCCTGCTGGCCCCGGAAATCCCTGTGATCCTTTTGGACCCTGGTATCCCGGCCATCCATTGTCTCCCATGTCCCCAGGAAATGGAAAGCTTGGGCCTGGGTCTCCTTGGTCACCATAGTTACCTAAAAAAAATACTTCCATGTGAGTGTCGCTTCAGATGAAATGTCATTTAATCCTCGTTATAAAACCAGAAAAGCATTATGATTGACCTGGGTCTCCTTTCAGGCCCTCTGCACCAGGATCCCCAGGTGGCCCTGGATTTGGGTTTCTACAGTCATCTCCAGGTGGACCTGGTGGTCCATAACCACCTAGAGGCCCTGTAAGAAAAAACACAGTTGATTCTTTCAGATTTGTTAGGAAAAAACTATTATTATTCAAAAGACAAGTCATGCAAACCTCTGGGTCCCTGTGGACCTGGGGGTCCTCTTGGTCCATTCTGGGAGGTACCAGGGGGACCTGGAGGACCTGGGGGACCTGCAGGTCCTGGAGGACCTCTTTCACCTCCATTACCACCCTCACACAGACCTAAGGGTAACACATATTTGAGGGAAATTCTGTAAAACCACAGATTATCCTGTAGCTAACGTAGAGCAATACATATTACATCTGGCCAGTTTGCAGCGTCTAGAGCTCCTGTATAAGACACAAAGTCTTAGATATAACCGTAAAATGTTTTATTATGTATCATCAAAGTTCTGGACAGAATTTGAACTGGGACAATGTCTGGGTCCATATTTGGTGAATAAACTCTACTTTTTTATGTAATTCTAGAACCTTTATCGGGAGAATGTCTAAAAATTGTTAACTTTCAACCTGACACACCTCACGTTTCTTCCAGTGTAGCTTTGGTTGCTTTCTAGAGCTTTTTTAATGCCAACATTCATACAGCATCCAGCACATTGGAATATTGACCATAATTATTTCTTTCTTTTATCTGCCTTTCTAGAATGTTTTAATTTTTTTTTTTTTTGTGGTCCTCATACCTTTCATCCCCATGGCCCCTTTCCGTCCACTTAGCCCATCCAGTCCATGAAGCCCTGGTGGCCCTTGAGCTCCTGAGGAGAAACTTATTTAATGTAAGAACACATCCAACCAGTGGAAACCATTATTCTGGCCTTGGTGTTCTACAGGGCTATGTTTTCTGTCCATTGCCATTTTACCTTTAGAAGACAGTTGCTAACATGAGCCAAACAGAAGAAAATCAAGCCATCTTTCTCAATGTTTCACATAGATTTATAATTAAATCCTTGAGATACGAGTAAAAGTTACTTACATAATTATTATTACCCATAATTATTATAATATTAAGATTTGGGGTGAATTTCTTTGTTTCTAATTAAGGTTTAAATGTTTTTAGAGGATTAGTTTGCAGTAGAATAAACTGAACAGAAGATTAATTGGTCAGAACTGAAATTCAAATAACTAAATGATTTACTATCCTCGGGTTTATTGCTCTGATAGTTATTTTAAGTCTTTTTCCATGGCCTCTGGATTCGTTCATCACCCAGGCTGAAGTCACCGAGGTGGTCAAAAAACTCCACGGTGGCAAGGCTTCGGGGGTGGACGAGATCCGTCCTGAGTATCTTAAAGCTCTGGATGTTGTTGGGCTGTCATGGTTGACACGTCTATTCAGCATCGCGTGGAGGTCGGGAACAGTCCCCCTGGATTGGCAGACTGGGGTGGTGGTTCCCCTCCATAAGAAGGGGGACCGGAGGGTGTGTTCCAACTATCGGGGAATCACACTTCTCAGCCTCCCCGGAAAGGCCTATGCCAGGGTGCTGGAGAGGAGAGTCCGGCTGATTGTCGAACCTCGGCTGCAGGAGGAGCAGTGTGGTTTTCTTCCTGGCCGTGGAACAGTGGACCAGCTCTACACCCTCTGCAGGGTGCTTGAGGGTTCTTGGGAGTTTGCCCAACCAGTCCACATGTGTTTTGTGGACTTGGAGAAGGCATTCGACCGTGTCCCTCGTGCTGCCCTGTGGGGGTGCTCCAGGAGTATGGAGTCGGGGTCCCTTTATTAGGGGCCATCCGTTCTCTGTACAAGCGGAGCAGGAGTCTGGTTCGCATTGCCAGCATTAAGTCGGACCTGTTCCCAGTGCATGTTGGACTCCGACAGGGCTGCCCTCTGTCACCGGTCCTGTTCATAACTTTTATGGACAGGATTTCTAGGCACAGCCAAGGACCGGAGGGGGTCTGGTTCGGGGACCAGCGGATCTCGTCCCTGCTTTTTGCGGATGATGTAGTTCTGCTGGCTCCCTCCTGCCAAGACCTACAGCGTGCGCTGGGGCGGTTCGCAGCCGAGTGTGAAGCGGCCGGGATGAGAATCAGCTCCTCCAAGTCCGAGGCCATGGTTCTCGACCGGAAAAAGGTGGTTTGTCCCCTTCAGGTTGGAGGAGAGTCCTTGCCTCAAGTGGAGGAGTTCAAGTATCTTGGGGTCCTGTTCACGAGTGAGGGAAGAATGGAGCGGGAGATCGATAGACGGATCGGTGCGGCTGCTGCAAAGGCAAAGCTCTCAATTTACCGTTCGGTCTACGTTCCTACCCTCACCTATGGTCATGAAATTTGGATCATGACCGAAAGAACGAGATCCCGGATACAAGCGGCTGAAATTACCTTCCTCCGCAGGGTGGCTGGGCTCTCCCTTAGAGATAGGGTGAGAAGCTCGGTCATTCGGGAGAGGCTCAGAGTAGAACCGGTTCTCCTCCACATCGAGAGGAGTCAGTTGAGGTGGCTCGGACATCTTCTTCGGATGCCCCCCGGACGCCTCCCTTGGGAGGTGTTCCAGGCACTTCCCACTGGGAGGAGGCCCAGGGGACAACCCAGGACACGCTGGAGAGGCTACGTCTCTCGACTGGCCTGGGAGCGCCTAGGGCTTCCTCCAGCAGAGCTGGAGGAGGTGTCTGCGGAGAGGGAAGTCTGGGAGTCTCTGCTTAGTCTGCTGCCCCCGCGACCCGGTTCCGGATAAAGCGGGAGACGACGAGTACGAGTAGTTATTTTAAATCTTTGAAACAATCGTCTCATTAAGTTGTTCCTTCTGGTTCATGGTTATAGCAGCCATTCCAACCCTAACAGGAAGGGAAGGGGGAAACCACTACACAGTTTATCTTTTTGATTTTATATTGCGATCTTAATATTTGTTACCTTTGTGTCCTGTGTAACCATCTTGTCCTTGAACACCTTTAGCTCCTGGTGCACCTGGAAAACCTGGAGGCCCCTGCCGACCTCTGCAACCTGGAGGACCAACCACCCCTAAAGAAAATACAAACTCTCTGAATAAGTAAGCCTCAACCAAGTTCCTCTTGGTTTCACTACTATCACCAATTTAGATTTTACTTTGTACCTGATTCACCAGTTCTTCCAGGAAACCCTTTGTGTCCCTTGCATCCTTTTGGTCCTGGGGCCCCATCAGTGCCCAGAGGTCCTGATTGTCCTGGAGGGCCAGGGGGGCCTGCAAGGTAAATATCAGTAGTTTAACCTGTTAGCTGACCACACCAATATCTCCAAAAATAGTTTTAAAATGTCTGAAAAAAACATAAATAAAACAGCTGTTGTTATTTAACCATTTGGAGGGTCTAGCCTGCAATATAAAGCTGTTTTAATGGCAGACAGTAGCCGTAACTTGATATTATAATGCTACAAATCTGGAGGCACCAAATACAGATTAGGAGTCTTTTTGACATATTTCCTAAAGAACCAAAATTATCATTAAAGTAGATTATTGTTACCAGAACATCCAATGTTTCCAGAATGTCCCGTATCCCCCGGTGGACCATGAACACCAATAGACTCCCCTATATCACCTAAAAGGAAGAAAAACATGTTAAACAACAAGCAGCATAAACATGAAATGTTGCTTTATTTCAGAGGTGGGATAAAAAACTAATAATTCACATCATGCTTAAATTTAAATGAACTGTTATGAGTCACGGTAAAGCAGTCTCCAGGTACCTTTAGCTCCAGGATATCCTGAATTACCAGGATTTCCAGGGTTTCCAGGACATCCTGGGTCTCCCTATAAACACAAGTAATATACATTTATTTTACACCACACACATCTTAATTATTTGAACAAAATTAAATGCTTGTTTAACAGAAATAAAGGACACAAACAAATCAGTTTGCCTCTTAGTGGACCCTGAACTATATGATCTGCCTCTAGATATTCCAATCAAGTTTCTAAAAACAAAGCTCCTATCCAGTATTAATAGTCCCTGGATGTTACAGGACCAGACATTTCCTGATGATACAATGCTACCAATAATACTGAGTAAGAACAGGATGATGAGGGAAATTGTATGGATGGATAGTCTATTGTATAAATGAAATCAAATCAGTGCATCAGGGTGACTTGCTTCTTGTTCTCTACAACTGCAATGTAATTGGGCAGAATTTAGATGGGCGTGTTTATGCTGGAAAAGCAGAGATGGCTGATGTATCTTTCTGCTTAACACTGTAGTAGTGCAACCCAACTGCAGTGGCTTGAGTGGTCTAACACTTTTCTACTCACTTGCAGCATTTCCTCACCAAATTCTCCTCATCGAGTAGCTACCCCCATAGCACAACTCTCTACTGATGTTTACAGTTTTTCTAAATAGCACCAGAGCACATTCTGAGCTCTTATGTCTTTCCGCTACTTTACGTTCCCCTGTTCCCTGAATCGTTCTTTAGTGATGTTTGCTAATGAGGGGCAGACTTTGGCAGCTAAGCTTCTGAAGTACAGATGCAAAACAACGTATTTTCTTGTTTTTGCAACGTGCAGAACAAGAAAAATGTCTGAGTTTTTCTGGCGTTTGCAGCACCTCAATTTTGAAGGCAGTCACCTCACCCTGATATCCAACACAGGTGTCCCCTTTTAGCTTTTGCTATCAGATAACTACACATATATTACCGGTTCTCCATTCTGCCCGGGGAAGCCGCTGTATCCCATATGTCCTTTACATCCAGGGGATCCAGGTAGCCCTTTTTTGCCTAGTGGCCCTTTGGGACCCTGGGATCCCCTAATACCTGGAGGTCCATTTGAGCCTGGAAATCCAGGCCTTCCATCAGTACCCTGAAAACCTTTATAACCTGGATAAAAACAAGGTGGAAAGCACAGTTATAGGTATGCAGAATGAGGCTGGTGCTAATAAGTCGGATATGAATAATCAAACCTTTGCCATGTACTCCATGTGCATCACGCTAAAGTGTCTAAATGGTATGAGCTTTTTAGGATTTTTGCATAGATTATGAGGGATTTTAGGATTTCAGGTAGTTTGTTCCTAAAGTAAATAGCACTGTACAATGAACATCAGAGCAATAAAGCTCATCAGCCAACTATTAACATAGAACAAAAGTGCAAACATGAAATAAATACTCATACAAGTGGTTTTATCTGGGGCAGTAGGATTCAAATGTTTGTTTGATTAAGATTGATTTAAGATTAGTCTTTAAATCTCTGCTTTGTAATTACTTAGTACTAACACCGATTGTATTAAACATTTTTTACAAAGTCAAAATTCTGCCAAAAAGGCACATATGTAACAAATACTGAAGGAAGCAGTTTTATTTAAAACACAGATGTTAAATACTCTCCACCTGCATTTTAAATGTTTTATGTGGTCAGATTCTAAACAATGCCATTAAATTGATGATGCTTTGCTAAATAAAACATTCTTGTCTCAAGTTCCAGGATTAACTGAAAAGCAGCAAATTACAGGTGGTTTACTTTCTCAGGTTGGTCCTACTTGCAAAGTGATAAAAGTTGACATGACATCCAAACACTAGTAGAAGAGAATTTACAGGCGCATAGAAAGCAATAAAGTGCAGAGAAGGAGAATGAACTCATGCTTGTGATATTTCTGGGCCCTAATGGTGTTAGATCTGCATGTATAAAATGTGTTAGGTCTGTTTTACATAAAACTGTTCATATCAGTATTTATTACACCTACACCTTTTTGGCAACTTCTGTCTCGTTAGACACTTGTACAGGTCCACCGGCAGACCTGTACAGCAGACAGGTCCACCAGCAGACCTGTACAGCAGACAGGTCCACCAGCAGACCTGTACAGCAGACAGGTCCACCAGCAGACCTGTACATCAGACAGGTCCACCAGCAGACCTGTGGTCCACCAGCAGACCTGTACAGCAGACAGGTCCACCAGCAGACCTGTGGTCCACCAGCAGACCTGTATAGCAGACAGGTCCACCAGCAGGCCTGTACAGCAGACAGGTCCACCTAGAGACCTGTATAGCAGACAGGTCCACCAGCAGACCTGTGGTCCACCAGCAGACCTGTATAGCAGACAGGTCCACCAGCAGGCCTGTACAGCAGACAGGTCCACCTGCAGACCTGTATAGCAGACAGGTCCACCAGCAGACCTGTACAGCAGACAGGTCCACCTGCAGACCTGTGGTCCACCAGCAGACCTGTACAGCAGACAGGTCCACCTGCAGACCTGTATAGCAGACAGGTCCACCAGCAGACCTGTACAGCAGACAGGTCCACCTGCAGACCTGTATAGCAGACAGGTCCACCAGCAGACCTGTACAGCAGACAGGTCCACCTGCAGACCTGTGGTCCACCAGCAGACCTGTACAGCAGACAGGTCCACCAGCAGACCTGTACAGCAGACAGGTCCACCTGCAGACCTGTATAGCAGACAGGTCCACCAGCAGACCTGTACAGCAGACAGGTCCACCTGCAGACCTGTGGTCCACCAGCAGACCTGTACAGCAGACAGGTCCACCAGCAGGCCTGTACAGCAGACAGGTCCACCTGCAGACCTGTACAGCAGACAGGTCCACCAGCAGACCTGTACAGCAGACAGGTCCACCAGCAGACCTGTACAGCAGACAGGTCCACCTGCAGACCTGTACAGCAGACAGGTCCACCTGCAGACCTGTATAGCAGACAGGTCCACCAGCAGACCTGTACAGCAGACAGGTCCACCTGCAGACCTGTACAGCAGACAGGTCCACCTGCAGACCTGTATAGCAGACAGGTCCACCAGCAGACCTGTACAGCAGACAGGTCCACCTGCAGACCTGTGGTCCACCAGCAGGCCTGTACAGCAGACAGGTCCACCTGCAGACCTGTACAGCAGACAGGTCCACCTGCAGACCTGTATAGCAGACAGGTCCACCAGCAGACCTGTACAGCAGACAGGTCCACCTGCAGACCTGTACAGCAGACAGGTCCACCTGCAGACCTGTATAGCAGACAGGTCCACCAGCAGACCTGTACAGCAGACAGGTCCACCAGCAGACCTGTGGTCCACCAGCAGGCCTGTACAGCAGACAGGTCCACCTGCAGACCTGTACAGCAGACAGGTCCACCAGCAGACCTGTACAGCAGACAGGTCCACCAGCAGACCTGTGGTCCACCAGCAGACCTGTACAGCAGACAGGTCCACCTGCAGACCTGTATAGCAGACAGGTCCACCAGCAGACCTGTACAGCAGACAGGTCCACCAGCAGACCTGTACAGCAGACAGGTCCACCAGCAGACCTGTGGTCCACCAGCAGGCCTGTACAGCAGACAGGTCCACCAGCAGGCCTGTACAGCAGACAGGTCCACCAGCAGGCCTGTACAGCAGACAGGTCCACCAGCAGACCTGTACAGCAGACAGGTCCACCAGCAGACCTGTACAGCAGACAGGTCCACCTGCAGACCTGTACAGCAGACAGGTCCACCAGCAGACCTGTACAGCAGACAGGTCCACCAGCAGGCCTTTCTCCTTTCTTGTCTTATCTCATCCAAGTTATTTTTGACAAACATAAGGCAGACTATTCTGCTGTAATGTAGATCTAACCTCGTGGTCCGGGAAATCCGATGCTGCCAGGCAGTCCCTGTGGTCCTGGTGGGCCGTTTATGGGAATGCTTTTGCAATCCCCCGGAGGACCTGGGTTGCCTACACAACCTAAAAGAAAAACATGTGTTTACTGCAGCAGTATCTGTAGCAGCAAAGTACTTATAATACTGCAATCTAAAACATGAACATGATTGTAGAGCCTCTTGTGCGAGGCAGTACTGTATTGTAAACTCTTTGGTAGTATTGCAACAGTAGTAATCTCTTTATACCTATTGTAATGAACACCTTCGATTATATTGGAGGTTTCTTCCTGTTAAAAGTGAGTTTTTCCTTTCCACTGTCCCTGAATGCATACTCAGGGTAAGGGCTTGCTGTAGAGTCAATGAAAAAGTGCAAGGGAACATCTACTATCTCTACATACCCATCCAGGAGGAGCATGTATTGCAGTCAATGACTCAATGAACTCAGCTGGCTTTATTTAGATAGAAATCAAATGTCGTAATTGAAATACCTTTTTGCCCCTTTGAACCCACATAACCCGGAGGTCCATCTTGTCCCCTCAGGCCCATCTCTCCTGTCCTCCCTTGGGGACCAATGGAGCCTTTTTTTCCTGGAATTCCTGGTCGTCCCTCAAAGCCCTGGGGCCCGATCAGACCTAACACAGGATGTCAGTGAAGTACCTGTTTCTGAATTATGCTAGCTTAATCGTGTCTGTGGTAGAAGCTTACCTTTTTGACCAAGGGGCCCTGGCTGGCCATCGTTTCCAATAGGACCTTGTGGCCCCTGTGGCCCCCGTACACCAGGAAAACCTGGAACTCCATTTTCTCCAAGCGCACCTTTACGACCAGCCTGTGAATAACCATTGTCCCCTTTGAGACCTTTTGGACCAGGACAACCTAAAAATATAATCAGCTTAATGTTTTAGTATAAGAGAAAAGTAGAAAAAAGTAAATATTGTAAAATAAGAAAAATAACTGTAGGATAAAAAACAAGATAAAATTTTAACTATGGGTCTTTGTAAATAAAGGTTTACCTTGATGTCCTTCAGGTCCCGGAGGTCCCCGGAAGCCAATTTCACCAGAAGGTCCAGCATCACATTGGTCCAGTGAAAGTCCTTTGAGGCCTCTTTGACCTTTGGCCCCTTCATTTCCTTTCTGTCCCTTTACTCCAGGGTCCCCAGGAGAGCCTGGGACACCTAATGGAACATGTAAAAGTATTCACCTCTTCTAAATTTTATGAATTTAAACTACAGTAGGTTTAAACTGTACTTATAATAGATATTTCCTCGTAAATTAGCAGTTTTTAGCAGATTGAATAGGATTTTCATTTAAAGGTAAAATGAAGTAAATATTGTATTTTTTTTCTTTTATCTTATAAACAAATTTATTTTTTCTCCATTAAATGAAACCTGAAGTAATTCCCAACATTATGTAGAGATTTAATATAGAGAGAAGACAGACAACTCTTAATCTCAGATACCTGGCCCTCCCTTATTCCCTGGGGAGCCAGGGACTCCTTTATGCCCTGGAGACCCCTGTCGTCCAGGCAGGCCTGGGGGTCCCTGGCAGCCATAAGCATGATCTCCTCTTGGTCCTGGGAGTCCGGGGGGACCTGGGGCTCCTGGAAAACCTAAAGGTCAAAGAGTCAGTCCAAAAAAGTTAAAGAACAATCCACTCGACTTTGTTAACAAGTTTTAAAGACATTTCGTTTCTCTTCCAGGAAGCTTTTTCAATTCAAAATGTCAGAAATAGTGTTGAGTTTGAGTTGAGTTAGACCCGGATGACGGAGAATCTTCACCAGCATTCCTCAAAGAGTCAGGTATCGGGGGAAAAGAAAGGTAGTTAGTCTTATTTGCTACAGAAATATGTGTAAAAGCCTCCAGACATCCAGAGAATATCACAAAGCTAATGATTAAATTCAATTACCTTTATTTATATGAGTTTCTAGCTAAAATTTTCTTGATTTGCAGTCTAAATCTTGGACATGATTCTTTGTAAAACATCTTGTGTGAGGCCGTACTGTACTGTAATACTCTGGTAGTATGGCTACATCTTTATATGTATTTTCATAAACACCTTTGATGCTGCAGTAGCACCCTGCCACTAGAGGATGTTACTACTGAGCCGTATTGTCTTCACTTTCTCTTGTGACTGCTGAGTTACATTCTGGTGCTGTTCAGGCCACCTCCGTCTGAATTGAGTTTGTTTCTTCTGTGATATCTCTGTAGCCTATCTAAGTAAGTAAATGTCTAGAAGCACTTTAAAACATAGCTTCTACTGCTGCCCCTTTCTACGGAGCACCTTTCACTTTAACATGGTTTTATTTCTGGTAGTGAGGGGTAGCTAGCCTAGGCTAGCACTAGCTTAGCATTGCTATGGTTTTTCTCTCTCTCTCTCTGTCTATTCCCTGACTGTTTTCTGACTCTTTGAAACCCTCCTGTCCTCTCGCCTGCCCTCTGTGTCAGATGTTCAGTTAGAACCCCGGCTTCTGGCTGTTAAAAATCCAGGAGTTAAAGTGGGCCCTCTGTTAAGTGCCCGGAGCCGACAACTCCAACAGTGCCTGAGCAGCCAGGCGAGTGTGTATCTGTATGAGGAAAGTGTAGCCGTGGTTCTCTCCCTCCAAAACCCGCCCACGCTACCAATTTTCCCAATTCAGTGACGCACCCACTGCAAAGCCCACTCTGGCAGTCGGCAGCTCCATAGTCAGAAACTTGGCATTAGAGAACCCAGGGATCATAGTCAAATGTTTGCTGGGGGCAAGACCAGGCGACATCAAATCCTACCTGAAACTGCTGGTTAAGGATAAGGTTAAATACAGTTAGACTGTCATTCATGCAGGCGGTAATGACACCCAGTTACAATGATCGGAGGTCATTTAAATTAGTGTTGCTTCTGTGTGTAAATTTGCCAAAACAATGTCAGACTCTGGTCTCTGGTCCCCTTCCTGATCTCACCAGTAATGGCATGTTTAGCCGCAAGTCATCATTCAACTGGTTGTCTAGGTTGTGTGCTGAAAACAAAATAGACTACATTAATAATAGGTTATCTTTTTGGGGAAAACCTGGTCTGATTTGGAGAGACAGCATCCATCGCACTTTAGATGGTGCAGCTGTCCTTTTCTAGGAAACTGGCCAAATTCATTAGCCCTCCAAAACCCTGACAACCCAGGATGCAGGCCAGGAAGCAGAGTCGCGTTCTGGGCGAGGAAGAGTAGCAACAAACTTTCACTCTGACTGACTGATTACTCCAAAATCAGTTAATAATTAGGGATGGGAATCGAAAACCGGTTCCTGTTCAGAACCGGTTCTGTATGTTCCAATTCCATGGCACCGTTTAGCAGCTCGTATAATGGTTTGCTTAATGGTTCCAGGCAGCACCAGAGCCTAGCGCTGGGTAGCATGACTTACGTCACATTATTTTCGTCACGTTATGTCACGTTTACGCAAGTAAGCACAACGTGACCAGGCATAAGTCTAGAAAAGCAATAAAAAAAAAAAAATGGCGTCCCGATCGAAAGTTTGGATGTTAAGTGGCAATTACATCCGCGGGAGAAAATACATCCAACATGCAGAAACACACAACATGTCATACATTTTAATGAATGCCGTGTTTTTGATGCTTCCGAACGCTAAAGTTATGACCAGCATGGAAGGCAACTCTGGTGGTAAGCAGCTAGTTTTATATCACTGGCTGTGCTTAATGTGCTTCCTAGTAAATATTATGCCATTTCTGGAAATAAACCAATTTCCTACCTCTCTTTGAGGTTATTAAACATGCTACGAAGTTGCTCTGAAGTTCAGGAAGCGAGAGGAAGGTGACGCTCGTTAAATCAGGGGTAGATTAGTTTTTTCCTGTAATTGCACAGTAAGGTTTTTTCATTAAATAGATGCCTTCTCCATTAGATTTACAGGTGCTGTTCATAAAATTAGAATATCATGAAAAAGTAGATTGATTTCGGTAATTCCATTTAAAAAGTGAAACTTGTATATTATATTCATACATTACATACAAACTCATATATTTCAGATGTTTATTTTGTTTAATTTTGATGATTACAAATGACAACAAATGAAAATCTCAAATTCATCATATCAGAAAATTAGAATATTGTGAAAAGGTTCAAAATTGATGGCCCCTGGTGCCACACTCTAATCAGCTAATTAACTCAAACCACCTGCAAAAGCCTTTAAATGGTCTTTCAGTCTAGTTCTATAGGCTACACAATCATGGGGAAGACTGCTGACTTGACAGTTGTCCAAAAGACGACCATCGACACCTTGCACAAGGAGGGCAAGACACAAAAGGTCATCGCTAAAGAGGCTGGCTGTTCACAGAGCTCAGTGTCCAAGCACATTAATAGAGAGGCGAAGGGAAGGAAAAGATGTGGTCGAAAAAAGTGTACAAGCAAGAGAGATAACCGAACCCTGGAGAGGATTGTGAAACAAAACCCATTCAAAAATGTGGGGGAGATTCACAAAGAGTGGACTGCAGCTGGAGTGAGTGCTTCAAGAACCACCACACACAGACGTATGAAAGACATGGGTTTCTGCTGTCGCATTCCTTGTGTCAAGCCACTCTTGAACCACAGACAGCGTCAGAAGCGTCTTGCCTGGGCTAAAGAGAAACAGGACTGGACTGCTGGTGAGTGGTCCAAAGTCATGTTCTCTGATGAAAGTAAATTTTGCATTTCCTTTGGAAATCAAGGTCCCAGAGTCTGGAGGAAAAGAAGAGAGGCACTTCATCCACGTTGCTTGAAGTCCAGTGTAAAGTTTCCACAGTCAGTGATGGTTTGGGGTGCCATGTCATCTGCTGGTGTTGGTCCATTGTGTTTTCTGAGGGCCAGGGTCAACGCAGCCACATACCAGGAAGTTTTAGAGCACTTCATGCTTCCTGCAGCTGACCAACTTTTTGGAGATGCAGATTTCATTTTCCAACAGGACTTGGCACCTGCACACAGTGCCAAAGCTACCAGTACCTGGTTGAAGGACCATGGTATCCCTGTTCTTAATTGGCCAGCAAACTCTCCTGACCTTAACCCCATAGAAAATCTATGGGGTATTGTGAAGAAGAAGATGCAATACACCAGACCCAACAATTCAGAAGAGCTAAAAGCCACTATTAGAGCAACCTGGGCTATCATAACACCTGAGCAGTGCCACAGACTGATCGACTCCATGCCACGCCGCATTGCTGCAGTAATACAGGCCAAAGGAGGCCCAACTAAATACTGAGTGCTGTACATGCTCATACTTTTCATGTTCATACTTTTCAGTTGGCCAACATTTCTATAAATCCTTTGTTTTTATTGGTCTTCAGTAATATTCTAATTTTCTGATATGATGAATTTGAGATTTTCATTTGTTGTCATTTGTAATCATCAAAATTAAACAAAATAAACATCTGAAATATATGAGTTTGTATGTAATGTATGAATATAATATACAAGTTTCACTTTTTAAATGGAATTACTGAAATCAATCTACTTTTTCATGATATTCTAATTTTATGACCAGCACCTGTAGATGAATGTTATGAGACGGGTAGCCTGGCTGGCTCAGAGGCTGGGAGCCCCAGTTCACTGCCTTTTGTTTTCGCCGAGGCAGGCAGAAATAGAATGTCCCAGGTTAAGGTAAACGAATGTCACCCTGCACTTACCAAGTTCATTGTTTCAAAGAATCGATAAGAGAATTGATAAGGAATCAAAACGTTTCACAGAATTGATAAGGGAATCGGAATCGTGAAAATCTTATCAATTATCAACCCTATTAATAACTACAACTCTTTTAAACATTCAACCCTTATTTTCCGTCATCCAAATTGCAGAGCAACAAAATCTCTTTTTTTTGTAACTTTGTATCATTCATCAGGTCCTTACTCTGAATTTTGAGATGAGTTTTCAGAGCTCCTATTTGATATGAATTTGAATACTGACCGGGTCAATAGTGGAGGATTTTAACATTCATGCTGACAAAGGCAATAAATTAAGTGCAGCATTTAATTGTATCTAAGATGATTTGGCTTGGTTCAAAATGTGAATAGTCCCACACATTCTTATCTTCATACGTTGGACCTTGTGCTGGCATATGGCATTGAATATGAGGAATATTAGTATTTCCTAACAACCCTGTCCTCTCTGACCAATTTTTAATAAACTTCAGGATTGATTTAACAGAGTTAAAAAGAAGCAGTTACCCTAGCAGTTCATAATCAGATAGTGCAGTTATAAATTTTAAAGAGCCTGTTTCACTCTCTCCTCTGTGTCGCTGAGCAGTGCTGCAAAGGGCAAAAGTTTAGTTTATTCCTCTTAACAGGTTGATGATTTTGTTGATGGGTTTGCTAGTTCTCTGTGTCCTGCCTTAGACAACGGAGCCCTTTTGAAAAGTAAAACAAAAAAATCGAAATCTGGCTCCCTGGTTTAATGCAGAGCTGCACGCACTGAAATAAAAAGCTAGGAAACTGGAGAGAAAATGGCACTCTACATGCCTAGGGGAATTCTATCTAGTCTGGAAAAATAGTTTACTGCTGTAAAAGAGGACCCTTTGTAAAGCAAGAACAGCATATTTTTCCTCATTAATAGAGGAGAATAAGAATAATCCTAGATATCTTTGTAATATAGTTGTGAAACTCACCCAGAGCCGTAGCTCTGTTGAACCGTCAATTTCACCTGCTCTTAGCAATAATGATTTCATGGGATCTCATTAAAAATAAGACCATTAGCTCTATAACTACGATTGGTTTGTCTCTGGAAGGTGGGGCAGCATCTGGGACAAGCTGAACCGGGATTAGACTGTTTTAATCTAGTATAATTGTCAGCGAGTTAGTGAAACTATCGTCTTTATCTAAGCCTTCAGCTTGTATGTTAGATCCAGTTCCAACCATGTTATTCAAAGATGTATTCCCTTTGATCCCCTCATCCATTTTAGATGCAATTAATCTATCCCTGATACAGGGATATGTACCAAAGGCTTTTAAGGTTGCTGTAATTAAACCGTTACTTTAGAAACTGTCTCTTGACCCATATGACTTGATCAATTATAGACCTATATCCAATCTTCCTTTCCTATCTACAATTTTTGAGAAAGTAGTTGCCAAACAAGTTTGCGACCACTTAGACCATAATGAACTTTTTGAAGAGTTTCAGTCTGGCTTTAGAGCTCATCATAGCACTATTGTAATTCTTTACCAACAGAAAGTCCACAAACTGTAGTAAAAGCCTTTAGCTTATCCAAAATGCTGCCGCCAAAGTTCTGGTCAAAAATAAAAAGACAGATCCCATTTCGTCTGCTTTAGCTTGTTTGGCTACCTGTAAAATTCATAATAGATTTTCAAATTCTCACTGAAATAATCAAAATCCATGTTAAGCCCTCCCTACTTTTAAGGAATGGCTTAAAACTTCCCTTTTTGATAATAGAGGCTCTGGTCATCCTGAGCTATGCTACTGTAGGTTTGGGCTGCTAGGAGACATAAGGACCACTCTTTCTGTAATTCTGCTTCATTCTATCTCTGTTCTGTAATTCTGCTGTACTTGGTAGATCAACCACTAACTGTATGTGCTCTCTTTGACGTGTAATGGGCTCAGAGCTTGTCTGCTTAACTATTTCTTTCTCTGGCAGATCTACCTGTGGAGCTTTTTACCATTACCTTTTCTAATATAGAAAGTAGTCATGGATCATTGGTTCTAAGATCACTTATATGTCTGCTTCAGTGAACCTCAATCAGTCTCGGGAGATAGCAGCTCACACTGAGCCTGGTTCTGCAGGATGTTTCTTCCTGTTCGGGGGGGGGGGGTCCCTGTCCACGGTCACTGTGTGCATGCTTAGTGTGAGGGATTGCTGAACAGACTCTGCACCATGTCTATTGACTTCATGCACTCTTCCAGGAGTATCCTACAAAGTCAATTACTAGATCAGCTGGTTTCCTTAAATAGAAAACCTTTAAACAATCTGTCAGAATTATCCCCGTAAAGCAGTTTGAGGTGAGTTGTTGTAAATTGGCACTATAGAAATAAAGTAAAAACTGAAACTAGTCTTTACATAGAACGTAGTCCTAGATAAGTGGTTTTGTGTTTCTTTTGTATAAAAGCTCTGTATTTTTAAAGCACAGGTTTTAACATGGCGAGTGCGTTGACATCATATGATTTGAGGCTAAATAAGTAAACTGAACTGAACTAAAATGTTTTTTAAAGAAGGAGGCATTTGGGGGTTACTCTAATCGTGGAAACAAGTTCTTCCTTTATGTCAGAAACTGTTAAACTGAAACTCTCAAGACTGTTTTTGAGTGTATGTCTTCACAGCTGATGTTGGCTTTTACCTGGAGTTCCATCATAACTCAAACCCATGTCTCCCTCTTCTCCAGGATCTCCATCACAACCTTTAGCTCCTGCAGGAGGAGAGGAAACTCTCAGCTCAGAGACGAGACAGTTGTGTAATGTATTTGACTTGAATATAGAGGCACCTTTGAGGCCAGGCATTCCTGGAGGACCAGTCTGTCCCTTATCTCCTTTAGGCCCATCCGGTCCTGGAAAACCTATATAACCTTTAGGACCCAGAGGACCTGGGAAACCTGTAGTGGGAGACAGGTAAGCATTAAGTTGGAGTTAAAGGTGAGGAGATCGGTGTCTTAGATGATGCATACCTGGTATTCCAGGGTCTCCCTTCTGCCCTTGGGGACCAGGGATTTGAGGGATACAGGGAGGACTGTCACCTGCAGGTAAAGGGAAAGCAGCCTTTTCAGGGATAGATTTTTTTTTTATACGGTTTCCTCCTTTAAAATCTCTGTATGGAATGAATTTTGTTCCATTCTTGTTGCAAGCAAAGAACACATTTTGCAAATGGAAAGTTGAAGAATATGCGTTCCAGAGGTGAAACGATTAAAATTTTCTTAACCTAATGTAATCAGATTTCTTTTTCAAAAAATCCCTTTTTCACATTCTATTGTTTCAAATTAGTAATTTTTTTTATTCAATATTTTACATTTTTCAAATTTGTAGTTTTTAGATTGAGTTTACAATTTGCATTTTTTCCCCAACATGTGCTTTACACAGCGCATTCTCTGCACTTCAAGCCCAGTACTCTTGAAGTGCATTGACCAACAAAAATATTGTTGCAGACCAATAGAAATGCATCTTCCCTTCTCACTCAAGAGGTAAGCTCGCTTCCAGAAGTGAAGAGAATGTGATCTCTAAAACGTAATTTAAAAAAGAACTCAATTCATAACACCAAAATAGATCTGAAAAAACATTTGAAAAATATAGATAAAAAAAATTAAAGTAAAACAGTAATTTACAAGCACTAGTAATCATGAAATTTTTATGTTGCACTACATTACCCATGATGCACCTGTTTGTTAGAGAGTTTGTGTGTGTTTGTCTGCCTGTCTGTGTACAGGATAACTTGAAATGTTATGAACAGATTTTAATGAAATTTTGGTAAATGTTTGTACTGATCAAGATCCTAATCTGCATACATTATTTTTTTTCTTTAAGGTTCTCTAACATTGTGAGATATTTGCCAGAACAAGCAGTTCCCCACTAAACTAAACTAGTTTAAATTAAACTAAATAGTGACTATTCACAGTCTAGACACCGGTTTCAAAAAGTGCAGAGGTATTTTACTGAATTCAAATACACAAGAAAAGGGAACATTGCTGGTTGCTAAGCAGTTTCAATTGAAAACTTATGAATTGATTTTGTGGTGTGTATATACACTCACCGGCCACTTTATTAGGTACACCTGTCCAACTGCTCGTTAACACTTAATTTCTAAGCAGCCAATCACATGGCGGCAACTCAGTGCATTTAGGAATGTAGACATGGTCAAGACAATCTCCTGCAGTTCAAACCGAGCATCAGTATGGGGAAGAAAGGTGATTTGAGTGACTTTGAACGTGGCATGATTGTTGGTGCCAGAAGAGCTGGTCTGAGTATTTCAGAAACTGCTGATCTACTGGGATTTTCACGCACAACCATCTCTAGGGTTTACAGAGAATGGTCCGAAAAAGAAAAAACATCCAGTGAGCGGCAGTTCTGTGGGCGGAAATGCCTTGTTGATGCCAGAGGTCAGAGGAGAATGGCCAGACTGGTTCGAGCTGATAGAAGGGCAACAGTGACTCAAATAACCACCCATTAATACCAAGGTGGGCAGAAGACCATCTCTGAACGCACAGTACGTCGAACTTTGAGGCAGATGGGCTACAGCAGCAGAAGACCACACCGGGTGCCACTCCTTTCAGCTAAGAACAGGAAACTGAGGCTACAATTTGCACAAGCTCATCGAAATTGGAAAATAGAAGATTGGAAAAACGTTGCCTGGTCTGATGAGTCTCGATTTCTGCTGCGACATTCGGATGGTAGGGTCAGAATTTGGCGTCTACAACATGAAAGCATGGATCCATCCTGCCTTGTATCAACGGTTCAGGCTGGTGGTGGTGGTGTCATGGTGTGGGGAATATTTTCTTGGCACTCTTTGGGCCCCTTGGTACCAATTGAGCATCGTTGCAACGCCACAGCCTACCTGAGTATTGTTGCTGACCATGTCCATCCCTTTATGACCACAATGTACCCAACTTCTGATGGCTACTTTCAGCAGGATAATGTGCCATGTCATAAAGCTGGAATCATCTCAGGCTGGTTTCTTGAACATGACAATGAGTTCACTGTACTCAAATGGCCTCCACAGTCACCAGATCTCAATCCAATAGTGTGTGATGCCATCATGTCAATATGGACCAAACTCCCTGAGGAATGCTTCCAGCACCTTGTTGAATCTATGCCACCAAGAATTGAGGCAGTTCTGAAGGCAAAAGGGGGTCCAACCCGTTACTAGCATGGGGTACCTAATAAAGTGGCCGGTGAGTGTATATATATATATATATATATATATATTCTTGAAATGTGTCCCTCAATTCATTTTAATTAAGAAATGGTCCAGATGTTGTGCATGTTCATGGAAAAATGCTGCTTGGCCGAGTTCTGCACTCGCCGAGTGCTTTTCTAGTTTACTTTCACTTGACCTCAACTCGACCAGCGGATCGTTTCATGATTTCTTAAGTGTGGCTCAGACCCATAAGCGTAGCATCCATTGAGCAGGAATTGTCCTCCCTGCCAGTGCTTTGTTAGTCTTGTGTGTATGAGAATTTTGGATTTATAACGATGTAATAACAGTTTCTCTTGCCGTAAAATTTGTTTTTTACTTCAGTTAATGACCAAGGTGGTGTAATAGACCTTGTATTTATCTGCTGCTGCAGAGCCTGAGGTGGTGTAATAACACATGGTCTAAAAGTGCTATTTAATATCTAAGATGTGCTTTCAAACCAAATATATGCTCTTTGCTAATAAAACTTTGATGTAATATATATTTTCATGCAGTTATTTTAGGCCTTTTTTCCATGTAGGTGGTGTATTTTACAGAACATTCATGGGTGATGCTAGACTGCCCCCTACGGGATTTTCAATGTTACAACAGGTCAATTTTTATTATGGAAAGATGTAATTTAGCTATGTGGTTATTTGAATATATTCTATAACTGTTTCAGTTTCCGATAACCACTCCGGTCTCGACACAATCAGATAAATAAATCAAATATAAATCCCTAATAAATCTGAATGACTGAAGATTCAGCAGAACTCCCATCTGCTATCAGTGCATGTTGGACACTCATTACAAAGAAACACATTAAAAAGTTGTGAACCTGCTGATCAACACATGTTAGACAGCTTTTTATTACCTGGTTAGTTTAGCTTTGCTTAGGCGATCATGGACTACATCTAGGGTTGTAATGGGACTGTAACTACAGTCCAAAAAAACAACAAAGAAGTTACAAATAAAGTATATGACTTAATGGTTGCTCCAGATTCTCTAAGTCAAAATGACTTGATAATGTCAAAAAATGCAACAACAGCTATAGAGTTATCATAACTATGTTCCACCACTTTCAATACGCTCACATTACTTTAATATTTGAGAAGATAAGTCATTATTTTCAGATGAATCTGTGTTGGGGTTTATATTACATCTAATAATTTTACATCTGATTTTACCATTAACTTTACCTTTAACCCCCTTTTGCCCTTTTGGTCCAGGAAATCCTACAATTCCTGGATTTCCAGGGGGCCCACGCTCTCCAACGGCCCCAAACACACTGCTTCCTCGGCGACCTGGTGGTCCTAAAACTCCCTTTTGTCCAGGGTATCCTTTGCAGCCTCTGTCTCCAGGAAAACCAATGAGACTTTCACCCTGAAAACAATCAGATTCATAAATGACAGGTTGAAGCTCTAGACCAGGTAAGTTTTCACACTGAGCAGAGTGGATTGGACTCAGCCTCTCCATGGCTGACCTCAATTCCTGGATTACCAGGTGGTCCCGGGGGACCAGGTAATCCATTTCTTCCTGAGAATCCTCGTGTTCCTTCAGGGCCTAAATCACCCATATTTCCCTTTTCACCTGGAGATGAGATTTGGGACAGAATGAGGATTCATTCACTAATCAGGCTTCCATAATACATCATACAGCAATGGTGAAAATCAGAGATAGCCAAAGTTCAGCACCCAGATAAAGACATGAAACTGTATTGTTGCACAAAATAGTAATGATGATATGTTAAGCTTATCCCATATTATCTAAACTTTAAAATAACACCGTATTCCTCCCTCCACAGAACTTAACTCTCCATGAGACTCTAGAAAAGAACTTATCTCAAGATCTTTAGAGTCCAGTAGCAGCATGGTTTGCACTCCTACAGACGTTTTGCTTTTTACTTATTGATGCATGTCCTCTGTGATGCTGCTTGGTCATAGAAACTAATGTCTGAGAACCATGGAAGTGATTTACAATCAAATCAAGATGTTCCTACACCTCCAACAAATGACCCTCCAATGTCTGGAAATTAGGAAATTTCAGGACTGGACCTTTGAAGTGGTATCCTGTGATCGTACCACACAACCGAAATTAACTGGTCTGCAGAAAAAAGGTGCTGGATTTAATACACATGAGGTTATGCGGTTTAAACACTGAAGCCAATTAATTTTTTCAAGTTATGTTGCATAGACCTAATGCTGAAGGCTAGGCTGCTATAAGAGCTCCAACTCTCCTATTTGGAACTGCAACTGCTAGAGGTGCTGCTCTTTTATGGACACTTTTTAAAACATTCCTTTGAGTTCAACCAGGTTAACTAAATATATGATGATCTTACCTTTAAAATCAACTACTCTGAAATCTCCTTTCTGTCCTTTAAAGCCTTTCACACCCTGGGACCCGATCATGCCCTGCAGTAAAAAAAAAACAAAAAAAAAAAAAACAATGCTAAACCTGATTATGTTTGGTTATCCTAGACCAGGGGTCACCAATGCGGTGCCTATGGGCGTAAAAATTCCCTCAGCATCTTCTGAAAACAGTGTGACGTTTTACAAGGTTAATTATTTTAGTTTTAGTTGGTTTTTTAACTGGGTGTTTGTCACTATTTTAGCGGTGCCAGTCAGGTATCCCTCCTGACAAGTAGGATAAATATTTATATATTTTTAAACCAGTCACACAAGGACCATACACTTTTGTGTGTAGACCCTTACAAATAACGAACGAAAACTTCACATATAGACAACAAAAAATTAGGCTTAACACTGCATGAAAAGTGGGATTTTCGTCAATATGCGGCACTGTAGATTGTTGTGGAACTTCAGGTTAGCGGCAGTTTACGGCAATTTGCAGGCTTCGCCGAAAACTCTCGTAAATTGTCAGAAATTGACGTGGGCTTTCTTAGGCAGTGTTCCCCCCATGCCTCCCCCCATGGAATTCTAGGGGAGGCTTTAACATGTAAATGAACATGCTGTGAGCTATCCAAATGCAAATCAGGGTTGCAGGGGGAGTTTTACCCCAAGTGACACAAAGAGATCAGGCTCAGTATAGCCTCTTACATTTTAGCTTGAATTGATTTATTTAATTAAAGTATAGAGACCAAAACAGATCTTTAGCTGACAGAGCAATACATTTAGAGCAGTAATTATTTTTAAAAAAATTTGCATTTAGGAGAAAAAATAAAATGCTGTCTGTCAATATGCTCAATTCACAATTACTAAAATGGAAAAGTTTCAAGAAATGAGTCTGAGATGATTCACTTTATAACATGGCGCATTATCCTGTTGGAAGTAGCCATCAGAAGATTGGTACACTGTGGTCATAAGGTCCGGCCAGGTCAAGATCCGCAATTGCAATCGCACCAAACAGGAAAAAGAGCATCGACAAATTCCGGTTCGTCAAATTAAAATATAGCAGCAACAGATCGGTGACTAGAAATTATAGCACAATTCTTATATATAAAAAAAAAAAACTAACACCGTTTATTTAAATGATTGGATCCAAACTATTGGTTATTCACCAACGAGGAAGCAGATTTCTCATCTCCATCAAAATATTTATTTTATACCAAGGGACTTAAACTTTAATCAAACCCATTCAAAAGAAACTTCTTATTACAGGAATGAAAAGAGATGCTGAGTTTGGGAGTAGAGAACAAGTTCATTCAAAAAAAGCAGTTTTGAATTATCCTTATCCCTGTTACAAAAATCGACAAAAATATATATATATATTTGGCCAGAAACTGAACATATGCTGGATGATGTCATATTAAATTAAGCGCTCACAGGGTTCATACAGGAATGAGTTACTCTAATTTAATGCTATTTTAATGCTATTAGAAAGATTTTAATGCCATCAACAAGAACCATGTACACAAGTTATTAGTGTACATGAAATATGAAGGAGCTGTAAGCAGAGTACCATGACTCCTGTATGTATGTAAACACACACACACACACACACACACACACATATATGCGTATATATATATCCTCTAGCTTTTTCTCCGCCTGGAGCTTCCTTTCCGAACATACGGCTTTATGATCAGTTCCACGCAAATTAATAGCGATATAATATATCTGACGAAATTGTTTTTATAAGCATTTTTATTAAAGGATTATAAATACTTCGATAAACATATTTAAATAATTTTAGTGCCAATTAAGGCCTTGATAAAAAAAAAAAAGAATGAATTGTAATTATTTTTAATGATCCACGGAAACCCTGGTTCATCTCACGCATGCTCTCTACGATCTCCAAGAAACTCAGAGCGGCGCGGTCTGCAGCCACAGCGGAGGATGTATGCTTTGCTTTGTGCAGGCGGTCTGGAGCGGAGTATGTGGGATTTCGGGGTAAAACTCCTCTTGGAAGCGATGGCGACTCTGCAGTCGAACAAGACGAACTCAAAGAAGAGATGCTAGCGGTAAATATATGTTCGATTACTGCCTGCTAAGCTAAAAGCAGCCTAGCCTAAGCTACGGCTAATAGCAGCCTAGCCTAAAGCTACGGCTAATAGCAGCCTAGCCTAAAGCTACGGCTAATAACAGCCTAGCCTAAAGCTACGGCTAATAGTAGCCTTGCAAGAACAAGCTTTATTAAAGTGTATTTTTTGTGATTCACAGGAAGCAGTACGCCGTCTTCACAACTCGGAGACCAATTGCAGGCACTATGAACCGGAGCAAGGGTAAGATTTAAAGAATATGCTTTCATTCTGCGGTAAAAGGAAATGGATACGGATAGATACCGATCATAGCTGTACATTTTGTTTTCACAGACCTCCTATTTGCTCGGAGCCATATCAGCAAGTCCAGATTTGCACGATGTTGATAAAGACGACATTGTGTGTAAGTGACTTGTTTTGATGTTTTCTCCTTCCTTGTTACTGTGACTTGCGTTTGATTTTTTATTCATACCACTCTCATTTAATTGTTTTCCAACTGCCTGTAAGACATATTTTGAGACGGTACGCAGGAGCTTCAGATATACGCAGCCTGAGAACACGTTGCGTGCGGAGGCTGCCAAGCAATCTGCTCGGAGTCGGGCTAGAAGATAGAGGGTAAGACTTTATTTGGTGACTATTTTTCAGGTGCATTGATAGATGTGTTGGGTCCATACGCAGTGCGCTGATTCATTGTTTTTTTTTCAGCTGCTGAAAGCGAGGCAGAGTGTGCTAGCAGATGAGGAAGTGGAACTCTGGAAGTCCGTCACCGTCGACCTCATGTCCGACGAAGAAGATGGCGTCGTTGGCGGTGTCTCTAGATGGATTGTACGGTCGCCGCCATTTCGTAGGCCGGATCCCACTGAACTCTGTGTTAAGCTGCAGTTAGAAGCGATGCCGAAGTACAGGGCCACGCACAGTAGGCGTCTGCACATCGGACCTGCCTCGGAAGGAATGCTGCCAGTTACCTCCAACCCGAGGAAGCAAACGGACCGTTCACGGACTTGTAATTTTTAGATACGCATGTGTTTGGATACGCGTTGTATATAGTTGTGTGTGTTTTAATAAAGCTCTTTCTTTGCATAAACAGCTTCCTGGCAAATGTTCATTTCCTGTATAAATTCATTCATGTCCTTGATGGTAGCCTAATAATTGTGTAGTAGTGTAGGATAACATAAATACACAGCATATGAATGAATAAATATATGAATAAATAAATATATATTCATAAATATATATATATATATATATGTAAATTTATATGTAAATATATATATATGCCAACCAATCACGAGCGACTTTACTTGTTTAAAAAGAAGTGGTTCCGTCCAATAGTCAGTAAGAAAATTAAAGCCTGGCGTGGCCACGTGTGGTTTTGCTGCCAATCACGAGCGATTTCACTTGTTTGAGAATAGTGGTTTAGGCCAATACTGAGTAGGTTATTCACGCCAGACCTGGCCAACCGCGCGGGTTTGCTGCATTCATATGCTAACTAGGGCCATTAGTACAACTGATCGCTCTCCACATACGTCAGAGTCCGTTTCCGACAATTTGTGGCACGACAAACGCGGACAAGCGCGGGTTGCAAATTGTCGGAAACTGACAAAAATCAGGGAGATCTGCGGGAGTTTACGGGGACGAAAATCTCACTTTTCATGCAGTGTAACAGTCCTTGTATTACAAAAGAAAAATAAATATATAGCCATCAGAAAATAATCACAAAATTCTTCCCCACAAAATAAATGTCCATTTTTTCCCAACGGATTAGGGCTCCAATATAAATTGCCCCACAGCAAGAGAGGTCAGATGAGAAACAAATCTTGCTTAGAGGTAGGAACTGGATCAGGTTTTCTGTTGTTGGTTTCAGGAGGATCTTTAACTGTGACGTCACCGGCTTCCGGGTAATTATGATGACACGTCGGCATGGCAGGAGCACAGAAAGGAGTTTGTTTGTTTTTCTTTTTTTTGTTAATGATCGGTGGTATCCAGAACAGAGGCAAAATACTGAAAGCACGAGGGATTAAACGGCCTTGGACAGACTTTGTTACTGGTCGACAGAACGGAATATGCAGACGTAGTAGCAGCAGCTGTTTCTGTTACGCTGTCTGCTGAGACACTGACATTTTCAAACTGGAGCTAGGAGTCAGATTGAACAGCGGACCAATCAGGTAAGTGCATGTGTTCAATGGGCGTAAAGAAAGGCGTGTCTTGAGCTGTGAAGAAGCAGGTGGATTTATGAATAACGGTGCAGCCAGCTCTGTGCAACAAGCAGGTTGTCACAGCCCCCCCCCTTGAGAAGTCCCGAGCTAGTAGGGTGAAAAATCCTTTATACGCCTCATTCCTCCAATCTTAGATTTTCTCCAAGCTTGCTGTTTTGTATGCGATCAATGTGTTGACATTCATATGAGAGAGGTAATTTAAATACTCAACTCTCTATTAGAAGTTATCTACTTTTATTTAAAAGTCAGAAGTGAAACCATGGAAATCCTCATGGTCGCTTTCCTCGTGGAACAGTTCCTGAACTTTACTGCGTTGCTCTTTTTCTACTTCTTCTGCTGTAGGAAAACAAGGTTTGATCTGCGATATATGAACCACGCAGAGATCTTCTCCAGTATCCTCCAGAACTACTTCATAATTTACAGGGCCAGTCCTTTTTATGATTCTGTAAGGACCTTTCCATCGTGGAGCAAGTTTGGCCATAAAAGATTGATCAGCCTTTGATAAAGGGTGTGAACGAATCCATACACGGTCTCTTTCTGAGAAGTTTCCATCTCTTCTTCCACGGTCATAGTTGTGTTTCTGTCGCTGCTTAGCTTTTCTCAGATTGACATCAGCAAATTCACGGAGCTCAGCAATCTGTTTTACTGTAGCATAGACAGGGGTGTCAGGGTCACAAAGAGTTGGACTTAGCTCTGCATCCAAAGGCCCTTTCAGAAGTCGTCCAATGTTTAGCTCAGCTGGAGTCACACCAGTAGATTCATGCACTGCAGAGTTTAAAGCAAACCAAAATTCTGGTAGGTATTTATCCCAACTCTTATGTTTGTTACTGATATAGGATAAGAGCATAGCCTTGATGTTGCGATTTACTCTCTCCGTAAGGTTAGTTTGTGGGTGTTATGCAGAGGTTTTCTTTGGTGTGAGATTCGATCTTTTACAGGTTTCTTTGAACACAGAAGAAATAAATTGTGGACCTTGATCAGAGAGAATGTATGTTGGCACTCCCCATCGTGTCAAAATCTCTCTGGTCAAGTACTGGGATATTATTTCTGCAGTAGCCTTGCGGAGGGGAAACATTTCAACCCACCATGAGAAATAGTCCACAAAAACAAGTAGATGGACATTACCATTAGAACTCCGTGGAAAGGGTCCCATAAGGTCCACGCCCAACATCTCCCATGGTGCACTCACCTCTGTTTGTTGCAACTTGCCAGGAGCTTTTCGGGTTTGTACATTTGACAGACTTGACAGGATCTCACATAGTCCCGAACATCAATGCTCATCCTTGGCCAATACACCAAGGCTTGTAACCGTTTGTAGGTTTTGTATCGTCCAAAACACTGCATGAAAAGTGGGATTCTCGTCAATATACGGCACTGTAGATTGTCGTGGAACTTCAGGTTAGCGGCAGTTTACGGCAATTTGCAGGCTTCGTCGAAAACTCCCGTAAATTGTCAGAAATTGACGTGGAATTTCTTAGGCAGTGTTCCCCCCATGCCTCCCCCCCATGGAATTCTAGGGGAGGCTTTAACATGTAAATGAACATGCTGTGAGCTATACAAATGCAAACCAGGGTTGCAGGGAGGGTTTTACCCCAAGTGACATCTTTCTGAGGAAGAAAATCTCTGATACAAAGAGATCAGGCTTAGTATAGCCTCTCACATTTTAGCTTGAATTGATTTATTTAATTAAAGTATAGAGACCAAAACAGATCTTTAGCTGACAGAGCAATACATTTAGAGCAGTAATTATTTTAAAAAAAATTTGCATTTAAGATAAAAAATAAAATATTGTCTGTCAATATGCTCAATTCACAATTACTTAAGTGGAAAAGTTTCAAGAAATGAGTCTGAGATGATTCACTTTATAACATGGCGCATTATCCTGTTGGAAGTAGCCATCAGAAGATTGGTACACTGTGGTCATACGGTCTGGCCAGGTCAAGATCCGCAATTGCAATTGCACCAAACAGGAAAAAGAACATCAACAAATTCCGGTTCGTCAAATAAAAATATAGCAGCAACAGATTGGTGACTAGAAATTATAGCACAATTCTTATAAATATCTAAAAAAAAAAAAAAAAAAAAAAACTAACACCGTTTATTTAAATGATTGGATCCAAACTATTGGTTATTCACCAACCAGGAAGCAGATTTCTCATCTCCATTAAAATATTTATTTTATACCGAGGGACTTAAAGTTTAATCAAATCCAGTTAAAAGAAACTTCTTATTACAGGAATGAAAAGAGATGCTAAGTTGTAGAGAACAAGTTCATAAAAAAAAAAGCAGTTTTGAATTATCCTTATCTCTGTTACAAAAATCTACAAAAATATATATATATATATTTGGGCAGAAACTGAACATATGCTGGATGATGGTGGGATTTTTTTAATATGTCATTAAATTAAGCGCTCACAGGGTTCATACAGGAATGAGTGACTCTAATTTAATGCTATTTTAATGCTATTAGAAATTATTTTAATGCCATCAACAAGAACCATGTACACAAGTTATTAGTGTACATGAAATATGAAGGAGCTGCAAGCAGAGTACCATGACTCCTGTATGTATGTAAACACACACACACACACACACACACACACACACATATATACGTATATATATTCTCTAGCTTTTTCTCCGCCTCGAGCTTCCTTTCCGAACATACGGCTTTATAAACAGTTCCACGCAAATTAATAGCGATATAATATCTGACGACATTGTTTTTAGAAGCATTTTTATTAAAGAATCATAAATGCAACGATAAACATATTTAATTAATTTTAGTGCCAATTAAGGCCTTGATTAAAAAAAGAATTATGAATTGTAAATATTTTTAATGATCCGCGGAAACCCTGGTTCATCTGGCGCATGCCCTCTACGATCTCCAAGGAACTCAGAGAGGAGGGGACGGAGCCACAGCGGCGGCTGTAGGCTTTGCTTTGTGCAGCCGGTCTGGAGCGCAGCGGGGCGGAGCGGAGCGGAGCGCAGACGGAGTATGTGGGATTTCGGGGTAAAACTCTTCTTGGACGCGATGGCGACTCTGCATCGAACAAGACGAACTCAAAGAAGAGATGCTAGCGGTAAATATATGTTCGATTACTGCCTGCTAAGCTAAAAGCGGCCTAGCCTGAGCTATGGCTAATAGCAGCCTAGCTATTAGCCTATCTAGCCTAGCCTTGCAAGAACAAGCTTTATTAAAGTGCATTTTTTGTGATTTACAGGAAGCAGTACGCCGTCTTAACAACTCGGAGACTAATTGCAGGCGCTATGAACCGGAGCAAGGGTAAGATTTAAAGAATATGCTTTCATTCTGCGGTAAAAGGTAATGGATACCGATCATAGCTTTACATTTTGTTTTCACAGACCTCCTTTTTGCTCGGAGCCATAATCAGCAAGTCCAGATTTGCACGATGATGATAAAGACGACATTGTGTGTAAGTGACTTGTTTTAATGTTTTCTCCTTCCTTGTTACTGTGACCTGCGTTTGATTTTTTATTTATACCACTCTCATTTAATTGTTTTCCAGCTGCCTGTAAGACGTATTTTCAGACGGTACGCAGGAGCTTCAGATATACGCTGCCAGCCAACACGCTGCGTGCGGAGGCTATCTGCTCGGAGTCGGGCCAGAAGAAAGAGGGTAAGACTTTATTTGGTGACTATTTTTCAGGTGCATTGATAGATGTGTTGTGTCCATACGCAGTGCGCTGATTCATTGTTTTTTTTTTTCAGCTGCTGAAAGCGAGGCAGAGTGTGCTAGCAGATGAGGAAGTGGAACTCTGGAAGTCCGCCGTCGTCAGCGGTGTCTCTGGATGGATTGTACGGTCGCCGCCATTTCGTAGGCCGGATCCCTCTGAACTCTGTGTTAAGCTGCAGTCCCGGTTAGAAGCGATGCCGAAGTACAGAGCCACGCACAGTAGGCGTCTGCACATCGGACCTGCCTCGGAGGGAATGCTGCCCGTTACCTCCAACCCCGAGGAAGCAAACGGACCGTTCACGGACTTTTAATTTTTAGAAACGCATGTGTTTGGATACGCGTTGTATATAGTTGTGTGTGTTTTAATAAAGCTCTTTCTTTGCATAAACAGCTTCCTGGCAAATGTTCATTTCCTGTATAAATTCATTCATGTCCTTGATGGTAGCATAATAATTGTGTAGTAGTGTAGGATAACATAAATACACACCATATGAATGAATAAATATATGAATGAATAAATAAATATATATATATATATATATCTATATGAATAAATATATATATGTAAATATATATATATGCCAACCAATCACGAGCGACTTTACTTGTTTAAAAAGAAGTGGTTCCGTCCAATACTCAGTAAGAAAATTAAAGCCTGGCGTGGCCACGTGTGGTTTTGCTGCCAATCACGAGCGATTTCATTTGTTTGAGAATAGTGGTTTCAGCCAATACTGAGAAGGTTATTCAAGCCAGACCTGGCCAGCCGCGCGGGTTTGCTGCATTCATATGCTAATTAGGGCCATTAGTACAGCTGATCGCTCTCCACATACGTCACGGTACGTTTCCGACAATTTGTGGCACGACAAACGCGGACAAGCACGGGTTGCAAATTGTCGGAAACTGACGAAAATCAGGCAGATCTGCGGGAGTTTACGGGGGTTTACAGGGACGAAAATCTCACTTTTCATGCAGTGAAATGTCCAGATAAAGGGTCATTATGGTTGTGATGAAGTAACTGTTGACGGAGTGATGGTGGAATATAGACTTGGTAAAGAGTTTTGTGTGGTAATTGAACAACTCTGTAAACCTTGTCTTCCAGGATAGTGTACTTTATTGTTGGCGACTCATGTACTGTTCCTTTGTCCATTTTTTGTTGGTAAATGTTTTGTGCAAAAGGATCCTGCTGTTGAGCATTCCAGATGTTCTCATCTGTCACTTGGAGTGGGTGAGAAGTGTCCCTTTGCGACCGAAGTACGACAGCACAGGTAACTGGTGAATGGTCAGAAGCATTGATTGGGGCTTGTGACAGAGCATCTGGAACAGTGTTATACTTTCCTTTTCGATAATCCACTGTGAAGGAGAATTCTTGCAAACGAAGAGCCCACCGGATCAGCCGAGTGCTAGGTTTATGAGTTTTAAAAACCCAGATCAGAGATGAATGGTCAGTCACAACGGTGAAGTGTCTTCCTATAAGGTAATATCTCCACTTTTCAATGGCCCAAACAACAGCAAGACCTCCTTGCTCAGTAGTAGAGTTGTTCCTTTCAGCTTTATTTAGAGTTCGGCTGGCATAGGCCAGGACTTGCTCAGTGCCTAACCCAGTCTGCTGAGCTAGAACGGCTCCCAAACCCACATCACTAGCATCAGTATAAACAATGAATGGCAGTTTGAAATCTGGATGACCAACTCAGTGGGCTAGGTTTGAAATTTTATTCTATTCATTTGCTCTTATTTTTTAATAATTTATAGAGCATTTCATTACATTAATCTTTTAGAGCATTTAAGCATTTTTAGATCACAAAATGAGCATATCTTTGAAAAAAATTAGAAGGGAAAGGAAACAATTACAATATTATTATTATTTATGTAATTTTAATGACTGCTGACCCAGTCCAGTTCATAGGTCAGTATGGGTAGCCCTTCGTATTACTCAGTACCCCTTAATTAGCTCTAAACCTTAAAAAGGTTGGTGACCCTTGTTCTAGACCTTCTCACAATTTGCTGATTAAAAACTCACCTCAGCACCCTTTAATCCTCTGTCTCCAGGTGAACCCATCTCTCCTCTTGGGCCTGGGTCTCCTGGGGGACCTGATGACCCTTTTCTCCCTCCTGGTCCTTCAGGACCAGGAGGGCCCCTTATCTCAACTGGGGGGCCACATAAACATGTACCAAGATCACCTGAAACACAAAGGTTGAAAATAAGATTTTAGATCTCCCTCCTAAAAGCCAATCAAGTTGTTTTATTTTCTGATTTAATTAGCAGAGTTCTGTTGTAACTTTGTGTGAACAATAACAATGAGATCATTCACTAGGTCCTTTACACACAGAGAATTAAATATTATATTTAATAGGGAGGGTTATTAGTTGTATTCCTTTTCAGAATGTGATCTTTATGACCACTACGTCACGATCTGATGACTGGCCTGATTACTCATCTGATCCACCTTCTTCAGTCTCTATTTAACCAGCCCTCAAACCAGTCATCAGTGCCAGATTATTCTCAAGCCTGTGGTGGTGTTTCTCTAGTGTACCTGTATTTCTGATTGCCTGATCCTGACCTGTTCTGCCTCTGGACCTCAGAGCCTGCATGTTCCCATGCTGATCTGTTTGCCTGACATGTCTTTGGACTCCTGCTGGATTCTGCCTGTTTAAAAAAACCTGGAACTGTTTCCTGACACCGTCTTGGATTTCCTTTCGGAACCTCTTCCGATCTTTGATCTTCTGGTCTGTACTTCTGAGCACTTCGTCAACACGGGCTTTGGCTTCAACCTCTGGATTATCCTGCTTTCCTTCGTCTGCCTGTCTACCTGGGGCTTTAATGTCTGGGGCACTCTGGGCAGCTTCAGTCGCATTTTTTCGGCAGCTGACCAACTGGAACAAACCTCATCCTCTGTGCATGGACTGAACTTTAAGAACAGGTTAGTGACTTACACATTCATAATCTTCTGCCACTAGATTGATGTGGTCACTAACCTGTGTTCTCTTCCTGTAGAGGTTCCTGCCTTAGATGTACTAGCTGTTTGCTGCAGTTCCTTTACTTTAAATAAATGCCTTTTGAGATATCAAACTGTCTCTCTATCTGAATACTAGTTTCTCTGTGCTGAGCCTTGACACACTACCATTTCACCTCACATTCCAGACCTCATCCGTCCTCACATTTTAAGCATTGACTTATTTAACAGTTATTTATAAGCAATTAATATTGGTAAGAGCAAATTGATGTGTTATAACAGCATCATTAAAAGAACAACTGTACATTCAAACAGCCACTTAGTACTTATTATTTAATGTAAGACAGAACAAAATAGGAAGGAACCCCATGAGGTGAAGCACAGGTCCTACCTGTTGAATAACATTTTTATATTTCATCTTCACCTGCTGACAGGTGCGCTTCTTTTAAGTGACATTTTATCTAAATGTCATACATTGATCGACTACATACCATTCAACCACTAAATTAGATTTCCCCCATAACATTGTCGTCATCGCAACAGGCTATGGCAGGCCATTAAGATATTCATCAGTTTATCTGAATAGATATTCTTTTTATATCCGAAATAGGAAATATTTCCTTGTCAAAATAAACTTTATGAACAAAATTATATTCTTCATATATAAATTAAACATTCTGGATGTCTACAAATCTCCATATTGCTGTAACTGGTTATAATTTGTATTATTTTTAACAGAAAGAAACATATTTCAGATACCATAAACACATATTCAATCAAGTTAATAAGTGTCAAAATAGCCATTTGTAATTTAGAAAATATATTAGAGTTCTGACCAGAAATGTGATTTTGACCAGGAAGAATCCTAATTTGGTGATGTACACATTGAACAGCAGAGGGGAGAGTGCTTTTAATAAATGTGAAAACAGCCTGCAACAGAAAACTTGATAAATTTACGCATTAACTTGAACAGCAATCTTCTGAGTCTGAGTTTTTTAGAACTCTAATCTTTAAACTTGTTTTGAAAAAGAAGAGTTTACTGCAAAAGGGTTTAATTGGAAAATTAAAAGATGTTAATATCATGATTGATTGACTTTAATCCTTCCAAATAAAAAAAAGTTGAGAGTCAGACAATTGATTGTGCTATGCAAAGATTGCATGTGAAACAGATAAGTCATGCAAACCTCCTCAGTTCACCTTGTTCAAATGAGTGAAAGTGTGAACTGCTGGCACTTCGAGGGTGGGTGTAAAAATATTAAGGTGAAGTTATAACCCATGGAATTGGAGGTAACAATCAACAATAATAATGATAATAATCAATGTTTTCCAGGCCAAGAACCCCCAAACTGATGGCAAGATGGAGCGGGGACCCACTAATTATATATAATGTATGAAATTGTGTTATATCAAACTGGTCCTATAGTCACTCTATTACAGATGGAGTCATTAATGAAAGTAATTTAGCCCTGGGATTATTTAAGTTTTTCTGATTCTGGTTCCTGGTTGATGGGACAGGTGTTGTAAATGAAACGGTGCCCAGCTTGAAAGAGCTCCTGTGTGTCGCTGAATGTATCCATTGATGACTGAAAGACATCTTCTGCCTCCATTTATCTGTTTACTACAGTGTATTAAATTCATGTTAATGTGGATTTAAAGACATTTCAATGAGTGGAAAAAATTTCAGGGAGGAATAAAAAAAAGTCTAATCAGCCAAAACTTTCGCGATCCCCATGCAGTACCTCCGTGAAGCACCTAGGGGTCGTAGACCCCCTGTTGAAGATCTATAGTGCACTTTAGATGGAAGTAAATTAGAATGGTTTGAACAAAAGTATAGCAAATTAAAAGATGCAAAATCATATATAAAAGGATTAAAGGTCATAGCTACTTATTCATCAAAACAATGACGTTTTCAGGGATAATCCACAAAAACATCCACATAATATCTAGAATGATACAAATTGAAGTGTTAACTTTATTAAAGAATAAAATATGAATTTGGATTGGTAAAAGATGATAGCCTCTACGGATAGACTGGCTTTCACAGGGCATAAGAGCTGAGAAATAGCTTTATATCACATTATTTCTATAAATAAGATTCAAGCCCAAAAAAAAGTAATAAATAAAGGAGAACGAGAGCAAACATTGGTCCAGTTCTAAAGCGTTGGTGCTTCCTTAAAAGGAACCATGATAGTAGTAACAATAGATTTTATTTTAGATAAATCTATTTTCAATTAAAATACAATAAAGTAAAACCCCTGCAAGCTGTTTAGTTTAATACATTTGTAAAATCATTTAAAACAGACGTTGCCATGTTGTTTACGCTGCAAACCCTTTTGGGCAAATGGCATATGCTAGGTCCTGTAGCATTAGCTTCATCCAACAAAACAGCAATGAATAATGTTAAAACTTTTAGTTTGAACTGGAGCATTTTGAAATGAATGAGAATGTAGAAATAACAACATGTAATGAAGATAAGGAGGACTAAAAGGAGGAAGAGAGGGTGAAGAAGCTGGTGTTTGTATGGCTGCTAAAAGCACAAACCCTGAGTGTATAAAACTAAAGGAAGGGCTTGAGAATCAGGCTAATAGAAGAAAAAGAGTAGAAACAAAGCTTTATTTATAAAACACCTAAATAAGTGTGAATGTTTTTCAGGATCTTTCAAAGGTTTTAAAAAAGAAACTCACTGACCTTTGGGCCCCGGATAACCGCGTTCTCCTTGAAAGCCTAGGTCACCTGGATCTCCATTGAGGCCTGGGATCCCTGGAAGACAGTACGTTCCTGCACGAAAGAGGATCACATTTCTAGAACATCAGGAAAATTTAGGTATCATTGACTGACCATTAGAAATGAAAACTATTTTACTTTAAGACTTGAAAATCACGGGTATAAAGAAAGTGATCCGTTACCTGGAATACCCGGCCTTCCCTTGGGCCCTCTCCGTCCTGGAGGGCCTGGTTTTCCACGTTCTCCAGGGTACCCCTCTTTTAAAATCTGACCAGGGTCTCCTCTGTCCCCTTTGGATCCAGGTTCACCTTTCTGACCAGTCATACCTGGAGGTCCTGAACCCCCCACAAATAATATTACAATACTTACTTACTTTTACATTTTCAGATCAGAACATCAAAGTCATCCTGTACCACCTTAAACCTATTCTGTGCTGTCATGACATGTTAAATGTGAACAAATAATGTTACCTTATCAAGAAATCACAACAAAGCTGTTCTCATCACCATAATTATAACATAGATCAGAGGCCCGTACCATCAAGCGAGCCTAACCTATAGGGATTACTTCCAGCCTATCCAGTTTAACCAATCCACAGCAATCAGGATCATTGGCACCACAAAGCACGTATAAAGGGGCGGGTTGAAAGTAGCAGACCATACACAATCATAAGTGCAGAAGGGACAGTGGCGTATTTCTGTGAGGAGCAAAACTAATTTTACAAAAGTAAGAAGAGGAAAAAATGGCTAATTGAAAAGTCAAATATGGTGAGTTAGTTACACATCAGTGACATTTAACACATACAGGACACCAATCACTACTGCATATTAATCGCATGCCCCTCAGGAGTGTAGAGGAATTGGGAGCAGATTAAAAATAAAACACAAAAACATTATTTCATCTGGTTAGACTGACTTTTAAATTCAATAATGTCTGCACTACAATAAAGCTGAAACCACAATTGCATCATATTAATACAAGAAGTGGATAATCTATATATAATCCTCCTGATTTCTGAGAACTTTTTTTTTTTATGGTTTGCCATTTAATCCTCATCGGAGCAGCTTCAGTGAAACATCTACCGTTCCCATTAATACTGTTACAGCAAGAAAGAAAAATTATATATATGTCAACTTGTATATTTAACAGCCTGGTTTTTTATAATGTGATGAATAAGGAATTTGACAGTAACCCAGGTATTGACTCACCTGCCATAAAATCCTTCTTTTACAGACTGTATTCAGGTAAGTGGCTGACCATCCCCGTCAATATACATTTTCTAAGGTTTTGTTATCAGCCAAATCAGAGGATGGTGCTGCCCCCTTCTGCCTTTCACATGTCTTACTCTAGAAGTCAAGTAAAGAAGCAACTGGAGACTTCTTCATACCCCTTTACAGACAATTTACATAAATCGATATCTATGTTCTTTGGCTGTATATACCGACAGGTTTATTTGGTGGAGGGTTTTGTTTCTATTTATGTTCAGGTGAATTTAGTTAGTTTGGAAATTGGTGTTTGGTTTGGTTGGTGTTGATTAGGCTCTTTCGTGTGTGTGTTTTGTCAAATTGTCTGACTGAAAAATTGTCTAAAATAAATTCCTAATTATTAATTCATTCATTCAACTAAAGAGACTGAATCGGAAGTCACCAGGTCCTGATGATGTCATCCCTAGAGTCCTGAATGCCTGTGCAGAGCAGCTATTTGGGATTCTACAGCACCTCTTCACCCCTAGTCTGACCCTGGTGACAGTTCCAGTGATGTTGAAGAACTCCTGTCTTGTATCAGTACCAAAGAATAATAATTAACAATAATTTAACTTTATTGATCTCACACTGGAAAAATTCGCCTCTGCATTTGACCCATCCTCTAATCCACTAGGCCAACACTCCCCCAAGAAGACTCAGAGAAGACTCTGCCAACAGTCCTCAGTGACTATAGACCTGTTGCCCTGACATCGCTACTAGGACCCCCTGCAGTGTGCTTATCACCGTGGAGTTGGAGTTGATGATGCCATCATACACCTGCTTCAACAAAGCCACTGTCATTTACATAAGGCAGACAGCACTGTGATGGTCATGTTCTTTGATTTCTCCAGTGCATTTAACACAATTCTGCCTGACTTACTTTGTGAGAAACTGAAGACTGAGGTGGAGGCAGCAACAATCGCCTGGGGACGGTACTCTCTCCATTTCTTTTTTACTATATACATGTCTCACTTCCAATATGTTAACAAACGAGGGAGATTATTGCAGATTTCAGAAGAAACAGGAACAAGATGAAACCTATTAACATAATTGGAGAATACGTGGAGGTGGTTGAGGAGTTTAAACCATAGTATTTACTTGGACCACAAACTAGACTGGAGACGCAACTGTGAAGCCATCTACAAGAAGGGACAGATCAGATTGTACTTCCTAGGAAGCTTAGGACCTTTGGCGTTTGCAGCAAGACTTCTATAAATCTGTTGTAGAGAGTGTGATCTCTTCTTCCATCCTCTGCTGGGTATTAGAGTATTAGAGCAAATGACTTAAAAAACATGAACCCCCTAAAAAAAAAAAGACCAGCTCTGTTCTAGGAACTCCTCTAGAAAGTCTGGATATTATTTCAAAAGGGAGAATTCTTTATAAAGTGAAGAAACTTATGGACAACAGTGGGCATCCTCTTCAGAATATTTTTTTAACAACAACTGAGTGTCTTCAGTCAAAGGCTTCTCCAGATCCGGTGTAAGACGGCCCACTACAGAACATCCTTCCTGCCACAGTTATCAACACCTACATGAACTCGCTCTCAATCTGCAGGTTTACTAGCGGTTCCAAGAATTTCTTAGAGTTAATTGGGAGGCAGATCATTTAGTTATCAGGCTCCTCTCCTTTGGAACCATGTACCAGTTTTAGTCCGCGAGGCAGACACCCTGTCTACTTTTAAGACTAGGCTTAAATCTTTCCTTTTTGATAAAGCTTATAGTTAGAGTGGCTCAGGTTATCCTGAGCTATCTCTATAGTTATGTTGCTATACGCTTAGACTGCTGGAGGACATAGAGACCCCCATTTCATCATTCTGCTTCATTTTCTCTCTATTCTCCCCCTCTGCAGAATCTCTAACGTCCTGGTCTCTCTGCTTTTCTCATAGTAGCTTCATCTGGGCTGTTCCTATTTGGCTGTGACTCCATCCTGGAGACAAATGTCGCTGTGCTGCTGCCATCAACACCTTTGTTTATGGATGTTTGAAATTGGCCTGTTCATCAGTGTAGTCCTGTTTCTCTGACTGTGACTAACTGGATGTGCTCCCTTCATCCTCTGACATAGGAGGTGGCTTGGAGCTCATCTGCCTGGCCGTGTGTTTTCCTAGATGGGGTCGTCTTTTGTATGTCTGCTTCTGTCTCCTTGAACCCCAGTCAGCCTCAGCAGATGGCCACTCACACTGAGCCTGGTTCTGCTGAAGGTTTCTTCCTGTTAAAGGGACTGTTGAATTAATTTGACTGTATGATCTGGTGAACTGTAAAGTGCCTTGAGATGAGTGTGTTGTGAATCGGCGCTAAATAAAATTAACTAAATTCAATTGAATGAAGCTGCTGACTACATCATATGTTGGGGCCATACATACAGTCTGCGATACAGTGAAGATCGCATTCCTGCGTGTTGCATAGCCGACACTCTGGTCCAGAATCTGGCATATATGCCAGAGCGGCCCATGAAAACCTGTATTAATTATATAGTAATTGTCATATTAATCCAAAGGATCTTCTCGCAGTCTGTGTTCTCATTTATACTATCGCTAAGAATTAATCCAGTTTTGTGTTACTAGAAAGTCAGGATTGAGGCTGAAGTTGTCTCGCTAACCTAGTAACCTTACTTCATGGTACAGGCCTCAGGTCATCATGCTGCCCTAAACTTTACAACATCAAGCTACAATGATTGGCTCTGATAAATATGATAAGTTCCTTTCCTGAACCTACAAAAATGTCATTAGCTTCAACATTAAAACATATTTGGTCAAATGCTGCAGTGATCACCCTACGTTGTGGGAAGAATGTCACTGCCTTGATCAGAAAGGAACAAAGAAAAAAAACCTCACCAGGCATTGATCTTCCTGGCGATCCTGGAGGGCCTTGCATTCCCTTAGGCCCTGTGTCACCACGACTACCCATTGATCCAGGTGGCCCAGGATCCCCATCATCCCCTGAAAGACATAGAACTCTCAGTCAAACTTGTCTGAAGAGTTCAAAATGCCAGAATGTTGATCTGTACCATTTTCGCCATTCTGAGGGAGACCTTTAGGGCCTGGTTCGCCGAAACTGCCCTGGAAGCAAAGATCAAACCTATCAGGTAGAAAAACTAAACCAATTATGACTTGGTTGTTTCCTCAGGAATAATTAAACTAAATTTCTTTCTTTCTTAATTTTACCAGGAAGGTCTACCATGAACAGGCAGTTTTTGAGACAAATCTGGACTGACCTTAGCACCATCTTGACCTATCAAACCTGGAAGACCCTGGCTTCCTCTCATCCCCTGAAAGCCGAGAACACCTGTATTAGCTCAGCTGGATAGAACCAAGAATCATAAACACTACACCAGGCTGGATCTTAATTTACAAAGAGAACCTTTGTGCTACAACATACCTTATCACCTTTTCGTCCGAAAGGACCCGGTCGACCAGGATCCCCCTTAAAGAAAGATAGGAAAAGAGAGGACTGGTGCGTTTACTGACGTCGTATACACTTATTTAGAACCGTTCATCGTGTGACAACTAAGAACGTACCCTGTCTCCTGGAAATCCAACAATCCCCTTCTCTCCTTTGATGCCAGGGGGGCCATCTTGACCCTGAAACCAGAGCAATTCATCCTCTTTACCTTCATAGATAATATAAATCATTGCATGAAATGTTATTCTTCTCTGCCAATATTTAATTTTAGGAACTGGGATATTTCTAAACATCAAATAAATAAAAGTGCAGCAGGAAGCGTTGGTGACTCAGAGGAGACAACTGCAATTTGGTGATTTGTTCTTACCAGGGGCCCTGGAATGCCAGGCATTCCTCTTTCTCCTAGAGATCCCTAAAAGAAAGAAGTGAATGTCACACTGATACCAAGGTCTAGGACAATCTGCATTTAGCATTAGAATTAAATAAATCTTGTTGGGAGAGACCTTGTAACACATCCCCCAGGCAAAAATTTATTAAACATGCAAAGAAGAAACAGAGACTTTAAAGCAAAATATGAATATGTGAAACATGCAGTTAGTTCATAAAAGATCTGTAGTTGGAGTCTTAACATGGCTGCAAAGCTCTACAGCTTTAGACACCACCAAGTGGTCTAAACTCATGTTTTGGTGAATTTGGACAAAATAAGGTTTAGTTATCATGTCTTGCCCAAGTACAAAAAAAAGAACAACTGAACTTTTTCATTTTTGACAAAATGAGGACAAACACTAAAGAATTATTTCAATGCTGTCAGAACTAAATATAATTGTTTTATGATAGACTCTGTAACTGGAGTCCTCATAGATTTTATTAGATCTCACATTAAATATTTATTGTGAAAAGTAATAGCAATACAAGAAATACAAAATAAACAAAAACTAACTCCACATTAAACAATAAAATCCAAAAATAACAATAGAATTATTAATAATATGTATCCTATTAACCCAGGATAGCAAGGAGGGTGCAGGAAATCAACAGAACACAGAAAAGTCCCCACAATATAAATTAACAAACAGAGAAAGACAACATCATCCTACCTTCTCTCCTTTGGGGTAGAAATTCTCTGGAGGTTCAATGAACTCAAACGGCCCTGGTTCACCCTGGGGTCCCTGTTCTCCCTGTGGATTACATAAAGTATTTATGCAAAGTTCTTATTGATAACTGGAAAATGTATTGATCTTTCAACCAGGTAATTACTACTGAAAAGATGAAAGAGTTGCACAAAACTCTGTTGGCAGTATCAGAGAGTGAAAATAAATGCAGCTTCTTATAAAGCCAAACAGTAAAAAAAGATGGCATTAGAGTCCAGCAGAAGGTTGATCAACAAAATTGTCTAAAAACTGAGAAAATTCAGGCATTTTCATGTTTTCAGTTTTAGATGTACCTGACAAGCTTGTTTAAAGAGATTTAGTGTCATGATCTGCCCTGATAGCTGACCTTAATTATTCACTTCATTCACCGGTCTAATACAGTAGCCCAACAAAACCCTTGTAATGAAAACATGCACATTGAAACTGAAATACCGGCTCCACCCCTTAATAATAGGAGTCGTTGAGGTTGTTATTGGTCCGAAATACCTAATACTTGGACATTCCTTTGAAAAGGCAGTTGAACCTTGACCCCTAACGACTGCCTTTTGAGAGGAATGGGCCGATATCGAGTTTTTGTAAGCCATTACAAGGCTTTTGTTACTCTATAAAAGCCTGGAACTCAGGCCCCGTCCACACGAAGACGAACCCTGGCCTAAACGCACTAATTTTTCACCAAACCAGCCTCTCATCCACACGAAGCCGGCGTTTCGGGGGTCTGTAAACGATCTTTTTTTTATTCAGCCTTCAGAGTGGGAAGATTTCGAAACGGCGTTTTCGCGTTTCCATCTTTACGCTCTAACCGCATTTTTTTTTTTACACGCATGCGTCATAGCGTCGCCTCTAAACACGCATGCGCGACAAAGTATCACAACAACAATGGCGCCGTTGCTGCTAATGCTACTCACCCTGCTGTCGGGCTTACAACAGAATCTTCTTCTTCTGGAATATCTCCAGGAAGAACAGAGCAATATCGACGACATAGTTCAGCACCTGAATTTGACTTAACCACAAAAATGGACCCGCAGGGCAACCATGTATAAATATTAGTGCGCATGCCCAACATTTCGTCGCTTATTTGTGCTTTGGCACCACAGCGCCACTTACAGGCCTGGCATACATTTTGCAGCGTTTTCATGCATTCGTGTGGACGCTCACATTTATTTTACGTCTCCGTCTTTACGGAAACGAAAATATCAGCGTTTCGTGTTCGTTTTGACTTCGTGTGGACGGGGCCTCAATGCTAATCCAGACATTTGGAATTTAAATACCTTCCTGGATGAGAAGCGAAACGTCTTCAAACTTGGAAAACAAAGGTCCAGTGTTTTTTCTTTTTTTTTACTTTAACCTTTTGGTCAGAACTAATCTTTTTCCAAGCTGTTTATCTAATTAGGACAGCTGTTCTGTCAGGATATACAGTTATCATCCATCATCCCGAGGAGGCTGAGGTCCTTTGGAGTGAGCAGGCCCCTGCTTAAAACCTTCTATGACTGTGGTGACATCAGCCCTCCTCTATGCTGTCCTCTGCTGGGCCCCTGGCAGCACAGAGCTGGACAGAAAGAGTAAATATACTGGTGAGAAAGGCCACTTTTGACCTGGGCTGCACTCTGGACTCAGTGGAGGAAGTGGCTGAAAAAAGGGTGCTTTCCAAACTTACATCCATCGTGGACAACACCTATCACCCCCTGCACCAGACTGTAGAGGAGCTAAGCAGCTCCTTTAGTGAAAGACTTATACACCCTGTTTGTATAAAGGACTGCTAGCGCAGGTTATTCATTCCTGCTGCCATCAGACTTTACAATGCAGCACTATAATTGCAATAACTAATATGCAATTACTACTTAATACCCAGTGCAATAACAGTGCAATAATCCTGTTAAATATGTATATATATGCACCATTTCTTATATATATATATATATATATATATATATATATAAATTTTTAAAAGTATTTTAATTTATGAAGGTCAAAAATGAAATTCTCCAGTCCTTAAGTACAACAAAGAACCTATACTTTTTACTTTTACTAAAGTAGAGGAATTAGTCTTGTACGCACAACCATCAGTTCATTTACTTAAGTATCAGCAGTGACTCTAAATAGATGGACAATGAGTTGTTGCAGAAACAGAACTTGTACCTCATCTCCTTTTGGTCCTGGAATTAAACGACCTTTTTGACCCTGAAATACACAAAAATAATAAGAGATCAGAATACTGTTAAACAGCTGAAGAATGACCAAATATTAAATCAATAAGTGATTATTCAATATAGCACTAGAGAAGATATATAATTGATTAAAATTACAATAAAAAGGAAATCTGAAACCTAATACTATCATGAAATTAAAACAAAAAAAGATACTACTGACGATATTGAATGCTGAATAAATAAAATATGAATTCACTAAAATCTAAAACCTATCAGGCTGGAAAGATGGCTTACAGGCTGACCCCTCAAACCAGGACGACCAGGTATACCCTGAAATGACACATTGTGAAACACAACATTACTAATAAAAACATTGCTTGTTCACACAATGAGTAAACATTTCTAAACCATAGATACAAATAAAACAACAGCAGAAATTGGCTTGTAACATAACACAATAACTTAAGTAAATATGTTTTTATTAATGACCACAGAGGGCAGAAAATAATGCCTGTTCTGTCTACCAGATGTATTATGATATATAATATGATATATATCAACAGACATGTTTACCATTAGAAAAATGAGAAATGTAGATGTTGCTCTACTTCTATTTAAACATTTAAAATGTTATATTCCTTAACCATTATTTGAGCATCAGGAGATATTTGTCTCTTAGCTGTCAGGGTTTATCTTGTGGAGCTTCATAGACCTGGATCCTCTGTATTGAATTTACAGAGGAACCATCCTTTAAAATTTACTGTGTTGAACTGAACTGAACAAGTTAAACTGAATTCATGTTGAAATATACTGACTTGCACTGAATAAAATTTAGGTGAACTGTGCTGAAGTCAACAGAATGCATTTAAGTTCTACTTTTGCCTCTCTGCCTGCTCATCTCTACCTCACTTGCTCACATTTCCCTTCTTATCTCTTAGCCAGAGAGAAAACAAATGTTTTCAAGGTTCCTCTATCTGTACAAATTTTTATGTTATTTTCATCACAGTGGAAAACGCCTCATTTCGTTGATGGCTTTTGTGGAAATAAAGAATAACCAACTAGAGGTGAATGTGGAAGTAAAGGGTGGTTATGGAAATGATACGATCCTGCCAGTGTCGACCCTGTCGGTGACTTAAAACGGTGAGATAACCCCACAAGTAGTTTTGTTTTTAAAAGCAACTCATCAGAACAACAAATAACCAACGGAACTCCAATAACCAGACTGGCAGCTCCCGTTAAGAAGCGCCAAAGATAAGCAATCCAATCCAGATCTCAAAAGCCATCTTGCAGGATGAACAAAACCTGGCCAAGAATTCAGAGAGACATGTCTTCCACCAAGTGGCGGCTGGTGGAGTTTTCTCCAGGGGGGCTATTAATTTAAAATAGATACGTATATCAAAAACCAATCAAACGTAAACTAAGTTATTACATCAGCATATTTATATGAATGCCAACAACAACAAAAAAACATTATAAACACAGAGTAAAAACATAATTTCATGTACAGGTTTACTTTTTGCACATAAATGTTGCCCTTCTGAGGCTTTGTGAAGGCAAATCTGTGTTTTGCATGGTCAAATATGGTTTAAAAAAATGTATGTACCAGTATAATAATGGGGAAGCTATTAGTCAGCTTTATATTTTCTTACTATATAAAAAACTATTTTCTGAGAATGTGTTTATAAAGGTAAAGTGGAGGATTTTCGCGATTTTTTTTAGAAGACCCACCCTGTACCCAATTCTGTACCCGAGCATGCACAAGCCCAATTCTCATCATGTTTAAAAGTTACTGTTCTCATAGCTCATACCAGCTTACTGTGTCTGAACGTTCACTCTAACCCCTAAATCACTACATAGAGTGGGGACTATACAGTGGACTATACAGTGGACTCAGTTAACTGAGTTTGAACAGACGATCACTGCTTTTTGCTCCCCGTTGGTCACAACTATAAATCACTGAATGGATCAACACCTCAATACATAACAGATTTGTTGTCAGAGTATGCACTGTTGTGCCATTTCATACTTAAAAGGAACAAGCTCAAAGTTCTGTCACACACATGAAATGAATTAGCTTACGTTCATAGCTCATTTTTTGAAAAAATAAACTAAGTTTACTAACCTATAAATAAACTAGTTCAAGTTAATTTGGTAAATTAAGCCACAATCCTACACAATAGAACCTCGTATTTTACCCTTTAAATGTGTGATCATAATATTTAGAAAGAAATGGAAAATACTGGAATCATTGAAGGTATAATGTATTTACAGTGAAGCCTTTATTTAGCCAAATTACACAGAACTTCAGAAACATACAGGTACAATCAGGTTCTGCAGAAAAGATCTGGATGAAAAATGATGAGATTTCTTACGTTCCTCATTCAGTAGCAGATATTTCCCAAGATAGCTCAGATTCTTTAACGTAATGTGTCACCTAAAATCTGAAGTGGACATGGCTGACATACAGAGTTTTTGTTAAGTGTGTAAAGTGTGAACTAACACTAAAGTGTGAGTTCTTCTCTGTCCAAGTCTTCCTTTATTAGTTCATAAAACTCTGCAAAACTGGAATCCAATACACCAACAGATGAGTCTCAATCGCACAGACCAGTACTAGCAGTAGACGTACAGATCTGTCATGCTGTTTGCTGTAATAAGAGCTGTAAACCTGACGTTATTCAATGAAAAGTGTTTCAATTGGATGTGAATGTGAGATGCGTGTGTCCCTCATTCTTCTCTGAATAAAAGTCGCTATTGTTCACATTCATTACTTCAAAACTGATCCCTTCTGTTCACTAAAACTATGAATATATTCAGTGAACACTGTTCATTAAACATGTTGATACACAACACTGATTGTATCAACCTCCCAGACCGCTTAGGTCTTCTAGGTAAAGCCTACTCTGAACACCTGGAACTAGAACCAAACATGGAGAAGCAGCATTTAGTTCCTATGCTCCACTGATCTGGATCAAACTGGAAGACTAGAAAAGTGCTTAAAGCCTGTTTTTTTGTGCTTTTTTAAGTTAATGTTAAAAACCAATTTTTTTCGAGCTGCCTTTGACTATTGAAGTTAAACTGTTAACTACGGTATCATTAGTTGAAGGTTGTGGTCAAACTGTTACATTTGTTTTACACATGTTTTTATCTTTCAAATGTTTTATTCTGCTTTTATTTTCTTTATTTTATTATCTTATACTGTACATGTAAAGCACCATGAATTGTCCCAGTACTGAAATGTGCTATACAAATAAACTTGTGTTTCCTTGCCTTAATTTGAAGTGAATCAAATTGATCCAAGCTAAATTAAAAATTTTCTAACAGGTAATAAATCATTCTTTCAACTATTATTAAACTGATTTTTCATAGTTTGAAGTAAATAGCTAAATTTAGCAACAACCAGTTAGAATGAATGAAATGATTCTGAACTTAATAGAGATAAAGAGAGGAAATTTATGACTCACATCGTCTCCATCCCATCCTATTGGACCAGGAGGTCCAATCGGTCCTGGTAGACCCTCTTCTCCCTGCAGAAAGATACACAAAACTGTAGAAGGAGCACTAAAACTGAGGCCTCAAGGTTCTGCTTCTTATTATTTCCCAGGTTTGTTAAAAGGCATCACTCACCGGCAAACCTGGCAATCCAATGGGCCCAGCATTTCCCTGTTAGACCCAAACAGGGAGATTAGACCTTCTGAATGTAGCAGAATGATGCTGCGGATCGAGTGTACTTACGGGAACTCCAGGGAACTGGATAAAGTAGTACGCTGGATCTCCTTTAAAGCCTTTCGGCCCTGTGATACCCTGCAGAGCAGCATATTACATATCATCTGAAGGTATATCCTTTACCACAGTCACAACTTGGACACAGTGATCTATAATGGTTAATCTGCTGCTGTTTATACCGGTTCTCCATAAGGCCCCTGTTCACCTGGAAGCCCAGGGTACCCAGGGTTTCCTCTGGTTCCATTACATCCATCCAAACCTGGATGGCCACGCCCTCCAGCCGGGCCTGGGTGACCCTGGACACAAAAAAAAAAACGAAATAGATAATGAAAGAGAAGCATTAAAGATTCTATAAGAGGCTGGAAGAGGCAACGCTTCTTACCGGGATTCCCTCTATTCCTGGAAAACCAGGAAGGCCTATGATTCCCTGAAATGATAAAAAACAATAAGCAGACTTCTGTAATGATGTCAATAAAAGCACAAAAACAGAAGTCTGATCAGATATCTGCTAAGGCTTGATGATGTGGAACCATCTGCTGAAAACCTTTCTGAGACGTTTCAGAAGTGCTGGTTATTTACTCACAACATCTCCTTTTTCACCAGGACGTCCTGTTGCCCCCTCATCTCCTTTATGACCCCTTGGTCCCAGAAGACCCTGAAGGCCCGGAAAGCCTGGAGGCCCCTGGGGGCCCTGCGGACCCAGAGGACCCGGGGAACCCTGCAGCATATAAAACACTCTTAGAGGCTTAAAACCTTAAGGAACAGGACCAGGCAGGAGGTACGGTTTTAAAACCTTACACGCTTCATAATATATTAACAACAGCATCAACCAAGAGAACAGAACCTGGAAAAAAACGACTGCGACCGACGACACAATGTTTTAGTGTGAATGTTTAGAATAGAAAAGAACAGATATTCTTTTTATGCAATAAACAAAACTGTACAGTTTAGAAAAACATAAAATGTACAATAGAATAGGGTCATTTAAGAAAAACCTACAAAATACACTAGAATATTTGTCAATTAAAAAAACAATGATAATATACTATCATAATTTTTTTTTTTAAGTGTGCAAAAGTGGAAGAAGTGATGATTGTGAAGTCTAACAATTAAAGGTGCATATCTCACGTTATTAGTTTTTAAAAAATGTAAACGCTATTAGCATAAAGTCTATCTGATAGATTATCATGTCCTGCTGGCGTGTTCTTTTTTTATTTTTGTGTTCTGTATCTCCACTGTGGACCGCTGCTGGCTCTCCACAGGGATGTGTGCTGAACCCCCTGCCCTACACCCTCTACACCCATGGCTGCACCCCCACCAACCTGATCAAACACCATCATTAAGTTCACGGATGAAAACACGATGGTGGAGCTCATCTCAGGGGATGGTGGAGCGTCTGTCTGCATAGTGCTTGGACAACAACCTAACTCTGAACACCTCCATGTCAAAGGAGCTCATCATTGACTTTCAGAGATGTAAACAGGACAGACAGCACATCGCCATCAATAGGGACAGGGGTGAGGTGGTGCCGGACTTCAGGTTCCTAGGCAACCACATCAGCGAGGATCTGACATGGACTACTAACTCTATGGTGATCCTGAAGAAGGTGCAGCAGAGACTGCTCTTCTGGAGGATTTATCAGGTCGAACCACCTGAGACCAGAGCTGCTGCTGTCCTTCTAATGCTGCTCTGTGGAGTCGGGGATCACATTGTGGTTCTATAGCTGCAGTACAACACGGAGGAGGCAGCTCCAACGGGTGATAAACACCACTGAGAGACTGACTGGCTGCCCTCTCCTCCCCTGGAACAGATTTACTCCACCTGCTGCCTTAGGACAGCCTGCAGCATCAGGGTCTCCCAAGGAGGTAGGTTTGATTTCAACTTTGTTAGGGAGACTATTGGTCTTCAGTTTCATTAGTCTGATGTTATTGATCCTATGCAAAAATATGAATGCTCGTTTTTTTATGCTTGATGTAAAAATCAGGTTGCATTTCGAAATAATAGATTCAAGGGATGGCAAATAAAAGTATTGTATTTACATGAGCACTCGAACTAGAAAAGGGAACTGACACTGAACATTTAATATATTAACTTCACTCTATAACTTATTTATTATATTTATTTTCTTTTTATTGCACTATTTGTCTGCACTGCTTTGTGTTATATTGTTTTATATTGAATAGAATAGAATAGAAAATCCCTTTATTGTCCCACAATGTAGGAATTCTATTGTTTTGAGCTGCTAAAAGTTTTGTTGTATCCTAGAGAAACAATGACCAATAAGACTTCTGATTCTGAAATAAATCCCTTTGTTTACAATAACGAAGGCGTTATGATACTGCTGATGTGTGCAGGGGGTAAACAAACAAGCAAAAGGTCTGTGAAATATGAAAGAGCAACAAGGTGGAAGTCCTTTAACCTGAGCAGCGGTATTTGGAGGTCTTTAATGGAGCTTCTGGAAAACATCTGCCATAGATGGCAGGACAACCAAAGGTCTCAGATGGAACCGTAAAGTTAGGCATGGGTATTTACAGTAGCAGCCATTCAAAGTCAAACACCAGCCAAATGGCAGCCTACTCCCCGGTTACTCCCATCCAAATCCTCTCCAACCTCCAGCCACTGGCCTTCTCCTGGACGTGCTTTTTTTTAACTCTGACTCCACCCTTTCACTGAATAACAGGGTCTGACCAGGAGATGACGCTTCTCTCTAGATCTGAATGTCCACAAATCATGACAGAAAGAAGGTTTTAGTACAAAGATTGATGTTTAAAAAGGAATTGTAGGGGACCAGTCAAGGACCAGCCATTGACCATCAAGGAAAGTGAGGACATTTTTAATCGCTGCTACTGTAGTTCATAAAATAAAATAAAATGTTGTTTTTTTCTTTACAGTGTCTGACCACATGGGGGCAGTGTGACACAAATAAAGAAAAATCAACAGCAGGTCAGATGTACAGACTTAAAATCTGATAAAATCTTAATCCAAATCTGAAGAAATAGGGCAGAATAAAATATAAATAAACCATTTAATTCCATCTGAAGTTCAAAGTTAATTGTAAGCAGCATTTGCCTGAGGTGCAAAGTTCAAAAGGAAAAGAAGGAGTTAAAAAAGGAAGTGACATCAGTGTCATTTCATAAAATGTATCATAACCTGATCTGCAATAAGTTTAAATGAAGTCCTCAATACTACAGCACAGCTTACAGTAAACACATCTCTGGCCCTGATAGGGTTACATCTGAATTCTACAAGTTTTCTTCATATTTAATTCCAAATTCACATAAAGTTTTTATTGAAAGCAGTCACAGAGGGATGCTACCCCCCCAAACATTATGTCAGGATGACATTATTTTAGTACCCAAACCTAGAAAACATCCTCACCTCCTGGAGAACTGGCGTCTAATCACTTTATTAAACAAAGATCATAAAAAGGTTTTAAAAAGTCCTCATTAATGAATGGAAATCTGTTTTTTTTCTAAAGAACCGGCATATTTCAAATGATCTCAGATTAGTTTCAGATAGCTTGGACTCAGGGGTGGATTTATGAAATTTGGGGGCCCTAGGTAAAGACAGGCAGGGGGGCCTCTGAATTGAGAAGACGACAAATAAAACAGACTCATTATACAGATATAGATTTAGATATAGATAGAATTTTCATAGAATAGACATACGTTATTTGTTCTGTTTTGTCCCTCTCTTCTTGTCCCTTTTCTTCTTGTTTTCCTCTCTATGTTTTGTACTCAGCTGACTTTTCATGCTGTCTCAAAAGGAATGAAAGATTTTTTCCAGTCACTAAGCTCACTTAGCTGATTGCTCCTTCCTGTGTTTCCAAAAAGGCAAAAGTAAATAACCCAGTCCTTCTTTTCACTGTAGACAAGCCATGATCTGCTTCTCTGTTCTCCATTTTCCATTTGTATGAGAGAATAGCCGCATGAATTATCTCTAAAAAAAAAAAAAGCAGTAAGAGAAGCATAGCTAATTTCTCTGCTATCTTTGAAAACTCTAGATTTTTTTTAATAGTGGGCTAAAAAGGAATCTGTCCCTGAAAGGTAGAGTTCTCTTTACTAAAGCAGAGAGTCTGTCTCATTTAGCCTACGCTGCCCAGTCACTATATATAGATAAATACATCTGCACTTCATTTGATTTCTTATGGAGGAACCAAAGTTATTATTTGTCTTAAATACTATCTAGTCATTCGCTTTGAACTTTATTGATTTGAACTCCTTTAATAACAATTTTAAAATGGATCAAAATCCTCTCCAACACCAAACTACAGTAAATTTTGAATTGTATATCACACTGTTTATTCACACCTTTGTGGCGTTGAATTTGTCCTTTTTTAATTATAACATTCTCCCAAAATACCCAGAAGACTTTCACCAACAGGGACTTTTAGCATGGTCACCCTTCTATAAACATACCCAAGAATACTAGAGCACCACCTCCTCAGTATGTCCCTATAAATACAATACTCCTGTTACTGACAAAGAATTAAATTTAGTTTTAGATGCTTTTTGTTGGTGTTATTTAGAGATGTAGATCCTCCTTTACAATCTGTGTGGTCTATTGATCCCAGAATATCCACTGTAGGGGAACTCTGCATCTCTGACTTCAACTAAACATCATATCACCCTCATCCTCTTTACAGTTTGGAACAACTACGGTATGTCCAGAATCTTTACTGGGGGAAAAAAACTGGTGTTTTCCCCCAAAATTAATTATTTGTGTTCTTTTTTTTCTATTTATTTATTGTCATAAAACACTTCAATATGATTTTTCATTACTTTCTTAATTCTTTATTTTGTCCGTATCTATTGTTCTCCTGCTTTTTCCTTTCCACTGTCCTTTCCTGTATAAATATGAGGCTTAGACCTGTATTTACGTTAGGTAGATTTAAAAAAGGAAAAAAAAACAAAAACAAAAAACTAACCAATCCGTAAAGCCAGCTCATTGGCACAGGAGCAAGCACACTAATCTGGGTCACAATAAATAATGAGATTATAATACTAAAAGTACTTTTAACTATCCCTAAATTATTAAAGTTGTTGTTAACGACTTTATGTAATGACTTTTCTGAGAGAACTGGATGCATTTTACATTCTCTTTGTTATATATCTTGTCTGACGTCATCATTATACTTGCTCATAGCAGTCTGGGAAAAATATTATCATATCATGTTTATCAATTTTAGGAACCCATTTTTGGGACAGACTGGGTACAGGCAAGTGATACAATAAAAAGGATGCAAACACATCCATCCATCCATCCATCCATCCATCCATCCATCCATCCATCCATCCATCCATCCATCCATCCATCCATCCATCCATCCATCCATCCATCCATCCATCCATCCATCCAACCAACCAACCAACCAACCAACAGGGGGAGTGTTGGCCTAGTGGGTTAGAGCAGTGCAGTTGTGCTCTGACAGTGGCAGCTGACCGCGACCCCAAGGGGATGGGTCAAATCTAGAGGTAAATTTCTACAGCGTGAGATTAATAAAGTTCAGTTGTCATTATTATCCATCCATCTATACATATGTATGGTCTCTGGTTGTGAAGATTTATCAGTTCATAGAAAGTCACCATGTGAGTAAATATCTAGCGTTTGTCCTCTGCCTGATCTCCATTAAATTTCCCTGGCTTTCCATTGTCTAATATTCTTCTGGATTCTGGTCTCTGGACATCAACCTTGCTTTTACCTTCTGGTTACTGTCACTTGGTTTTCCACCATTAGCCTGAATCTGCCTCCTTGTGCTCGGATATTTTTTTTTATTGTTGCTTCTCTCTCATCCAAAGGCTTTGTTATATGGAATGAACTTTGTTCCAATACTGTAAGAAGCCAAAAAAGTATTTTTTGAAAATGAAAAAAAAAAAAAATAAATTTGCAATCTGAAATACAAGTTTTTTAAACTATGAAATACTGTACTGTATAAAATAAATGCTTTCTTTTTAAAGATTTGTCTTTTTTGGTTACTTTATTCTTTAGCCAGTATCAACTTACATCATTGTGCAGCTGAATGACAATTAAAGAAAGAAACATAGAAAGAGTGAAAATACATTACTAGTACCTATTATTAGGTACCAGTATAAAAAATTGGATTGCTCAACTAAAAACTTTAAAAATGTACCTTTAAAAAGACAGGTTACCACACCTACTCCAAAGGATTCAAGAACAGCATCTAACTCTTTTTTGCTATGCTTTTCTTTCGTATTTTTGTAATATGGGGTAGGAATCAGTTAAAGGAAATTGCTAGAGGTTTATCTCCTAAGCCAGACTCACGCTTGTTCACTTTCGTTACAACCTTTAATGGGTTTTATGCACAACTCCAGGTCTGTCTCTGAACGTCCATCCTAACCCTTATATAGAGAGCACTATATAGTCGTTATACCATTTTATAAGTGTCTGAATGTCTAGTGGATGAAACAGTAGAGGACTCAAAAGTTCCAACAATGCACCTTGAAAAGTAGTGTGCATCCATGGTCAGTAGACAAGTAGATTTATCCCAGAATGCTTTGCAAGAGCTAACCAAAGCATCATGGTGTTTGATTTGGGGTCGAGAAAGAACAAGGTGGTGCAGACAAAGTGTAGGGAGCCGGCGTCATGTGACAGAGGAGTGAAAAATAGTGATCATCTGTCTGAACGATCAGCTAACTGAATTCTCTATGAAGTCCACTATATAGTATGAGGTGCCCCCAGGGACATAAATCAGAATTAACTTGCATATACACATATCAAATTAAACTCTTCCATATAATATACTGAAACACGTGCATAAACACTAGTGAAAAGCTCTCACAGAAACTAGTGAAAACATTTACCTCCTATATAACCTACTGAAAACCTCACACAAACACTAGTAAAAAGCTCTCACATAAACTAGTGAAAACATTTACCTCTTATATAACCTACTCAAAAGCTCTCATACAAAGTACTAATAGTGTATATGAAAGCTTTCTAATAGTGTATATGAGAGCGTTCTAGTAGTGTGCATGAAAGGTAAAGCTTTTCACCAGTTTATATGAACAGTTCTCACTACTTTGTATGAGAGCTTTTGAGTAGGTTATATAAGACGTAAATGTAATGAATTACTGAATTCAAAGCAGCAAATGTGTTTGCTGTCTTTCTCTACTGGAGGAACTGAGACATGCCTGGATTAATCAGTTTATCCAGTAAAGAAAGTCAGGATGTAGTGGAGTTGTGCATAGAAGCCATGCATATGTATCCTTGTTTTGGTATTTGTCAAATAAAAGGATTAACACTAACTAACTAATGAGCAGCTGCTCCAGTGACAGCCGGCTAAAAACACACCTCAATCATATCACCTGCATGTGTCACATTAACGTGTAACAGCTGAACTGTTTCGTATTAGCTGACCAGAGGGTTAGAGGTAACCACAGCGTGGCTTCAGAGCACCTTTGATTTTTTTAAGTTGGCACACAAACTCTTTTTTTGATCCACTTGAATTGAAGAATTGTAATGCCAGAGAACAAGTCATTTCTCAGAGCTATCATAGAGCTACTTTTTTTTTTTAGGCTTTCATTAAATGTATAAGCCTATCCTGCTCAACTATTGCACAGATTGTTGCTCTGTGGATGTTTTATTTTTGAAAAATGTATCATTTTGAGGAAAAAGTACTTGTAACCAGTAGGAAGTAAAAAGTTATTTCTTAACCGCATCAGTTGGAGAAATGAGGTTCACTCACCTTTCCCTGGCATGATTCATGTATCATAGGCCACAGCCATCGCAGCCTGACTTCAGTAGTCCTATTTGCTATGTCATGACGAAAGCAAAACCTATTTCTGCTATATGGCCTCTACCAATTTAAGCCTGACAAACTAGAACCTACGTGCTAGTGATGGGGTAAACAAATTTATTCTTATTTTGTAAATCCTTGGAGAAAAAATAGGAAAATTGTTTCATTCAATTCAGTTTATTTATATAGCACCAATTCCCATGTCATCTCAAGGCACTTCACAGTTCACCAAATCAAAACGTCAGCTAACATAATAAGCTGTTGACTGTTTTTACATGATTTCCAGAAAAAGGCCAATAGATTAGATGTCTCAACACATTCTTTATTTTTTTAGATTTGACAATAGGAGGTGCCATAGGCTCCAGTAGTTTATATTTGCAAATTGTTAGATTTATACTAAACTCAGAAGATATGCTTAAGACATTCCCCTGAGGGACAACAAATGTAGAAGTTTTCCATGTTATCATCATTTTTTTTTGGTAGACTTCTAAGTAAATTTGTTTTGAGCGTAACGCTCATGAACTCTGTTGCCTCAGCTGAACTTTTGCATGGTTGTAGGTCAAATGTTTTGGAACATAAAGGTCCACAGCCCACTGAGGATGCAGGAATATCTGCTGGGTGATGAAGCCTTACGAAGACAATAAACAAACAGCGTCACAATCATGTTCAGACCTGAGCATGTGGCAAGGAGCATTGGTTAACCTGAGCTGCCTGCAGCTTCAGATATTACTGTAACTGAATGTTGAGCAGTTAAATCTCCCATTATCACCTGAATCAGGTTTTTACTGTCAACAGACTGCTTCATTGTGACAACATTGCATATAAGCAAACAGGACCTGGAGTTTATCTAGAAGTCACTCTCACTCCTGTTGCAAAGGTATGCAGTAATACAGAGGTTTTCAATTTAAATAAGATTAATCCTGACCAACAGTTAGATTTATCTGTATTTTGAATGTGCTACCTTTAAAGGTCAGTTTGGGGGTGCAAATGCAGGCCACAATTTAAAGGTAATACAAACAACTGCAAAAAAATCAGATTCCTCAAAATAATTGGATTTGCGCATTAAGACCTGCAGTCTAAGCTTAATCTCAGCTCTACTTTAATCAGATAAATGCTTCGTTATCTGGTTGTTCAATACTAATGAGGGAATGTGGTCACAGGATTTAGGTGTGTTGGAACAGGGATCTAAAAGCTGTTGGATTTCAGCTCTAGATTCTAGCAAGGTAGCGTTGTACTGAAGGCTCTCAATCACCCTTCCTGCCTTCAATTCAACAGAATGAGCCATAGTTAGATGTCTGAGCTTCCCTCCTCAAATAGATCCCCAGCCTGCTGGGAAGAAAGTGGATGATGTGTTTTTCCAGCAGAACCAGGGAATGTCTCCAAAGGTTGCACAGTCTACTCATACTAGCCTAGCCTAGAATCTTGTGTCCAAAGAACAAATCAAAGTTCAGGTAACCTCATCAATTATCTCTCGCTTTTAGACCGAGAAGCCAGGGAAGGTCCAGTTTGACCCCCAAGTTAAGACTTGAAGGTGTTGCATCATTTTTCTGTCTAACTCATGCAAAGAAAACAGCCCATAATGCTCCATGATGCTTCCACCACCATAATTGACAGTTGCAGCAGTTTTCTTAGGTTGGCAGGCTTCAGCTCTAGTCCTCCAAAAATACTCCTTGTCAAACGGGTCAGTTTTGCCTCATTTGCCCTGAGGTACAATGTGTGTGTGTGTGTGTGTGTGTGGGTGTGTGAACTTGCTTTGAGCAGTGTGTGATGGGATGTGACAGCTATGATCTCTGTTAGTCCTATGTTCGCCTTTCATTCTCTGAAGCCGTTCGGCTGTGAAATAACCGAGACAAACCACAATCCCCCTCTGCCTGTCTGCTGCCCCAGCTGCAAAAACACTCCGATGCTCACTGGCCAGGTCCCTTTCCGTCTGTTGCCTCCACAGCTTCTGTTGTTTTGAATTTGTACCATATAAATAAGGGGAATTGAATTGAAAACGGTTTGAATTTGGTCAGACCCAATCGATCATAGGAACAGCTGGGTGGCCACTCTATTTCTCCTCATCCAGAGTTAAACACATTCACTATATGTAGGATGCATCTGTTCCTGATGCTCTGACTCCAACCTCAGGCCACTCTTCATGAAGCTTCCTTCAAATTACTGAATTAACTTTTCATGATAATCCTCACCAGTAACAGTTATCCCTGTAATTATTCCAGAGAACATTTTTCCCTTTCCCTTAACTTGCTATAAATATGGGTTTTGGGTTGGGTTATGAGAGAACCAATGCTTGAACAGAACATATTGCAGTGTGGCAAAAGTGGAGCCACCATGCAGCCCCTGTAAATTAAGCCATTTAGTCTGGATGAAAATTCTGCTTTAATCTGTGGTTAAAGGTTTACGAGTGGAAGTATGATAGGAATCTGCTGATTCAGCCTCTCGGTTCAGTCTAATTTAATGACACATTCCTTCAATCTAATGACACAACTCCCTAGTCTAGCAACTCCTCACTGGTTGATTTTTTTATTAACAAGCTGCCAGTAAATGCCCCGCCGCTCCGATGGCCAGAATACAAGCATTTGCTAATGGCTGGCGTGTGGATGAGGACTCACCCTCGCTCCTTTAGCCGGAAAACACTGGCAGGTGGTGCAGTCCCGCCCGTCACATGGCTCCTTTGGGTCACCCTGGAGATCAAGACAAGATGAAACACCATGTTTTTACAATGCTCCAAGATTTCAATTGGAACTGAATGACATGTTTGTTCTATATTAAGGCCTGATATACAGAATTGATTATGTTGGTCATGACTATTAATCAACAGCCAATCACAACTTGCCCACCGTTAATTGAAGCACATCCTTTAACCTCTCCCTTACGGAGTAAAATTTGCTCTTGCCAGGATTCCTGTCTGTGTGTTTGTGTTTCTGTGTTTGTCTCCCTTCCTCCACCAGGAGGCGCCTGGTTCTGGTCCACCTCCTCACACACCTGCAGAGGGTTACCTCATTAAGAGTGTTTGCCAGTCGGGTACTCTAGCCAAGCTGAGTTTTGCTGAGTCAAACTGAGTTCTTGTCAACCTGAGTCTTAATCTTGTTTTTTGTCTTTGCCTCTTGGCAGGAAGTCATCCTGCAAACTAGATGTTTCGGACCTTCTCTCCCTGGAAGGATCATCTGAGCTTCAAACTGAGCTGAGGATTTAAACTGGAGGTTTGAATCCACTTCCCCTCAAGAGATTGTTTGAGCTTCACACTGAGCAAGGGATTCATCTCCACTACGACCCGTTCAAGTACCGCAGGAAATCTCAGTGGCAGTTAGCTTCTCCGTTCACCTACAAACAACCGCATTCTGGGTAAACCCTGTCCGCCCTCCACCGAATCAGACAAACACTGGAACTACCGCACACAGACTGGAGTCAAAGAGTCAACAACTTCTCTGGAAACGTGAGTCAGCAACCAAATTCTCCTCTTCAAGTTCAAGAACCAAATTTCCTACTGAGCCTGAACTAACCACTGTGTCTTCCCCTCACTTTTCAGTTCCGGCTGAGCAGTGTTCAGAGCAACACTTGATTCAACATTATCTCTTCAATAAACCTGTTAAACCTTTCCCCTGGTCTCTCTGAATTGGTTTCTCTGCATTTGGGTCCGAGCTCTTGATAAAACCATGACAGCTCTATTATTACTGCAAAGAAAGAGTTTTGTTAATTTAATTAAAAAAAGGAAGGAGGACAGATCTGACATATCTGAACTTTAAAGAATGTGTTGATCAAAAAGAGTTTCAGTTTCTCTTTGCCGTTTTCTCAAATTTTATTTTTTTCCAAATAGTTTTTCTTTCACTTTTTATTAAGCGCAACATTTTCTATATTGTTTTCGTATTTTTCATACGCTTTGTTTTTTTTTACATAATAACAGAATTTCTTAGCAATTGCATTTATAGATCACATTCTGTTCACTTCTGGTGGAGTGATTTCTTTTGGAGAGTGTTAGGAATCCAGTTTGTGTGGGTTGTGTTTTTGGTGTTCTTCTCTCCCCCCACCACCAGGTGCTACCCTTTCCTCTTTGGTCCTCCTGCACACCTGCGGCTGGTTGGCTCATCACTGAGGAGTATTTGAGCGGCGGACTGTCACTACCTCAGCGCCAGATTGTTTGCCAGTTTTGGGTACTCTAGCCAAGCTGAGTTTAGCTGAGTCTAACTGAGTCTTTGTTTCTCTGAGTTCTAACGTTGTTTATGTCTTTTGCCTTTCGGCAGGAAGTCATCCTGCATAAATTGGGCTTCTCCCCCCCCTCTCCCCCGGAAGGATTGTTTTGAGCTTCACACTGAGCAGGGGATTTATCTCCACACGCCCCATTCAAGTACTCCTGGAAATCTAAGTGGCAGTCTTCTCCATTGCTCCTCAAGAACCAACCAAACCAAAACCTGTCCACTCTCCAATGAGCCACTCAATTTCTGGAAAAACCTACACTGACTGGATTCTGGGAAGTAACCTTTCTCCGCAAACGTGAGTCCAGTAACCTCTGTTTTTGCAAGATGTCGTTCAAAGTTCCCACGGACCCTGAACTAACCTCTGTGAACTTCCCCTCTTACTTCCAGTTCCGGTTCACCAGCTCCTCTGAGTTCACCTGATTCCAACCCGTTTAGACTCCTAATAAACCTGTTAAACCTTTACTCTGGTTTCTCTGAGTGGTTTCCTGCATGTGGGTCAGATCTCTTTAAAACATCAGGACAAAGAGAGGTTTGAAGATGTATTTCTATTGGTCTACATGAATGTTAGCAACAACATTTTATTGGTCAATGTGCACGTCAAGAGCAAGGGTTTTATTAGGCGTACATTTTTAAAAAATGTAAATCCTTTATGGTCGCACAAACTGAAAATTAATGCAACTGCAGTGTTCAATAATAAGTATGCATATTGGTCTGGAGGGAGTCAATGAACAGGGATGCCCCCACAGTATGCTCAATACAAACTGGGTGTTATGTCTGACTCAGCAGCCCTAATATACTCTGTAGGAGGCCTGGCTTTCAGCTCCTTCAAGTAGGGGAAGAAGAAGATAAAAATGTCCCTTTATGTCACTTCTTTGAAGATTATCTGAATACTTTGATGGATAAAAAACATTTAGAGAATTTAATTTTATTTCATTTACATAAACTGGGCTGTGATTTCTTGTTACAACTTCAGTTCAATGAAATATCTAAAATTTAGGATTGGTGGAAAAAAAACAGTTCTGTTTGATTAGATCAGGAAGCTTTTTCTGATATTTAGAATAACTTTAATCAGAATTTTTACACATTCTAGTAAACACAATATTTAAAAGTCAGAGAATCACAAACTGAAATAATTTTTTATTTTAGTGTTATGATCCTAAAACCACATTTAGGTATTTTATCTATGAGGAGAGCTTTCCAAACATTTGATAAACATTGATTCTATGAATGTTTTATCTTTCATAAACTTGTTGAGTTTGACTGTTGCCTTTTCATCCCTTCATTTTACTTATGACTCAACTATTTTCTGTGTCCTGCCAAAATTTCAAATAAATCATTCTCAGCACAGCCTGTAGTCATAACCTGACCAGCTGAACAGTCAGTGAAGTATTTATTTCTGCAGAGAAAAAGGTTAACATTTGAGGTTTAAAATCTAACATAAAGCCTTATACTAAAAATTTCCCTGACCATCATCTTTATCTTAATATTTTAGTTATTAATAATATGTTAAAAAAAACTATATCCATGTTTAATTAATCAAGTCAATATAATTTCATATAAAGCATATTGTTCAGAAAAATGTAAAAAGAACATCAAGGGTACATTTGTGATTCATTGCTATAACTTATCCAATATTAATGCTCCAGCACCTTTAACGACCCAGATATTCATAGTAAAAATCAGCACAAAAATATAATTGAGAAGATGGACGTTACTGTTGTAGATACAACATATCATCCTGTTTAACTAAACATTACTTCTTTTATGTAAACCTATAATATAACTAGACAGGCTGCAGCAATTTGACGATCTAAAGTGGCTTTTTAATGACTTGATTTATAATGTATAAATACTTTGATTTTCAATATTTTTTATTCAATTAATTTTTTTAGGTTGAGTTTTAAAAATTGCATTTGTTTCAAACCTTTCACAGCTCAAATTCTCTTCATTTCTTCACTCAACTAAAATTGTATAAGAAAGCTGAAAAAAACAATTTTTAAAACAGCAAAGTTACCATTTATTGATTAAGAAGTTTTTAAAAGTTTCATTTCTGGATTGAATCTAAAAAAAAAATGTATTTACAAAGCATGTTCTTTCATAGCAACCATGCTCCAGGTATCTGGCTCTGTATTTGTGGCTGGGTGCAGCCCTTTCTGTTGCAGTCCTAGATTGATCAGCCATCCAGGCCACTGAAGTCCACTAGTTTCTGCTCTGCTTGTCCTTCTCCCTCGATGTTAAGTTGATATGGAGAGGGTAGCACTTATATGAAATATAATAAAAGATAAGCTGAAAGGTTTAAATAAAATGATTTAAACCTAAAATCATTTTGGGATTAATACATCTTTTTAACAGACCTCAGTAAGGGTTTTAGTCATAAAGACATTTTATTTTCTCGGTTTTTCCACTTTTCAGCCTTTGTAGCTCCTATATCTCTTTTGTCATATGTTATGATGGATTTTTTGTGTGATGGGAAGGTTCAGTCCATTCTTTTAGGTGGAAAGGAGGGAGCAGAAAATGGTGCTATATTAGCTAGACTTCATAATACCCGTATCCAGTCCCTCTGGTGCCTTTTCTGCACAATAAAGATCATAAATGAAACTTCAAATGAGAAAAAGAGTGATCTGTCATCTGTGTGGAACCAACTGTTAGGGGGGTCTTCGATTTGGAGCTGTCTGAGAGATTGGAGATAACTGCTGTGCTCCAATCTCTCCAGCTGGTTTATGCTCAGAAACCAGGTCATCTGCGTGTGTCCGCAGACACTCAGCTGCACCTCTCTAAAATTGTAGGTGACCGCAGACAGTGCCTCAGATAGGAGGCCTCTGATTAGTCAAATCTACATCACCTCTACACCATACGTATTTCGTGTTTGGTACCTTACGCGCTTGTTATGTTTATACGACCACCATTGTGGTTGGATAAGCTAGAAGAGCGAGGTACGTCAGAACGCTGGGACCATTTTTACCCCTGGATTCCCACACTTTTGGCCCTCATGTCCCTCCTTTGTCGCTCAAACTTGCCCCTTGCGTTTTTCCACTTCCTCACCGCCTCGCCCACACCTAGACTCACAGCTAGTTCCTGATTGGCCCTCTTGAGTTGTGGCGTGGAATAACATACCACAGACCACGCTTCAAAATTGGGTATAAATAAAAAATATCTGAGTAATACCTGCGACAAGCTCATTGCAACACACTGCAGCGGGAATATAACCAGCCCTTTAGGCTGCGTTGAAGTCCTAAAGGAGTTTTGTAAAATATTACTCAGAAATTCCTAAATATTTCCCATGGTAAATCAGTGTGAACATGCTGATATGTTATGGAAAGGTTCAGTCCATTCTATTACATGGATAAGCTCTATTACGTGGTGTCAGCTGTAAGACATTGACTTCCAGAAGTAATGTTTTACAGCTGATGCTTTGGGGGGTTGGTGGCCTAGTGGTTAAGGCATTGCGCTTGGAATCCAGAGGTTCTGACTTCAAGCCCCACTCCTGCAGACTGCCACTCAGGGTCCCCAAGCAGAACCCTTAAACCCACACTGTTCCCCGGGCGCTGCACAATGGCAGCCCACTGTTCCCCAAGGGGATGAGTTAAATGCAGAGTGAGTTTTGGTTGCTCTGTACTTTTGACAGTGTAATGACAATAAAAGCTGAAAAAAAGTCCCAGACTGTGCATGTAGGAGCTTCTGCTGGTGTTTTGTGTCACGCCTGATAGGAGAGTAGATTAGAGCCTAAATGAAGGTGCAGAGTTCAATAGACAGAGTTTTAGTGCAGCCGGGTTTCTAAAGTTTGGGTAGTGAAAGAATGCAAACAAAGGATAGATTTTCTAGTTTCCTTAAGAGGCACACAGCTGATGGCGTGTCTGGCCGACTTTAATCAGATCAGTCGTAGATAATCATGCTCCATTTTTTCTAACTCTAAAAAGAACGGGAAAGATGTTTTTCTGATCAAAATCAACATGTCAGAGACAGAAAGGCAACTCCTGCGTGCCGTTTCACAGACATAACAGCAACGTTGCTCTGGACGTGTTCTGCTGTTCAGTTTGATAGGATTATGATGGAGTATGCAGAAGCTGACCTGATAAAACCAAAATAAAAATAAGATAAATCAGAAGGTAAATAAAATAGACAGAAGAACGAAATAAAAGTAAGTTTTGAAAAGAAAAACAAAAGAAAGATCCAATCATCTCACTAAAAATGTGTTGATGTTCTTTTTTCTCTTGTGTTATTTCTGCAGTTTGCTGAGTGTTAACATCATATAATTAACATCCATCCAACCATTTTCGTTTCACTTAACTCTGCTGAGGTCACAAAGCATGCTGGAGCCTATCTCCAGCTTTCAATAGGGGAGAGGTGGGGTACACCCTAGATAGGCACCAGTCTAGCACAACGCACATAGTTAACAGCTTTGTACAATTATAAATGCATCACTATTTGCCAAATGACCTGATCTAAAATAGTTGTGTGTGGAAAAATAAAATAAATCCCCATTATTTCACTTTCTTTCACTGCAGTTTATAACATGATCAGAATTGAGCATCAAGGCCTGCAGTTTGAACGTAGCCTATATGGGAGAGAGAAACAAAGACCAGGCTAAGTAGCAGATTGGGAGCAGGTGTGAACAGAGGCAAGAAGGGAGCTAGGGAAAAGGAGTCTGACACAAGAAGACAAACAGCAAATATCTAAGAACTCAAATACAATCAAAATACCTTGAAGACAAGAATCAAAATAACACCATCGAAAACTCAAAATAAAACTTGAACCAAACCAAAACCATGACACCAGGTATATGAGTAAATAAGAAATAAATAAAGACAGACAGACAGAGAGACCAATGGACTGATTGATTGATTCTTATCTCATTGCTTTGTCTCTCTTTTTGTTTATAAGGAATGGGAATTTTCTTTTTTGTTGACGTTCTGATATGAAGCTCTAGGGAGGCTTCACTAACATCTCTAGATTGGATGATTTAATTAATATCTGCTGTACATTTTTGGGTGATTAATATCTGCACCACGCTTTACCATAAGGAATTGCAGAACAGTTGGTACTTCTGTGTAACCTGACTCCGCCAGATGGATTTGCTCCGCATATCCATCTGGAAACCTTCCGCGGACGTAATTTTGGGAAGGGGCGAAAATACTGGTTAGCTGATTGGCCTATGTTGGTGATAGACGGGCCAAATAAACCAATCAGATCAACAAAGCATATGACGTGCTAACAGAGGGACGATGAAAACACAACCATAAGCCAGGCTACTCTTGCCGAAACCAGTCGGGAGAAGAGCAAAAACATCTTTTCCTCTGAGAAAAGCCTCCAGAGCAGTGTTTTGCTCTTCTTTCAGTGAAGAAATACTCTGTAATTCCAATAAAATTTGCTCGATAGAAACGCTAATGCTAGTTTCATCTGCTGAAGCCGCCATGTTCTTTAGACTGAACTGTCGCGCTTCTCGTTGCATCACACCTCAACCTGCCTCAAAGCCAACGCTGATTGGACATTCGTTTGGTGAACGGCTCCAAATTTTCTTCAACGGAGAGTAGCCAGACTGATTAGCGTGTGAAATCTTGAAAGCTCGCGAGATCAGGATGGTCTCACGAGGCTAACTTCTGTGGTATTGCCAGCAGAAAGCTTCATGCCTGTTTAAGTCAGCTCCTTGAGCCCAGTGCTGGAATTCTGTTTAGGCTCATAAAGGACTTTCTAAACATCATCAGGACAGATGCTTTGTGTGTTCTTTTGTTTTTGCTGTTGTTTTTTGGGGGAATAAAAAGCCTCTCCGAGCTTCATATGCTGCAAGAACCGGATGGAAAGAAAAATACTTTTTTTTTCTTAACTTCCAGAAGCTGAGCTGCTGAACACATAGAAAGTCCCATCCACTCTAACTTATATCTGACGCAGCAAGTCAGATTAATAATGTGTAGTAATCAGCTTTAGCGCAACACATCATTGATCATTGAAATGTGGAACATTCAGCCGAACCTTACAAGCTGATTGGTGATGTGACAACTACTTCCCACCTACCAAAGATTGGTTTTAGCCAATAACGACACAGGGTGATCAATCACAAATAAAATATCAGCAGACAGAATGAGAGACCAAAAACACTGGAGGAAATTGTGGATTCTGACCAAACAGATAGAAGATACATACATCTCCTCCTGTGCTGTTATGTTTATTTTGGTTAAGCTATTGGCTCGGCAGCTCTTGCTTTCATCACAGCTGTATGTCCTTTGTTAAGCCATAATACCACAACATGATTCGCCAACCCTTTTTTGTGTCAGACTCGGTGCATTCTCGTGTGTTTGTGAACTCTCAAATAACCTCTTGCTTCTAATGTAGCAACTTTTAGAATTTAAGCGTGATTTAGACTCTCTGGCACTGCAAGAAACTTGTTAAAATCATTTTGAAAAGTTCAGGACTTATTGGTATCAATTAAATAATTATAAATCTGAGCAAAGGTTACATGGGGAGTTCCTCAAGGATTCATTTTTGGGTCACTTTTAAAACAGTTTCCATAGTTGATATTAGCTACATTTAGATTGACATAAGAGTTCAAAGAATGACAAAAAATTTCTCCTTAGATGTGAAAAGTGGATATACATCAAGTTAATGAAAAGTGGCTAGATGCAATGAGAGACAATTTCAACTGATATGTTAAGACTTTGATTGCTTCCCAGAATCAATCATTAGTTTCTAAAGTTGCATCCTAAATAAACTGCACATAACAATTGGACATTATTTGATTTTATTCCATCGTCTTTACCCGCGTGTCCTTGGAGTTCCTGGAGGTAAGGCTGGTGCCATCTCCAGAGGTTACTGAGTTTGCTGTGTGCTCCACCTCGGACAGGTTTACAGTCCATCATAGAGCAAAAAACTACCCAAAAATACGAACCAAATATGAACCAGAAACACATTGCGAGAAACCGTGGAGACACACTTAAAGCAAAGGGCAGTGTAGAGAGCCCAATTAACCTACAACATTTTTCAAAGGAAGCCAGAGTACGTAGAGAAAATGCATGGGGAGTACATGCACACTCTCTACATAGAGTTTGAAATCCCCGACCTTATGGCTGCTGGGTAACAGAGTTAAACAGGAATGAATAACTTCATATGGTTTTAAATGTGAGGAAAGATCACCCGTCATTCTTGCTGCACATGAACACAAAAAACAGACAGACAGGAGCTAATCTGGGTCATCCCTGCTCCTATATCCCACACTCAGTGTTGCTGTTGATGTCCTGGCTTTGTTATCTTTTTCCCTGTGGGCCCTATACGGTCTGGTTAATAGTAGGAATGCTATCGCTTTATCTGCTGTTCTGACTTTGTTCAGGGATTCTCCAACACTATTCTCCAACAAAATCCAGCTATCCGCCATTACTGCTCCTATGTCCTGCTTGCACTAGATATTTAGAACCAGTAACACCTTCCAACCATCCAACCCCGTTCATCTGGGGCATCCTACCGTTACTGGGTGATCAAAAAGCAGGGGATCAAATTGGCTGCATCGTGCCAGCTTTTAATTACGTCTAACAGTGTCATCATAAAAACTGTTTATCCTAAAATGTCCATCTTCCTTTAAACATCAAGGCAGTAATAAAATATATAATCAATCAGAGAGATAATAAGGATTCAGACTAAATATCCATCCATCCATCCATCAATCCATTGGATAATCACACCAGAAGCACATAGAAGGAACATGAACTAAGGCATATGATATATTGGGGAGTCAATGATATTGAGCCCTGTGACAGACTGGCGACCTTTCAAGGTGAACCCCGCCTCTCACCCATAGACTACAGGAAATAGGCATGAGCCCCAATACCACCCTGACGGAATAAGTGGGACAAGATGGATGGATGGTATTGAATCTGCACACATAAAATTTTGAAAATCATGTGGACAGTACTTTGTGTGTGCATGCTCATTATTATTATGCTTATTTATTATGCACTTTGGGCAGAATTCTGACTTGATACTAATAACAGAAATGTGAACTCACCCCTGGAGCTGCTGGAGGAGCTGTGAACAGCACCAGTGAACACCTACAGGGAAGGATACATAAGTGAGACCAGATAAAGGATAATTAAACACAATGTGGACTCAGCTCTGTTATTCAGAGACAAACTGTTGACTTTTGTGTTCTTACAGGTATGAATTTGGAGCAGAATTAGGGGATCAAACCAACAACTCTGATCCTTTGACATTCTAAGCTGGTCTTTCATGGATATGACTTTTAAACATGACCTGACCTTGTTCTGTTTCTGAAAGAAAACTGAAATATTTACCAATGAACAGCAAAATTAGCCTTTAGAAAATAAATTTAAAATCTTACATTTCTATGTCCAACTGCTTTTCAACCGGGCACATTAGTACAAGTATGTACGTATTAAAATTCAATTGAGTTTTTCAACTATGACAGATTTTCATTCACTCACAACCAACACAGATCGAGTTTTTCTCACCTGAAATTCTTAAGCTGCTCTAAATGAAACACTTGTCATCTACAAAGACGTATTTTGTTTTTTGAATCATTACTGATATTAAACTGTACAGCAGATTTTGACTCAGGTTTCTGGTTTAAACAGACAGTACAAGACAAAATACATGTTTTCAACCTGCTGAGCGGAACTAAACACTTTTTGTGTTTGGTGCAGGAGAGAAATATTAGCTTTGTGTACACTGATACCAACCGGGTAACCATGGCTACACTATGAAATAAAGATTAAGACAGACTTCAACAAAGAGTAAAATTTTTCATTTCAGATCTATTAATATAAACTTGGACCTTATGCCAATTTTTATGAATGTGAAATTTGAGGTACGGTAGATGTTTTAGGGGAACGTCGGCTCAAACGGGGGCATCAAACATTCAGTTTTATTTACCAGATCAATATGTGGCGAGCGGAGCAGGAAGTCAATGACATCTTATCCCTAAAGTAGGATCCTGGTTGCCACATGACCCAATGAATCTGACTCCGCCTCCAGCAGGTAATCTCCCAGTGAGCGCCACACCGTTGATCGCCCTGCAGAAACACAAAACACATTGCGGCACTCATTTTCAGCAAGAAAGGCATGTCTATGCAAATCAATTAAATTCAATTTATTCATACAGAGCCAATTCACAACACAATCAGAAATAACTAAGATGGAGTCCATAGTCTACAGTCAAGAAAGCAAGGCAAGGTATATTTATTTATAAAGCAAAATCCATCACAAGGACAATTTAAAGTGCTTTACGTGAATGAAACTAAAGCTAAAAACATTTTAAAGCAGGCAGTAAAGGAAGTAGAAAAAAAAAACAGTTAATATAAATAATATATTGCGACTTTTTGATGTTTTTCTTTTAGATTATGTCTCTCACAATGGAAATGCCCCTACGATGATTATTTCAGACCCCTCCATGATTTCTAAGTGGGAGAACTTGCAGAATAACAGGGTGTTCAAAAACTCATTTTCCTCACTGTATTGACGATTCTCCTTTAATATGGTCATTTTTATCCATCAGAACCACAGGAGGAACGTGGAGAACCCGTGGGAACTACTGTACAGCAGTGTGGGACTGATTCATGCTTGCATTAAAATTATGCATTATCTATATAAACATTATAATTCTGAGCCATAGTTACGGGACCACACCATGATTTAGCTGTTATACATCAGATGGACTGTTTATCATATTTCAATTTCACAGGTCAGACATTTGTTTTTTGTTTTTGTATTATCTATTGATATAGTTGTTATAATGGTACAAACCAGTTCAGCTGTTAAATAATGCAGACAGGATACCAGCTCAAGTGAAGTTTTCATAGCTATCCAGCAGATGCTGGAATTATAAATCACTTTTAACAATTACAAAAAAAAAGATAACACTATCTTTTCTGTAATATAATAATATCCAAAATAAGCAGCCAGATTAAAGCATTTTTACCAGCCACTAATGTTTATACTAGATTACTTATGGACTGTGTGGAAATCTATGTAAAATAAACTCAATGTAACTAGTGTTCCTCTGTTTGTTCTTTTCTTTATCTCATCTTTAGAAGTAGAAATAGTCAATTAAACAGTACTATTATTATGTGGAACACGAATCATACTTTCTATCAGGGGCGGATCTAGAAAAATATTTATGGGGTGGCAAGAGGGGGGCAGGAATCTTTTAGGGGTGGCAACATATGGCATTTGTTTACACTGAATTTAATCACAGTTATCACAGTTTGGTGAGAATAGTATGTACAGTAAGTGTTTCATGTGAAACAGTTCATATTATTAATACATCGTACAATGTGATCTCACTTAATAGGAGATAGAAGAGTGATTACACTACTTCTAGAAGGGCCTTATCACAGGAAAGGTATTAAGGTAAGACACAGGTGCTGAGTCGCAGATGTGTGAGATTGACTGTCAGAGAGGCAGCTTTGCAGCATTTGCACAAGAAGAAACGATAGAAAGAAAAAGTTCCCCATCAGAGATCTATGGACTGAGCTGGACTAAAGTGAGCAGAACTACACAGTAGAAATACATGGGTCAAGGCACCCGAAACAAGGTACCAGACATCTATGTATTGGTTACTCTGAACACACATTTACCCCATTTGTTCCTCAGTAACTTAACATACAGCAGTTACGGCAACATGAAAGGGACATTTCATGCATGTAAATATGCTGTAGATAGAGCTGCATATGGAGGACCAACTCTGCCATATTTAAAAATAAATACAGAAATAAATAAATGCTCAATAAATAAATAAGCATACAATTAATTGCCACCAAAAATACAATCAACAAATAAATGTAATTAGAAATTATATTATAATGGCAGGCAGAAATGTAAAAAGGGCAGGCAGAAAGAAATAGCGGCGAAATATTAACTAGGGTAAAAAAATACAAAGGAAGAATAAAACAGACAAAAATATGATAACATGCACTTAACTAAATACTTAAAAATATAAGTAATTAAAAAATGAAGTTGAAGATAATAAATGACAAAAAAATAAATAAGGTAAATATTAAAAAGGCAAAGAAATAAAGAAGCCAATTAAAAGAGTTATATACCTTTATGACTAGCTGTATAATTTAATTTCTACTTACATTTATTTGTTGTTTGTATTTTTGGTGGCAATTAATTGTATGCTTATTTATTTATTAAGCATTTATTTATTTCTGTATTTATTTTTAAATATGGCAGAGTTGGTCCTCCATACTGCTGTATCAACAAATCAACAAAAAGGCGGGTTCTGTATGTTACATCAAAATCTCCACAAATCTGAAAAGAAGCAACATAAAAATACATTTTGCTTGTGAGTAGGTTCATACGGGTCATTTCTGGATAGTTTCATATTATATATACAAAAAAAGAAACAACAACACTGCTTCATATTAAGCAGGATTCACACCAGTATCACATTTTTAACTTTTAACACTTCTGGTTTTATTAAAGGAAATATCAGATTTTCTCAGGTGCCAAAACAAAATGTAACAGCTCTGTAAAGGCTCACCAGAGAGCATGACATAAAGTTAACATGACTATAACAGCTGAATGCAGCGATTTCCATGTTGCTCAGCAAGGCGCTTCACAACTTTATTTAGATCCAATGCCTTTGTGCGTTTTGATTTGAGTACAACCAAACTTGATCGTCTCTTTTCTGTCATAGTTGACCGCAAATATGTCTTTATGAGCCTGATAACGTTCTGCAACTTGATTTTTATCATCTCAAAATCAGCATTGCAGCTATGCTAGCAACACTGATTATGATTTCATTTCTCGATAGATAGTTAATCAGTTTTTACCTGTTTCATCCCGTGTCTCCTCTCCCCATCACCCCTGACTCCCTCGCTTTGCCCCATTCGGTTTTCAAAACAATCAGTCTCAGTCGCTCTCGCGTCATTTCGTGCTGCATTCACTGCAGTCCGACATTGGAAATTAGCGGTCGTAATTCTCAAATGATCCATAATTTATAAGCCTCGCCACCCCTACCGCCAACTGGGGTGGCAGCTGGGGTGGCAAGGCTGTCATTTAGGGTGGCATTTGCCACCCTATGCCACCCCAGTAGATCCGCCTATGCTTTCTATATATCAGAAATATAAAGAAATAGCAGAAGTCATAATCATTTATGTCAAATATCTGTTTTAGTGAATTGAACACGTGTAAATATAAATAAAAGTAAAAATAAATCTGAATGTTTAGCGGAAATCTGATTAACTGAACTTTCTCACACTGATGGATGCATTATTACTTTCATAAAGTAAAAAAGGTTCTAAATAATTCTCATAGGCTACTGACTCTGACAGTGTTTAAAACGCTTCACCATGAAACCATCAGGAATCGGACATCTTTCTGACCTGCTCTGAAAGCCTGAACTGGTTTACAGCATATAGGTTAATTGATGCCAATTTTGAATAATTTCAACTCACAATTTTCGCATGTTCCATGGGTAAAAGCGAGAAGAGGAGCAGGACCAACATGGAGGTGATCCTCCACCTCAGAACTCGTGGAGACTCCATCCTGGCTGTCACAAAGGAGCAGAACTCCGCTATTATCGGTTCTTAGTCTATGGATGATTGGGATGGGACACGGAATTGTGCGTATTGGGAAAACTGAAGGTCCACCAGCACTTCTGAAGGGAGCCACTTCCTACCCGTCAGGCAGGTGACTTTGTGACAGGCGGTTCATTTCCTGCACTGAATGTTCATGCCTAAAACATGATGAGTCCTTAAATCGGACTCCACACATCTGGGCTCAGTCAAACACTTCGGAAGAATGGGCGAGAGGTGGGGTACACCCTGGACAGGTCACTTCGGAAGATGAAGTTCATTCAAATCTCAAAAGAAAATATTTTACTTTATTTTATTCCGGAGCGTTTTTATTGCTTGAGACCTTCAGGTATAATATTTGAAAATATTCCCTTTTTCTCCGTCCAAGGAATGAAGCGTGAGTAAAGCTGGGGATTGAGGACACCTCGTCGCTGCAGGTAAGAAAACCCTCCCGAGCGGATTTTTGTCTGGTAGTAAAGTAATCACATGGTGACATCAGGTAGTTAATTAATGAAATTGGTAATTGAGAGACATAGCCTATAGGTCATAGTGTACATGTGTCGTTTAGTTCTGGGAATATGCCTGTTAAGATTCAGATTTTAACCAGTTTGTTACAGTTGATTACCTCTGGGAACCAAGTAATGATGACTTAGGTTTATTGGATTAATAATAATTTAAAAAACAACAAAAAATCAAATAAAGAGTGAAAGGGATGAGCTCCTCAATCACACTTCATTCCTCGGACGGAGAAAAAGGGAAAATTTTCAAATATTATACCCGAAGGTCTCACGCAATAAAAAGGCTCCAAATTAAAATAATTAATATATTGTTAAACTGTTTTAAAAAACTCGAAGACAGAAGTGTCAGACTGCGCCCAGAAGTGTGGAGTCCGATTTAAGGACTCATCATGTTTTACCCATGAACATTCAGTGCAGGAAATGAATCGCCTGTCAACATCACCTGCCTGACGGGTAGGAGTGGGTTTCCTTCAGAAGTGCTGGTGGAGTTTCAGTTTTCCCAATACGCACAATACCGCGTCCCATCCCGATCATCCATAGACCAAGAACCGACTATAGCGGCGTTCTACTCCTTTGTGACAGCCAGGATGGAGTCTCCAAGAGTTCTGAGCTGGAGGATCACCTCCATGTTGGTCCTACTTCTCCTGGCTTTTACTCATGGAAGATGACAAAATGGTGAGTGGAAATTATTCAAGATTGGTATAATTTAACCATTATGCTGTGAACCAGTTCAGGCTTTCAGAGCAGGTCAAAAAGATGAACTAGTTACTATATGCGATTCATAAAACGGAACTTTACATATATAAAAAGGTCTGATAAATCATTTAACCAAACCATAACTTCTGTTTGCAGTTTCCTGAAATTGTAACTTTTTGGGCTACACACTTCCTTTATAGGGATAACAAAAATAAAGCTACACATCAAAGTGAACACACCATGCCCACAGTGAAACAAAAAGGTTACAGCGTCAGTGTGTGGACGCTTTAACTTAGAAGGAACAGCGAAGCTGTTCATAGTTGATAGAAGATGGATAGGGCTTATTCAGGTTAGGAGAACCCATTAGAGGCTGCAGAGGACCTGAGACATTGAATTTGATTGAGTTTGAGCTATTTTACAACAAAGTGTAAAAGCTGCTTCCTTCAGTAGATGATTGAGATATTCCTAAAGAGACCTGCAGCTAGAGATGGTTTCACTAAACTGACTGAGGAAAACTGAACCCAAACTCACAACAACGATGATAATCAGGCTTAAAAACAAAACATCACAACAGAACAGACTGCAATAAAATAATACTTTGGATTTACTCTTCTGCTGAAGTTCTTTTTCCATTTTTAACATTTTAACTTCTCTGAAATACATTTCTCAGTAGAACAATAAATATTATATAGTAGTGTTGAAGTCAAACACAAATTTATATTTTGAGATAATTTCCAGAAAGGGTTGCTGGCGATCGCTCCAGAACTTTGTGTTGGATGTTCATCGGTACTTGTCCAGAGAATTGTTCTGCTAAGCTCTGCCTGTCTGATAAATCTCTCTGTCTTGTTATGGGGCAATGATGTTGTGAGAATGTTGTGTGGCTCTCCACAAGAGATTGTAGAGGCATAGGCCGTTTCTCAATACGTGTACTTATGTGTTCTCATCTGCTCTCTCGTGAAACGCAATGAGCCTCAGCCCTAGTACTGTTCCAATTCACAAGAAGACAAAGTCCCCGGATGTTGTTCTCGCCCCTCCCTATTTACCCAGCATGCATCAGAGCAGACTTGTCCGTTCTTGAGATTGACAGCTGTCCCAGCATGCATTGAGGCAGCAGCAACTTCCAGGTTAGCGCTCACAGAGCTCAGAAGATTAAGTTAAAAGTTCTCTTTTCTGTTGTTCAATAAAAGTACATATTAAGATCATTTGAGGTGGAAACATTATATTTTTTAAGTGTCACTATATGGCCAATCTACCGATTTAATACATAATTAAAAAAAAATTTCTGAAGTTGAGAGGACCGCGCAACCAGCGGACCTCCGAGGCTAACCTCAGCGAGGTCTAATCCCAGCCCGTCTGCAGCAGCCCTCTCTCTGCATAGCCTTGTGTGAAGGACTGCTGTCTCTGATGGCGAGTCTTTTGTTTTATTTGGCAAAATGTTCCTTTGATTTGTGATTATCTGACTGTGTTAATTATTATTCCCCTACTAAATGAAAAATGTAAGAATCTATTATTATCTAGAGACTATTAATAATAGGAGGTGAAATGCAGCTCCAGGTGAGCCGAGTGTGTGGTGACGTCATCAGGTGCTTCTGTTCCAATTGACCCATATTTATGCTGCATGCTCCTGTTCTCCCTAAGTCCAGACTTTGCTCTGTTCTTCTCAAGAACATACTTGGGGAGGACACGAGTCCATACTTGTGTTCTTGTGAAGTGAGAAAAGCTCATAGACCAGTGTCGGGTATTTCAGGCTAACAAAGAATCAAAATGACTCCCCATTCCTAAGGAGCGGACCCGTTCATCAGGTTTAATTTGCATTTTTTCTAAGCCAAAACAAGACTTTGCTTTGGTCCACTCTAGAGAGCATCTAACTCAACGCTTATTCTGATATATTAAATTAAAAAAGCTTCCTGGATGGGAAGCAAAATGTCTTAAAACTTAGAAAACAAAGCCCAGTATTGTGTTTCTTAACAAAATAGTTACTTAACTAACATTTATGGAATGACTATGACCTGGATGACTGAGAATCTTCACCAGCGTATTGAATGAATCCAGTCTTTTGTATGAGGTGCCCCCAGGGACATAAATCAGAATTAACTTGCATATACACATATTAAATTACACTCTTCCATATAATATACTGAAAACCTCACACAAACACTAGTAAAAAGCTCTCACATAAACTAGTGAAAACATTTACCTCTTATATAATCTACTCAAAAGCTCTCATACAAAGTAGTGAGAACTGTTCATATAAACTGGTGAAAAGCTTTACCTTTCATACACACTACTAGAAAGCTTATACACTATTAAAAAGCTCTCATATACACTACTAGAACGCTCTCATATACACTACTAGAACGCTCTCATATACACTATTAGAAAGCTCTCATATACACTACTAGAAAGCTCTCATATACACTATTAGAACGCTCTCATATACACTATTAGAACGCTCTCATATACACTATTAGAACGCTCTCATATACACTATTAGAACGCTCTCATATACACCATTAGAAAGCTCTCATATACACTACTAGAAGGCTCTCATACACGCTACTAGAAAGCTCTCATACACACTACTGAAAAGCTATTAGCGGATTTCAGTTGAAACGGAAGGTGTTTCAGTGAAACAGGAAGGACCGTCATTACACCGGAAGTTGTTTTAAACGGAGGTCATTCTGGCTAGCTCCGTATATTTTGTGCTATCTCCGGCCGAAATTGTATCAAATAAAATTATTGATTCATGCTCAGCTATCCGCTAAACAACTCACAGAAGCATGGGCATTACTCGACTTTATTTTTTATGTTTTTGCTTCAACAGAGATCCTTTTCCGGTGTTGTGCGAAATTCTGTTCCCATGTGAAAATCTGTTCCACCTGTGTCGGGAGCGCGCCGCGCATTGCAGACACATAAGCGGATCTGATCATTTCCCAGGCCTTTCGGATCATTTCTTGGTTAAATAAAAAGTCGTAAAATTATACAAGGTTGAGACATTTAGTTTAATCAGCCGCTGTTGTTTACAAAATTGTAAAATAAAAAAAATAAATGTTTTCTTATGCTGTTTTGTGTTGTTATTTTAAACGCCAAGAGAATCAGTCTCTTTCCACGTTTTTTCACTTTTGCCTGACAGAAATAAAAGGCAAGTCACCAAATACCAAATTTGTATTTATAATTTTTTATTACTGATATAAGATGATGGGAAGTGCCTGATAGCAGTTCCATAATATGGAAACAAATTAATTTAGCTGCAAATCTTAAACTGTGTTTATTCCTCTCTTCATCAACAACAAACCATCTGGATTCGGTGATATTTGAGCAATGTTTGCCTAAATTAAAGGAGGGGGACCATATATTTTAGCTTTCTAATAGTGTGTATGAAAGCTTTCCAGTAGTGTGTTTGAGAGCTTTCTAGTAGCGTGTATGAGAGCGTTCTAGTAGTGTATATGAGAGCCTTCTAGTAGTGTATATGAGAGCGTTCTAATAGTGTATATGAGAGCTTTCTAGTAGTGTATATGAGAGCCTTCTAGTAGTGTATATGAGAGCGTTCTAATAGTGAATATGAGAGCGTTCTAGTAGTGTATATGAGAGCCTTCTAGTAGTGTATATGAGAGCGTTCTAATAGTGTATATGAGAGCTTTCTAGTAGTGTATATGAGAGCGTTCTAATAGTGTATATGAGAGCTTTCTAGTAGTGTATATGAGAGCTTTCTAATAGTGTATATGAGAGCTTTCTAGTAGTGTATATGAGAGCGTTCTAATAGTGTATATGAGAGCTTTCTAATAGTGTATATGAGAGCTTTCTAGTAGTGTATATGAGAGCTTTCTAATAGTGTATATGAGAGTGTTCTAGTAGTGTATATGAGAGCATTCTAGTAGTGTATATGAGAGCTTTTTTATAGTGTATATGAAAGCTTTCTAGTAGTGTGTATGAAAGGTAAAGCTTTTCACCAGTTTATATGAACAGTTCTCACTACTTTGTATGAGAGCTTTTGAGTAGATTATATAAGAGGTAAATGTTTTCACTAGTTTATGTGAGAGCTTTTTACTAGTGTTTGTGTGAGGTTTTCAGTATATTATATGGAAGAGTGTAATTTAATATGTGTATATGCAAGTTAATTCTGATTTATGTCCCTGGGGGCACCTCATACTTTTGAACCATCTATAAATTATTTTAGCTGATCTTATTTATACACTAGTGTAAGAGTATCACCTGAAGTCTTTAATCTTCATTTGAAAAGATCATTCATGTTTAAAACATGAAATGCAAATGACCAGGACTTGTAATAAGGCAACTTCGTGATGACTTTTTTTTTTATCACCAATCATCTGAAGATTTTTAAGTTCTGGTTTGCAAATTTGTGAAAAAGGAAAACAACAAACTTTGAGAGAGCTCAAAGAAAAGTCTGGAACACAGGTGGAAAAATTGGACTTGATTAGATTAACCTTCTGTCCCTCTGACTATTTACAAGGATTTTAGTTGGGTTTTTTTTTTTTTCATTATTATTATTATGCCACTACACCTAAGTTTACTTCAGTTTATTTATATAGCGCCAATTCACAACACATTTCATTTCAAGGCACTTTACAGTTCACCCACTGTAAAGGGCCCCTATGTGTGCAGTCAAATTGATTTAAAGTTTTCTACCTAAGGAAAACCAGTTGATTGCATTGACTCATTGACTTAAATGCAATCCCTCACACTAAGCATGCTTGTAGCGTCAGTGGAGAGGAAAAACTCCAGCAGAACCAGGCTCAGTGTGAGCGGCCATCTGCCGAGGCCGACTGGGGTTCAAGGAGACAGAAGCAGAGATACAAAAGGCAGCTGTA